ATTAGTAATAGTCTTTGATATTATCGATTTTTCATCAAGTATGAACCTATATATGTCCTCAACAAATACTTGCAATCAATGTTTTATTTTTAAGAAATGAAAAACCTTTCAACGCCTCTTGTAAAGTAAAATTGATGACTTAAGTGAAAATAAATTTCTGTTTATTTATACACCGTTGCTAGGAGATTAGAAAAAACTCACACTGCTCAATCCTCCCACACCCACCCACTCTGTACATTATGTATTGTTATTATGCATTACTGTACTCTTATTTTGAACTAAAAATGTATATGGAAGGTATAAACTAAAAAAATTGTATAATTATATAAGACAAACTGACAAAGATGATCATACATGCATGTCAGTCCTAAGCGTATATAATTATTAAAATAAAAGTAAGAGACGAGTAAAAGATTTTTAATTTTTTAATTCACAGTTCAAAAAATTTTAGGGAAAGAAATATCAAAATACATCAGAAATTACTGCTAACAAATTGTTTGGTATTAAAGAGTTTGAAACTTACCCTCAAATCGAGGAAACATCCATATTTCTCAAAAAAAAAAAAAAGAATCGAGATTTTCCTATTAGAGCTCTCATTCACTATTTTTTTTAATCTTGTAACCCATCTTAATATTATCTGATTAGCCGAAAAGGAATGTTCCACTTAGATTGAATTGATTTTGAGACCTCAATCGAGTTCTCACTAAAAAAAGAAATTAAAAAAGAAATTAAAAAGAACTTGCCAAAGAAGAGAATAATAGAGAACATATGCATAACATATAAATAAAAAAGAGGAGAAGGGAGAAATCCAAAAATTAAACATATAATTCTTATATATAATTTAGCAAAAAAAAAATACTGTGTAGATGTAAAGACTACAAAGATATGAGAGAGTTATAACAAAAGATAAAGGGAGATGAAAAATAAAATAGCTATAGTTAAGAGCGGGAAACAAAGAGTAACACCTATTATAATAAATGAAAGGATAAGAAAAATTTAACACTCATAGTAAAATACTACAATAAATGTTGGAAAAATAATAGTGAATAAGAAAATATAGGGAAGAAAATGAAAAGGTGAGGTAGTCTTAGTTTCGGGAAAAGAAACTAAATAAAACATGAAAATAAATGTAAAAATCATTTGAGAAGACTATCATACCCAATCTCATATTCCCTAATTATAATATTATATTATATAAATGAATTATAATAATAATGTTGCTATATGTCAAATATTTCATAAATTTTACGATACGTGTCTTACACTAATGTAATATTATTTATGTTTTCTCTTATTTTCTATTGCAATGTATTGGATTTTTATTTTTGTTTTTTTCAGTAAAATCATAGGTAATGATAGTTACTATTTGTGTGGATTGGGAGTTTCGTAAGAATGGTATGGAGAATTGGTTTTTTAAGAAATAAAATATTTCTTTCTCAAGATTTCTGCAGATATTAATCTAGTTCTGAAGGTATTAGTAACATTTTTCCATTTTAGGCTTTGTGAATAATTTTTTAATATTATTATAATAACAAGTGTGAATATTTCGGTTATGAGAAGCATATACGAAGCCCGTTAGGTCTAACTAGTACTTGTTGCGGTTTTAATTATAACACATAAATTGAACTCATTTTAGTGTTAATTTATACTCCCTCCTCCATCCCATAATTATTGTTCGGTTTGGGTTTTTATTTCTAGTTCAAATTGTACTACAAGTGAGATTTCAAACTGGACAATAATTTTGGGACAGAGGGAATATGTTATTGCATGTGTGAGTCTGGGGGAGAGAGACCTACTACTAGTCTAGTCTAGTGGGGGACGACTCCACACCTGTAACGCTTCTTTTAGCGCGTCCATCGGGTATTTGAAGAGTTTCTAACTGCAACCTGTAAAGAAAGGCAGCATTTTGCTGGCGTGGGTTTCGAACCGTCAGGGAGTACATTGTAATTAAGACCCGAGAGAGTATGTTATATTGATGAAGAAGATTCCTCCATACCACTTTTCTTAACACCACTACATTCATGAGTCAGCAAAAGCAATAGGTTTAAATGATAATGATACTAAATGACTTATATAAGCATTCCAACAACACATATTAAGATTCAGTTTGTCACCAATGCAATGAAAAAATCAAACGATTTGGTCCAAACAAAAAGATCTTCTTAACTTATAACATATATATTATACTTTTTTTGACTCAAAACTATATGGCGGAACTAGCTGTAAGTAAATTAATCCTAACGCAGCGGAATAAATACAGACTGATTTCATGCCAAGATCATTTTGTAATTTATGAATAATATAGACAGTTTAGAATTGTGTATCTTTAACAGCTAATCCAGCAATTACGATCAACACACAGTGAAGTTTGATCACAAATCTGTTCACGTATCCAGCCTCTAACGGTATCCACACAAACGATTCTTGGGAGACAGACACAAGGCATGACGGCTAGTTTTCTGAAACTATAAACTAGGGTTTATGGAACCGACAGATTAATTCCAGAACTTGTGTTTGTGACTTATTTATATAAGTCTATGGGTTTAGATAATTACCATAAAGCCCATGACTTATTTATTAATAAGTTCTTATGATTAATATATCACATAAATTAATTTCTCAATTATCCCAATTGATTGTCCTATTGTTTCTGACCCTTTAAGTTCCTAAAACACTTTGGCAATAAATATAAATTTCAATCCATATATTAATTGGCTTTTGGACATAAAACCAACACTAGCTACTCAGACTTGGAGGGGCTGACTATATATACATAATGAAGATCGATGGTCGAATATATATGATGTAAGGTTAACCGTGATTATTTTTAAAGGATTTTCCGGTCGACAGGAGGAACTCGGACCCCCCGAGCTCCTTAAGAGTTCCGCCTCATGGCCGGAGGAACTCGGACCCCCCTTACTTTTAAAGGGCTGACTGTATATACATGCTGATCATCAACAAGATGATCATTTCAAAATAAGATGAATATACAGTACAATAATTGATAAGAAATAAAAAAGGATAATTTATGAAGGTGAAGGGGAGGTTATATCTGAGGAATGCATTGTCTTATATATGATGTAGTTGTAACTTTATAACTATTTTTATCATATCCAATGAGGTCTAGTGATTTAATCAATTTGCAAATAAATTAAGGATTACTCGTACGGGCTAATTTGGCTTCTTCCGTATTGGTTTTAAGCATTTCTCTTCACATGTCACACTCAAGTAGAAATTAATAATGTAACTTCAGTTTAAGTGTTCCACAAATTTGATTTCCAATAAATGGAACTACTTATACGTATTTCTAATACTACTACTAACAGTAAATGTGTTTTATTGACATTCGTATCGTATTGCTGAATTAAAAGTTACAAGACGCTAATTTTAGGATTGGTACTTAAACATTATTAGTGATAGATGTGATTTAGAAATAATAGCATTTAAATAAATCACGTGATAGAGGGATCATATCGATAGATTAATTATTCACGTAAAAAGTATCGTAATCTGAAGATATCAAGCTATATGTATAATCTATGAGTAATAATACGTATAGGGAAAATTTATAAGGAAAACTTACAAGAAATTAGTTTTTAAGCATCTAAATTATGCCTTAACCTTAAATGATTAAACCTCAAATGGAAAGTGTTAAAAATGAATGACTATGAACAATTTATTGTCATTTTTCCTTGTCATTTTTTTCCTGTACGAATCATTATCCGTAATCTATGGGTACAAGAGATGTAACGTGAATAAATTGGTATACACATAACATGTTGCATACGTGCATGTTCTCCAACAGTAATCAACTTGATGAAGCAAAACGTGCAAAAACTAAATATTTATACATTTCTCTTGAATTCAAGCCCTTTTTAATTTGATAATAATAACAACCGCACTTCTTAAAATTAGTTATACCGAAAACAAAACCAAAAAAAAAAAAAAAGTAACTTCAAATAAACAAAATATATAAAACCCAGAGCGCCCGATAATTACAAATTGACCTTTTATCATCATCTTAACTTAACTGTCAATTCACACGATATATTTGTCATGAGTCATGACAGGTTATTTAAGGTGGCTTGTTTTAGTCCGAAAACTAAAACAATTTGGGAGATAGTATAATGGTCAAATCTCGAATAAGATGGAACTAGTTACTGTCCATCCTAGCTAACAGGAAATGGACAATTCCTTGAGACAAAAAAATTAAATTCAACATTTTAATTATTATCTTCATTGTGCAGTTTGATAGAACATCAACGTTACAAGAAAAATTAATTAACACCTGCCCTCCAAGTTTAATACTCAAAATTTCTCTCTAATCATATTAACTTCTTCTTCTTTTTTCTTTTGGCCCTTTCTCACGTCTTAAGCAACCGGATTCACCAAACAAACTCGAGACTTTTTGGCTGTTTATAGTCCCCCCCATCTATTCTTTATTTCTCTCCATATTCTTGTGCCCCTAAATTCAAAAGAGCCAAATTCAAAAACCAAAAAAAAAAAAAAAGAAGAAGAAAAAATATATTCGAAAAAAGATTCTATCCTAGAAAAGTCCTTGCAAATTGTGATAATAAAGGCATCCCATTTTCTTACCTAATATCCTTAATCAGAGATTGGGTTGGAGCAAATGGAAATAAAATAAGGCTGCTTTTGTCCTTGCAATATGATAACCAGTCTCATCATCATCAATATCTATAAGGTACGATGTATTTTGTGCATGGTTTTAATTAATGTGTATCTACACTTGATAATTAAAGTAGATACTTTCTCCGTTCAAAAATAATAGTGTCGTACATATCGTTATAAGAAAGCAGACAGTATGAAATACAGTAAGACGAAGGAGAAAACGCGATCGGACGTGTTAACAATGACAGCAGCAAGCAACAAGGAGATATGATTAATAAAGTACATTGTGTTGGTGGAGCTCCCTTTTTTTCATTATGTAAGCAAAACATTGGTTACAAAACATCCAATCACAGATTATTTGGATAGTCCATCATTTTCAATCTACTCAGCTTTATAATTTTTCCTCATAGTCAATTTTCCCCATTCACTCACAATAATATAATCATCCATCCCAATTATTGATGATTTTTTCATATCTAATGTACTTTGCTGCAGATGGATCTTCCATATAAATAAAGCTTTCTGTGGTGGGTTTGAATAATAGTAGTTGTTTGATTAGTTGGAGTTCTGAACTGGAAAAACAACCCAAAGATTAAAAAGATATGGGCGGCAGGAAATGCTCACATTGTGGAAATATTGGACACAATTCAAGAACTTGTCATCATAGCAGAGGAAGGAGTTGTAGGAACAATGCTGCTGCAAGTATGAAGCTTTTTGGGTTCCATTTACCTCATTCAATATCATCCTCCTCCTCCTCCTCTTCTTCTTCTTCTTCTTCTTCTTCTTCTTCTTCTTCCAGTACTGAAATTCCTATCAAGAAAAGCTTCAGCCTGGATTGCCTTTCGGATTCAGGGCCACCCTTTAAGCTGTCTTCGTCGCCATCATTGTCTTTGATCAGTTCTCACAATCAATTTTTCACTGATCATGATCATCAACCTCCTGTTGTTAAACTTCCTAATGGATACCTCTCTGATGCTCTAATCATTCCAAGATCCCAAGAGAAAAAGAAAAGTGAGTTGCTGATTCACTCTTTTAATTACCTTCTCCTCTCTGTCTCAAGATAATTATAGTCCTCTTTGTTGAACCAAAGCAGATGATGTCGCGTTGATTTTTGTGGTTTGATCATGCAATTGAACATTAATGGATTTGATGTAGGTGTGCCATGGAGTGAAGAGGAGCACAGGATATTCCTAATAGGCCTGGAGAAACTCGGAAAAGGCGACTGGAGAGGTATATCTAAAAACTTTGTCACATCAAGAACTCCAACACAAGTAGCCAGTCATGCACAGAAGTATTTTCTTCGACAGAAGAATAGCCTGCATCGCAGCAAGACAACCCGTCGGCCTAGTCTTTTCGACATGGTATAGAATTATACAAAGTAACTGTATCAAGATTCGCTCTCTCTATCATTACTCTTCTGAATACAAATGATATATAGTAATACTTTGATCACACATGTTGTTTCATCTTCAGGTGGAAAATGATAGATGTGCTGTTGTCCTCCAATCTGCCTGCAAACCTCACTCTTTATCAAATGAATTATCATCTGATAAGGGATTGTTATTGCCAAAGCCAAATACTTCAGTACCAGTGATAAATATCACTTCATCTAGCTTTGGTGGTTCTTCATCAAGTGATTCAAGAAATACTAGCCCTGATCAGAATCATCCACGACTTTCGAGTTCTTTGACTTCACTGTCACCTGATCTGGAGCTCACTCTTGCAGTTCCTCAGCCACTGATCAGTCAAAGCAAAACATCTGCTGCTGCATCCTGTTTGCTCGCGGGGACGATAACCGTGGTATAATCATTAGACTACCTAATAATTAACACCAATTACTATTATATATATATATACACTCTGCTATCATTGTAACTGTGAATCAATCTTGTAATGGTTAATACTAGTACAAATTGTTTTAAGACTATTAGTAATAGTATGAGTTGTGTGTTTTTTGTTGTGAAATCCTGACTTGAAGCAGGTGAATGAATCACTATGTATTATAGGCCTTGACAAAGGCTGCTCCATTCCTATGTATAGATTAAGTCTACAAATAATGTTCCTAATTATGGAAGATGGTAAACCAGCAAACCAACCTTTGCTTCTTGTTCTTCTCTTCTCATAGAGTTGATTCAGTTTCATGTAATTTGAAATCATTATTGGTAAAAAGGGACAAAGAATGTAAGATGTCAATAACATAAAAGTGTTGTGAATCAAAGTGGAATCCACAAGTACATATCAAGAAGCCAAGGAATTATATAATCATTAAAATGTCACGCCGGGAGCAAGTAACCACTATTGATCCCTTTCAAAAATAAATAAATAAATAAATAATCATCAAAATAAGGACCTCGGTGCTAACTTTGGAATCAAGCGGACTTGATCGTTGGGCAATGAAAGTCGATGCTAACTGTATATTTAGACGATATTGCATAAAGTCGACAAAGAAAACAACGAGATTGAATACCGGAGAAATCAGCAAGGACTTGGTTTGCTTGTCAGTATTAAATATACTTTTATCGAAATTCTACAATATAATGTTTATGATTCACATCAACTTTCGACATTATGAAAGTTTCTTCAATTCACGCCAACTGTCTCGTTAACTTATATAACCCGATGATCAAACCAACGCTATGCAAAAATTCTCTAATGTATACGTACGTACTCAAGTCTACTTGGGAATGATCATCACAACCATGTCGACGTGATTCAAACTTCTATAAACATGTACTCACGTCGGCTTTAGTAACCCAACAGAGAAGTCGACATGAGGCAAATTTCTCCAAATGTTCTTTCAAGTTGACAAGCATACCCCAAAAGAAGAATTGAATGTGATGCACGATTTTCCAACTCAAGACAACATTCATATGTCAAGCTTCAAGTCGACACTTAAGACGGTTTGAACAAAAACTCATCATCGTGTCAAGTCGACTTTCTCATTAATTGGGCTACGAAAGTCAGCATAACTTGTATATTGGAAAATAGTGCATCGGGTGGACTTGGTCGTTATCCTATTGGACATCGACGAAGAAGACAACGAAATTTTTTTTTTTTTTAACCTATAATATGTTCATCTCACGTCGACTTTATAGTCGACTCATATAAACCGATGACTAAGTTGACGTGTTTAGCTAAAATTCTTCCGTAATCAATATACACTCAACGTCGACTTTCTCGTTACTTTACTACGACCAAGTCGACGCTATTCAAAAATTCTCTAATGCTCAAGTCGACTTGGGAATTCATCGTCATTACTAAGTCGACATTAATGCAAACTTCTCTAAATACACTCGCATCGACTTCAATAATCCACAAACAAGTCGATAAGATGAAAACTTCTCCAAAAACTTACTGATCAAGTGGAATTCCATAGCCCAGAGAACAACCAAACACCCAAATGTGATGCAACATTCTCCAAGATTCACTCAAGACATTCAAGGCGCTCCAAGTCGGCATTCAAGTGCAATCTAAGCGGTTACCTCAACTCCACCAGTCCTGGAGATACTTCCATGGAAGTGAATGCTTCCATTCCATCATGACAAAGTGTGATTAAAAAAAAAAAAAATCCTGATAGTTCCACACGGCATTCCCGATATAATTTCTTGATATTCTTCTGTGACGGAGAAAAGAAGAAATCCTTGTTACACTACGATCAGCTATATCTCCTTTCCATGATTTTACACCTCGATTATGCCCACTGTTGTTTGCTTTTGCATAGAGTCCTTAGGTTTTTCAGCAGAAAACATCTCTGACACAACATAGGTTTCGAACTGAACTAATGAAGCATTCTCAAGCAAAAGAAACGAACTAAAAGCCCCATTGCATTAGTAAAAGAAGACGGCGTGTGTACCTCAAAGGAACTAAGCAGAAAGATTGTAAGAGAAACAGAAACAGCTTTATACATTTGCTTTAGCTCTATAGCTTCACTCATTAGTATTTTGTACACTTTTTCATCAAAATGCAGAGGGTCACCAATTGGTACATTCTGTATCTACAAATCTCAACACATAAACTGGATTATACCTGTAAGAGAAGTAATATAGCATCCTGAAACCATTACAAGCTCAACCTATTTTACACCGAGTAGAAAGAACAACAAAAAACAGCCTTAAAAAAATTGGTAAGCATCAATTAGTTGGTAGTTAGATTATCTCCTAATGTAGTTCCCCCGATTTCGATGGAACTTCCCTATTGGTTGGTTTGCGGCTTTAATTTCCCAAGCCCGTTTTTGCTTTATGTTTCCCCAGTTCAATCGGATGGAAGGGCAAGACAAAAAGCACTTCGTATCAGAACAGTGGAGAAACCAGCTAACCTCTTCTCTACCATCACCGATTGCTGACAAGGGGAGATCAGACAAAACTTTGCGATCTTAGTCTTTAATTTTCATCCTTCGTGAATCAAGAGATCCTTCGATATCAAGGCAATCCTCTGCTTTGAACTGTCAGATCGGAGGTTGTCCCCTTTAAATCCCAACTAAAATGAAATGTTCAAAAAGTTTCAGGTCTTTTGTTTCACAAGGTTGTGTGCTAGCTACTGAAATTCACAACTGACTACCTAGCATTTTAAGTGAGCATATTAACATGAGTAGAATTACCTCACTCTGACTATCAGGAGGAAACCACCGTAGTAGCACGCCGAGGTGAATCACAGCAGGGATCAACTTGAAGAGTAAAGGAGTAGTTACCTGCAGATTTCACACAGGAACTATGGTCAATCCATTCCAGTCACAAATAATGATAATAAAGTCATTGACTGCCTCAGGAGAGCGCAACTGCTTTTAGTCTTACAAAGAACTCAAAAGTAATCTTTCAGCATGTTCTACATGATAAGAGAAAGCAGCAAAAGTAGCATTTTAGCCATAGCCGTCATGACTAAAAGTAGCAAAACTTTTTTTATCACAATGAAAATCATCACTGACACCTACCAGACTAAGAGCAGTTGTTCCAAGGAGCAACAGGTATAGTTTCCCCTGAGAAAAGAAAAAAAGTTACAACTCGTATTATCATCATTAAACATAGCTAAAACGTGAAACTTTGCAGTAAAGGCACCTCAACAAGATGAATATTTGAAGCACGGCTGAGTAATACAAATGCAAATTCTCCTATTTGTGCCAGTGACATCCCAACCTATATAGAAGATAAACCAAATTAGCATCACGCCTGAAAAATATGTGAAACAGGGAGGGGGGAAAAACTCCCAAACACAGCTTTATTCTCTTACTAAAACTGAAGTCTTGTTGTTGTAGCCAAATCCCTTGACAACCGTTGATATGACGACAGTTTTCACAATAACCACCAGAATCACCGATGCGAGTAAAATATCAATGTGGTTCCAAAGGAAATGAACATGAATCAACATTCCAATACTGGATAGGAAAAGTGCCGCGAAGAAGTTGCGGATAGGTTCAACCTGTGTAAATCAAAATAACCCGATTGGTACGATGATTATAAGACAACATGCTGTCAACACTACAATTGCAACCAAAAGAACGAATGAGTAACTGTAGCACCAATCTTTTCATAACCAAACATCATCCTATCAATTGAAGAACAGACACTGTCAATAATGTCCAATCATTCCTTTAAGACAATCTGAAAAGGCTCCTTTGATAACTATAAACAGAATTTTTGAGGAGGCTCTTTAAATAACTAAAAACATTTCTTACGCACAAATTCAAAGGGTTATAGAAAAATTCTTCACATTGAACCTTTAGTACCGACAACATACATCTCATAATTTTACTCCTGGGACTCAACTGTTCACGCACTTCCATAATCCTGGGGCAAAGGGTAGTGCGATTGTTTTTATCAATCAAAAAGAACGACAATGTAGCCTTTTGAATAATCAACGATGGCAGGTGAACACTATTCTTTTAAGCATAATATGTTTGCCTGCATATACACTTTAATTTTGAACTTTATTTGTTCACAGCGTCCGTTGAACTTTCCAGTAGCAAACAAGGATAGCCTGGTTGTTGAGTGACTTCCTGAGTACACTGCATCCTGAAGAAGTTGTTGATTTCATGTGTTTTTTAACAATGAAACTTTTTTACAAGATATGCAGTAAAACAGGTTTATGAAATAAATGCATTCATTTGATTTCAAACAATCATTATGTAGTTACAAGAAAGCATAAACATAGCTCGTTGTAAAATTTCGACTTCATGGACTACGTTGAGCTACTGAACCTTTCATGGTTAGGATATAAAAAAATAGGGGAGATAAAGAGGCAGATACATCAAAACTAGAACACAGTTATCAAATGAATTGTTAATACCCTATAAGAACGCTTACGAAACAAAGTTCTCCTCTCCAATTTGTTATTTTGATATAAAAACCATCTCAGGATGCTCAAACTCCTCACAGGTTGGTTAACTTAATTATGTCATAACGGTTTAAGTGATAATAACGAACCAAAATAAGAAACAAGAAAGAACTTTTTTGTCCGTACCTGTTCAAGTGTATGTTGAGCAAGGTCAGTCGTTGATATCATCACTCCAGCAGCAAATGAACCCAACTCTAAACTTAGACCTAGCTTGTCACTACTCTGAAATTACAACAACATTTAGTTAAAGTACTGCTGAGTAGGAAATAAAATAGGTTAACAAAAACAAGCAACAAAATTTGTTCAAGCTCATTCGAAATGCATAGACAACATTCTTTAACAAACCGACTATACATCATACAAACAGTCCGATGCAAGGCGAGAGTAAACCAGTGTCATTTCTGGGTGTTCTCTTTCCAGAAATTTCATAGCTCAACTTTGAGGAATTTCAGGTAGCAAACCAGATAGAGTGACAGAATCAAATTTGTCCATGACATGGCCACACAAGCAGAGATAAAAAATTAACAGGATGCGGAATCTCTGAGTAGTGGATGCGATACACATGTGGGTACGACTTATGATATTGCAAAGAGAAAAAAAATTAAGAAAGGGATTAGAGTCCAACAATAACAAAAGTGTATAAAAACTAAATACAACTCAAAAACGAGAGCCAGTATAAAGCAAAGGAAACTAACCCAGGCTACAAGTAGGCAAAATGCAACAGATGCTAGCTGATATAGTTCATTGGTCTGCAAAAGAAACACTCTAATAAGGTAAAGTGTACATTAAAAAGCACATGTATTTTATACACGTGCCCAGCCTCTTTGCGCAGTTTTGAACATAATAAAGAAAAAGTTAAGAGAAACATCAAAGAAGAATTCTCACCTGAGATGATAAGCTCATCATCAGTTTGAGGAACCAAGGTACACAAGTCCGTGACAGTATTGTTAAAACAGCCAAGAATACGATCAACAACACCAACCTGGCTAATAAATTATTAGTGAATTTCACAGCATTTTCATAGAGAAAGGAAATGCAGGGATAATGGATTAAAACATACGATTTAGTCATGGAAATCACTCCTTGGAGAACCCCAGAAGTGCCTCCCAGAACTGGAAGTAGTGCAAAGAGCAAACCCACAGCACAGTCCTGAGATGAAGTAAAGAGATTAAGAATAAACAAGATTTAGTACAACTCAAAAATATTATGACTGCAAGAAAGCATGAAGATTTCACAAATTTGACATTTTGCATAGTAAACTTTAGTAAAAGATAAATGTTCATAAATACTGTAACCAGAGATCTAACTTTAAACAGTCATAAGCTGTCACCAAGATACCTGTAAAATGAGGGTACCAATCGTCACTTGACCATGGAGAGCATTTGTACTGTTCTTGTCCATCAAAAATTTTAAGACCTGTAAACCAAAAAATAAAAAAAAAATAAAAATAAAAATCTCAAGACTTTCATCCATACAAATATAAGTTGAGAATATGACATCAGCATGAGGCTTACATTCACCAAACAGATAAAGAGCACAGAGGCTTACCACAGCCGTTGAAGACATTGAGAGGAATGCACCAACAAATACTCCCTCGGAGGATTTCCCACCACATAACTGCCAGATCACCAAGTCGATTGCTTTTAGTACATATGTAAGAAGAAAATTTTACAGCTCAGGCAGGAATAGAATAACAAAACAGCCACCAAAACTATTCACAAAAGCTCCATCACAAAGTATGGCTCAAATGCAGAGGGAAAAACAGAAGTAATGGACAAGAGACAGCTTTCACATAAGACATTCATGGTGATGAGAATAAAGGGTAAGTCATTTGGGGTTGTTGAGGGATTGGGTGTGTGATGACAGATTCTTCGAAAGGTTCAAACTGAAATCAGCAGCATAGAAACAAAGTTCCATTCAGTAAGGAGTGCATCAAATCAAAGACAGAAGTAGACATAATTGCTTAGGAGCATATTCATATTCTGCAATTTCAGACTAACCGAGGCAGTGATTCCACATAGGCACATGAATAGGAGAATTTGGAGCAGGCCTCCAAGAACAGCAACAGCTCGAACAACTCGAAGCTAGAAAGAGAAAATTAGAGTTAAGGTTCAAAATTCATAATGAATACACATAACACAAACAGGAAAGAATCCCATCACCATGGGGAAAAAGGCTAATTAGATCCTACCTTTGTTGTGGAGAACTCCAATCCCAAGGCAAAAAGCAGAAAAATGACACCAAACTGCGCCACTGTCTCAACCTGTGCCAAACAAAGGGCAGCAAAGTTAAAGTAATATGTATAATGCAGATCTGACAAACCATAACACATATGATAGTTACTATTCATGCTGTCAAAAACAAATTACAAAATAAAGATATTAGTTTCAAGATGAAGAACATGCAATAGGTCCCTTTCAATTATTGCTTCTAATAGTCACGAAAATATTGCTTAACAGTGGATCAAACACAAATTTATTTCTTAGAGCTTGTAATCTCAAATACTCAAAAAGGGGTCATTCACATTGTGGTAACTGGAGAATAATCTTTAGTCTCAAAGTTAATTAACAAATTAAGAGGAAGCAGAAATGTTTGTATTTAGCTCACAGGACAAGCTAATCTGTCACTGACATGCAGATGGTTATAGATTCAGAACTGCTGAAAGCCCAATGCAAGAAACTAGGACATTTTGCAATGTCTTTCAAGCAAAATTTAGTACTTCAGGGGGAGGAACACATACTTGCACCATTTCGCTAACAAAGTTAAATCCACCAGGACCAACTACAGATCCAGCTAGCAGGTATCCCGTAATTACCTGCACAAATTTTTAAGCAGAAAATAATACAGTTAGGAGGTTTTGAGCACAGATATCATGAGAATACTTGGTGACAGTGGAAACTTATATCAAGTATAGGATCTAACCGGCTGCCCAGCACATGCAAAAGCAATTCCACCGCAAGTTGCAGATACGATGACAACTACCAGATCTGATATCAGCCTGCAAACCACCTAAGTGTTACAGAAATTGGAGCACAAAACAATTGGACTAAGAAAAGATAATTAGAAACTTCACCTCAAGTCCAGTTGTAGAACTGGATATTTCGATTTAAAGTTGGATATGATGAAGATATTGTCCTGAAAAATTAAGACAAGATGTTGAAAAACATGAAGATACATGCATTTCTACGTATCATCCATATTCCTAAAAAACAACTAAGAACGGGAAAAATGAAGGCAGCACATGCAAAATTACCTTCCGATCGATTAAGGTAGGGGTTTCTTCTGCTCCATTGTCATTATCCAAGTTAAAAACATGATGAAGTTTAAAAGATCTGCATTCATTTTAACCAACATGGAATATAAGTGAAACAAAAGTATTTCTCATGTTTATGCAGGATAAACATTTCCAAAGGAAGGAAATCAGTAAAAGTTTTTCCATTATGAGGACGCACTTATCATCTTTCGCTTTGGTTTCATTTTTCTTGGGCTTAACTCTAGCAACAGTCTCCAAAACTGCCTGGTAAAATAAGCCAGACAACAAAGATATCAATTATAACAGTGTTCACAAAGAAATCAAACAAGGCAGGTCATCAATGTTTAGCCCAAAAAAACTCAATAATCACGACCAAATAGGGAGAGCTTAAGCTAGAGCAACCTTAGAGCAGCCTGAACTCAGCTGTAAAGGATGCTTCTTTGCTACCCAATTACTTAAATAAGTTTGCAAAAAAAACTTATGGTAATAGAACAACATAGAGACACACTTGTTGTGAAATCACATAGAGAAACCCTTATTTGCAATTGTATCTAAAACCCACTTCAAAAGTCTTGATAAATAGGGACGCCCATGCTGCAGTTATAAAATTAAAACAATAAATAAATAACCCATTTCCTATAATAACCCCCATTTCTTTCATCCCTGATAATGTATAACTATTTAAAGCATCACAAAGCAGCATCCATCTGATAACTGAAAGGGATAGCATGCGCAATAAAAGTACATGTACCTGCTGCCCCGCCACACTGTTATTGAAACTACCAGCATCATTTGCTGCAGAAAGAAGATGAATCCAAATTACAATATGCTTGACAAGTAAAAAGAATTTATCTACCATTGTTACAAGTATAGATTATGATCCCATAGGTATCAACAGGCAAACAATGATAAGAAAAACTTCAGAACCAAATCAGTAAGTAAGAAAAGAAGTGGTTCGAACTTTGCAAGCAAAACATCAAACTGAGCACAATCAACTGAAATCTATGAATTGTAAGTCCTCGAAGGACCTCTATTTCTAATTCAGCTCAATCTAGAGTAGAGTAATAACTAATTCGATATAAAGCAAGGCCAGACTGGCTTCCCTCACAACCTTGCTGTTATCTGAAATAGTCCTCGTCTCTTTTTTCTAGACCAATAGTGATCTGTATATGCTTGTTTTAAGGTTTTCTAAGCATTAAACATACCTGAGTTATCTTAAGAAGTCCTGCTTTTCCATGTAGTTTTCAAGATTTGCCCACTTCCTATTGAATTTGAGATGCAGTATCGAAATAAGCAATTCTCATTGAGGCTTCAATCTTTAGTTGATGTGGTCTTTTACATCAAATCAAGTCATACAGCTTATACCTAGGTCACTCTAATCACGAATTGTCTTTTTCCAGAGCATTTCTCCTTTCCACTCAGGAAATGTACCAAACAGAAGAAAAAACCAAAACTAGACAAATCTATCTATGTTTCTCAGACCTTTAGTTACAAGATTAATCCTCCCAACTAGTTGGCCAGCCAAGTAACCGGTTCTTATTCTAATTTGCTCCCCAAATTCAGCAAGTGTAGCTAAAAATCAGCAGGATCAACGAACAAGTAACTTGAAATCCTTTATCAAATACTTGATTATTACCTATGAAATGTAGGAAAATTCTAATACAAGAAAGCATAGATCCACGAAGTACCTTCGTTCTGATCTTCACTCTCAGTAAACTCCTTGTCCAGAGCTCGATCGATCATGTCGGCGAAACTATCTTCTTTAACCCGAGTTCCATTGCTACTATCACTACTATTACCACTATTCTCCACCGTGGAGTTCAATTCGACGACGGCATTATCATCCGCGCCATTCTCAGCATCAAATTTGGCCGCTGAGGTGAGCGGCGCAGCAATTACTAAACCGAGTAGGACCAGAAGTAAAAAGCGGAAACATAGAACCGGCAACACCGATACCGAGGAGGACGAAGATGTAACCACCGCCGATTCCGATCTTCTCCTCCTTTCAAAAGTCATTGGTTGTGAATGGCGCCGGCGCACGTGACGCACGCCCGTCCGCCGCAAGGTTAGCAAGATCTACGGGAGAAAAAAGAAAAATCTAGCAGGAAGAATGGCAGCTAAGTCAGTCGGTGATTGGTCCACCGCCAACGTCGGCCGTCACCGCCTCAACTTGCAACAAAACGGTGTCGGTTCGTGGTTGTCCACAGGATTCGCGAGCATTACAAATGGAGAGTTGAGTTTAGCGAATAGCAATGCAAAAACAACAACAACCAGCCAACACTGAAGAGAATGATGGGTGCTCTGAAATCGAAATCGGGAGATGAGTGGTTATTGGGACTGGGTGCGTGGGCGCGTGTTCGGTTCAGCGCGTGTGTGGTCTTCTTCAAAAACTGCAGGTGAAAAGTAATCAGAGTTTTTTCCTCTTTTTGTTTTTTTATTAGCTCACACTCGCAGAGTACGTGTATTTGTGATTTTAAGGGAAGTTAATTGCAAATCGATCACTCCAAGTTTTCTTATTTTTCCAAGTAGGGGTACCTCTTAGAAGATGAATTATAGCAATTTATTATGCTTTTCATCCCTTTTACCCTATTAAAGTAGAAAACAGGATACTGATGTGGCAATTTCTTATTAAAATATTTTGGCTCCAAATACACCATATTGCATAAACCATTATGCCACGTGTCACCCCCTTTTAAAAACAAAAAATATATTTACAATAACGAAGAAATCAGATGGCCATGTTCATTCAAATTTTGAATTTGACGGTGAATGGAACTTTCCTTCTCCACTTATTTAGGACTTTCGAAAAAAATAATTTTTGGTCAATCAATTATTTTCATCAAAAATTAAATTCATTCCTAATCAGTTTTGATTATTTACATATCAATTTATTAGGTGGGAGGACACCCCCGGACATTTGCCCGGGACAAGCATCTAGTTTATCAATATAGTTACAAGTTCCTTGGGTAATTACACAAGTTTTGAATTCCTACCAGATGTGATTTAACTAATGAGAACATGTCATTTATATCATTATACATTATGATGAAACGAATATCACGTGAGAGTATAATAATAGAGATGGTAATTATAATCATGAGAAAAATGATGCTAGATATTAGGGTTTCCATTCCAAGTTTTCATGGTAGTATCAAACTTCAAACACGATCATAAAAATTTTTTACTTTATTTATAAAAAAAATAAAGAATAACAAACGTATCCAAATGTGATCAAATGTTAGTAAAGTCAAAATAAAAGAGTAGTGGTTCTAGTGGATGAGTTCATTTAAACTTTAACCGATTCAAAACTTATATCAATCAGACTAATTTTGGAATATAGCACATTGATGACTAGTTACGAGGGTGGATTTGAATTTCAGTTTCCTATTTTTTTAAAAGAAAAAACAAAAAAAAAAAGTAACATAGAGTTGGTTCATCTTTTTGGGGGCGTTTATTTCTATTTGTTCAATCACTTGGGTCAATTACAAATATGAGGTCATTCAAGGTGGTAAGGTTGAATTGATTAATAAATGGTTATGATTTTTATTTTTTTTTTGAAAAGGTCATTCAAGGAGTTGATTATGAATGAGAGTGATTAAATACACAAAATTTCTAGTGCCATTATAAAGAAGAAGAAGAAGAAGAAGAAGAAGGTTACTTCACATTTGCTATGGCGTCTATCTCACGTGAAGTTATTAACAAAATAGGATGGACATCATTAGCATCTGCATATATAATTAAACGTACAAAAATACCATTAGCTATATAGCAGCATAGGACCAAAAGCTACCTAATCCAATTTCTTTGATCATCTCATATAGATCTGCACGTTTGACCAGCTTTAATCAGATCCTTGATAAACCTAAAATCAAGATTACTACTACTGCGACGTTGCAACGAATGTATTTTATCTATATCCTCCGTCTAGATTCTTATCTTCAATATTTGCATCAAATTTATTTCAGTAATTAATTCCTAATCGCATCAAGATTTTGTGTTTTGGTGATATCGTCCTAATGCGAGACGAAACATGAAGTGTGATTGCAAATTTTGTAAAAGTGTGAACCCTTTTCCTCCTACATATGATAATACTAGTTGATTGTAAATAGTAATTACTGTTTAATTAATGGAAAGTACTACTAAACAAACAAAAGAAAACAACAGAGATTATCATGTGATGTCCACAGTTACACACGGCAGCTTATGAAGATTGTTTTCTTCATCCTTCAACTACTCCCCTTTCACTTGGTCAACTAGTCTGGCGTAGTGAATGATCTCATACTAATGCTTCTTTCACAAGCACTAGATTTAGCCTTTTTTGAGATAAAATAGTCTCAAAAAGGGGGGAAAAGAAAATTGAATAGCATTGGAGAGTAGAGACCCAAGTAAAAAGATCGACTTCTGAATCTAACAATTTCAGTTCCTCAGCTTTTCTATCAGAAGTTGTGGTTCAATTCATACTTACTGATAAGGTCTGTAAATTTATTTACTCATAATAATGCCTGTTTTGAAGATCAACAGCAGCCTGCGACATTACAAACTCTTTTTCTTTTTTCTTTTTTTTTTTTTTTTTTGTTTCCTTCCTATGAACTTTGTATAATTGTTTGAGAGGTGATTTGAAAAAGTGAGAAGAGTAGTTATATGTCGCGGTGGCGAAACTAATAAAAACTGGTACGAAATTGAGTGACAGAGAGTGGGAAATTCTACGATGACAGCATTCAGCACTAAAATAGTAGTTGGATTATCTGATGATTCACCGACGCTTTCAACGTTTTTTCATACTCTTTAGCTCATATGCTAAAGAGTAAAGCTAACCTAGAAAGATGGACAGGATCCGGATTCCTTTAGTAACTCAACTCGTGTTGGACAGTTTTTACTAAATTACCGAATCATATTTACTTACAGAAAATATACTCTTGTACTGTTTGACTTAATGGGAGGGAGGGAGGGAAGGAAAGAAAAGGACCCATGTGAATTGTGAATGACAACAGAATCTAAATCTGAAGATGAAATCGAGATAGTTAAAAGAGTCGTGCTTTGTTACTCTACTTCTGTAGTAATCTTCACTCACTCTTATATTTTTACAAAATACATACACGCATTCATGCCTCCTATAAGGTGCAACATCATACACATTTCACGGGGGTTTCTGTCCTTCCCCCCACCATCTTCTTTCACAACTTTACTTATTTCAAGGTCCTCTTTTTTGTTCACTTTTCCAGTATTACTCTACCTAATTAGTATAAGCACGCTGCGAAATCCACAAAGTTTAGTACTTACTATGTCCACTGCCTGACTGCCTCACGCATTTTTGATATAGAACCATACATAATCAGGAGTTCAGGTCTTGTGTTGTCGGATTTTCTATAAATTGATCACTGCAGCTCTATCAATGCCTTCTTCGAGAGGTTTATGATTGAATCTGCAATCACTCTCGCACTGGATTTCATATAACCACCTGCAAATGTGGACAAAAACTGCTGATAATACTACCAGGGGATGTTACATTACTACTGGAGCCATCTCCTGTTTCATATAGAGCCAAGGAAATTACCTGACGTAAGCATAACAAGAGGAATGCTCCTCTCTTTAGCAAATCTGAAGACCTTTTCATCCCTCATGCCTATTCCCTCGGGGCTGATCTGCAGAGACACTCACATCAGAAACAAAAATATGCAAAAGCTTATTCAAGCAGCACTAGAAAGATTATACCTTTAACCTGCCCAGAGGATCCCCATCCAAAATATCAGTGCCAGCATTGTAAATGATCAACTCAGGGTTAAAATTCCGAGAAGCCACCTAGAAAATAAGACAGGTTTTTAAAGATATCAACATTACAAGCAAATTCGACATAGTAATCGAAAACTACCAGAAATGCTTGCAGGCTGGTACAACTGATAGATGAAGATAAACAAAACGGATAATCCGGCAAACATGTATCACATTAGAAGCTTGTCCAAACAAGGTACACAATAGACACAAGAGAAACAAACACCATTAAAGATCACAGGATGGGCGTGAAGATCAATCACATAATCCAACTAGTAAAATCAATTCAGACAAGGAATACATATAAATCTTAAGAGTTAAGGGATCACCAATTAATCATTCATTTTGAGATGCTAAAATGATGAAGTTTCTCTACCAGATTCAACCACTTAAATAAACAAATATAAAATATAGTACGTATCCAAATAAGTAAGTCAAATTATATACCTTCCCTTTAGAATGTATAAAATGTAAGTCAAGGGAATATAAAATGTATAAAGTTCAAGCTTCAATGTCTCCTTTAGAGAGACTGACGAGGTGTAATATGGCTGACTTCACTAAGTTGGTTGTATACAGTTATTCTAAATCCATTTTAGATTCAGATTACGGCAGAATTCAATAGAAGACAGCATGCATAAAAACGGAAAATCCTATACCTCAAGAGCATCATCAAGTTTTGTCAAATATTCGCTCGTTGATGTCCCAGTCTGTTCAGATAATATGAAGAGCATGCGATCTGAGTTGAAACTCGATACAATGGAAATCACTATATGTCAACAAGCAACAAAATCATATTCTGACCGGTACTTCAACTTTTTGATCAATGTACCTCCTGGCCTCATAATCCTAAGCAAGAAGAGAAAGAAAGTTTAGATCAATCTTGATGCACCAGTCCCTTTCTTAAGATCCTAGTATGCTAGACCACAATGTCGAGCAAATCAAAGGAGGTCCAAAAATGGCAAAAGTAAATTTATTTTCAAATGAGAAGAGTGGATAGCTACCTCTTTAAAAAATAATATATGTATATATATATAATACAAAAACAAAAAAACTGGAATTGGAATCTTAACTTACAAGAGGATAAATTTGAGGATTGTACATATCCAGAATATAAACCCTTCCTACAAACAGAGAAGATCCGAGTTAATACCATACAACAAGAAAAAAGGCAAATTTGTCAAAGACTATAATAATAAGATAAGTGTCATACTGTCATTTGCAAAATCCATCTCATGTCCGTTTCCCTGGTGTGCATCAAGATCAATAATCATCACCCTGTTTCAAGTTTTTGCAATAAATTAGCAAAGTAGTGTTTGAATATACACCCTGCCACACTGATGACTAACTAAATCAAAGGAAATGCAAAGAAAAAGTACCTCGAAATATTTAAACGGACAAAGGCAAAATGAATGCAAAGAGAGATGTCAGCAAAAACACAGAATCCACCACCTCTCTCTGCAGAACAATGATGAAACCCACCACCCACATTTATAGCGCATCCACGTTCTTGTGCAAGCTTTGCAGCCAATATAGTTCCTCCAACCTGTATCTACTTTAGATTAAAATCTTCATTTTTAAAAGGAAAAAAGAAGACGAAGAAGAAGCGAACTGGTTGGGGGCAAAAGAGTTTATTAGACAATTTAACCTGTTTACGGAAAGGCCGAAGAACTTTCTGCTGCACGAGACAATTAGGTAATACAGCAACCGGGGGTACCTTAATGCCATAACAAGCCAATGATCAAGAAGACGAAAATGTGTATGCATCCAGATATCTTACCTATATTCTAACGACGAGGAAACAATTTATAGACCATGCTGCTTCATTTGTTTAAGCCGTTTGTAAGACATACATATTACACTGAAGCTGTTTCGCGGAAAATTCTTAAATCCCATTAAAGTAACCAAAACAGAAAACGTATATAGTGGAACTTCCCTGCCTCACCTCAACAATGACAGCAACACTTGAGCTTCTCTTCAGACTATTCAAGTATGACTCTGAATGAACCTATCACATATAAAAGTTGGACAAGTTAATTTACCCCCCAAAAAGAAAAAGAAGAAGAAAAAGAAGAAGAAGAAGAAGAAGAAGAAGAAGAAGAAGAAGAAGAAGTTGGACAAGTAATGTTGAAGATGACGAAAACAGAAAACAGAGTAAATCTGGGAAATGATAGGTCTCATGTTCTAAAGTGACAAGGATACAATGAATACGCAAGAACTATAAAAATAAAATATCAAAATGTAGCTAAAGGGACAATAGTAAGGTTAAACTTCCAAACAAAAAGAGGAGGTATACCACCAGGAGGTCATCTTTGGTAGACTCCAACGGCTCCACAATGGAATTCTTCCTCAGAAAACCATCCGTAACAAGGAATTGGCAAATCCGACCCCATTTGGAAGAATCAAAAGGATGCCTGCATATATTTATAGTTAAGAACATTACACGTAGAATCTGATAAGCAAACTAAACAACTGTTAGTCAACTCGATTTAATAACACAACAAGAAGAAACACCATTTTGATTTAGCTTTCTTCGATCAATATGTCAACTATCGCAATTTTTTTTTTTTTTTTTAAAACAAAGTTATATTGCTCTTTTCTCTACAAAGTAACTTTTCAGTTGAACACCATCCAAAAACGCAGACAGCAGCATTTCATTCAACTGATAGCAAAGAGAAGAATCACGGCAACTTACAACTTTTCGATGCCAAGGAAAGAAATATCGTAGGAAGGCGAGTAAATTAGAGGAACCTGATCGAAAACACACACAAAATGGGGAAAAAGATACGAGAGATAATCAGTCGATTAAGTAAAATAATCAAACTGGACTAGCAAAAAATTATGGCAAATTTACCCCCCAAAAAAAAACAACAACAATTATCTGCTTGAGTTTGAAGATGAATTTGTGAAGAATGAGTAGTCAACCTTGGACGGAGGCACATCGAAGTAGAGCTTGCTGGACAGAATACGACGGCGTTTCAGAGTTTCGAGGTCGTCGGCTTTTGACGCACTGGAAGACATATTTGCGAGTGTAGTTGCTCGGAAACGGAGAACTGATCGCAAGCCGTCGAAAACGTGACGGAAGAAATTCTGGTAAAACTTAATTGCCGCAACTTAAATGCGATTTTGAACTCTGGTCGATGAAGAAGATTTCAGCCGTCCGGTGACGACGAGGAACTCTATGAGTTGTTTTTGTCGCGGCGGAAGTCAGAAGCCCGGAGGGCGGCTACACCGTACTCGCAGGCCGGAGATGCTGCTCACACGTGTCTGTCGTGATAAAACGTGCCACCATGTTTTCATTGGACTATTTCTTTCGCAAAATTATTCCAGTGTATTCCTTTTTTTGTGCAGCAACACCCTCGTTATACTAGAAAAAAATATCATGACTCCCTTAATTTTTGTGATATGTCTGGCTGGACAATCCTACGTGGTACAGCAGCTGTATGAAAGATTTTATCATTTTTTCTGTTTTTTCTTTTTCTTTTTTTCGGGCACAATCTTCCGTATTACAGCAGCTGTATGGAAGATTTTATCATTTTTTCTGCTTTTTTTTTTTTTTTCGGGAAAATATGGATTAAGGATAGTAGAAAGGCTTTAATTAATAAAAGGGATATAAGTTTTGGATAGTATATGTATTAAGGGCAATAAACTACTTTCTCAAAATCATAAAATTAAATAGTTATGTTGTGGCATAAATGTCCTTGTTTCTTAAGTGGATCAACTTATACTGGGGAAATAAAATACAGAAATCCTTATTCCTCCATCGGCACTTTTTTTTGTTTACAAAAAAAAGCAAAGCATGCGAATCAAACCTAAGAACTCCTGATATTTTCAAGGCACTAGAAAACACAGAAGAAATTCAAGATCCGTTTACATATCATCAAAGAGGAATTTTTAACACAAAATATGCTCCAAGATCATGTAAAACATTATTTTTAGGAACCCACCAAAATTTGATACAAATATAAGAGACTACACATATTTAATTAGGAAAAATTAACGTTCATACTCAAAGTTTTGGGTTCATCGTTAATTTTACCCTATTGATTTTCGGTTAGCCAATTTTGTCCTTCTTATTTGAAATTTTTGTCAATTCCGCTCAATTGGCCCAATTTCCATTAAAATTAACGAATTTCCGTTAGTTTTTAACCAAAAACACCCCGATAGTTTTAGAAAATTATAAAAATAATCCTAAAAATATAAAAATAACAAAATAATCCCTTTTAATTTATTTTTTTCTATTTCATTTTAATTCTCTTTATTACTTTTCATAACCATCAAAATATACTATATGATCTTTAAAAAAATAAGTATTTATTTTAAAAATCTATTTTTCATGTGCAACACATGTGATTTCGGTTGAGGGGCAATTTTGTCATTTTAATTTTTTAAAATTTTAATTTTTTTATTCTTTTTTTTGAGATTTTTTTCCTTATATTTCCTGAATTGTAGATATGGATACTAGAATAATAATTAAATTTTAATAATTAATTTACTGTTTTATTTCGTAGATTATAAAAACTTTAACATAAAGAAAATGAGGAAGAAAAACTTAAGTTGAAATAAACATAAAAATTAATAGTTTATCATTCTAAACAAAAAGTAAAAAAAAAAACCTTTTAAAAAAATACAAAGACAAGTGTTTTCTCCTTAACTTAATTAAAAAAAAAATGCAAAGACAAGGTAATTAATGTTTGACATACATTTGACCACTTAACGAAAATTTTCAAATTTCAAGTTGTCAAGTTGTGGATTCCATTTACATTTGACCAAATTTGACCAAGAAGTTTTCAAATTAATTTTTGAAAATTTCTGTTAAGTGGATCAATGATGATGAATAAACAAGAAGTTTGTGACTAATTTTGTCAGAAAAAACTTAATGGTGACCAAAAATTGTGACTCCCCCTTAGTTCAGGGACCAAAAGTGCATTTTGTTCTTTTTTTTTTTCGGTTAACATTATTATTCTTCTTCTTCTTTAAAAAGGTGTATCATAATTCCAAGTTTCGTAAAAAAAGAAATTTTGGTACATAAAGGGAGGCAACCGCCTGACTACAATACTACATTTCTAAGGTACGAGACCCCTATTACATCGTGGCGTAGCCATTTTATGATTTCCGTTGGAGGGTGAATAAGCTTTCTGACACCCCATTCTTCTTGATCCTTCATATTTGCCAATGCGTCCGCAGCAAAATTGGCTTCCCGGTGGACATGTTTAAGCTCCACTGACCATGCTCTTCCCATCAACTCCTTGATCCCCTTAATGATCCTAGCATGTATCCCCAGTTGGTAATTAGTACTCAAGACGAGCTTGACAGCAGCCAAACTGTCCGCCTCCGCCAAAACCTTCCTCTTCCCACCTTCCCAAGCTAGGATTAGTCCCTGCCAAATTCCCTACAGTTCTGCAACCCGTTATCGATGTGGCCCCAATGTTTACCGTAAATCCACTTACCCATTCCCCAACATCATTTCGAATTAAACCCCCCGCTCTTGCTTCCACTGTATTCGGATCAAATAATCCGTCAGTATTCAATTTGGTCCATCCTGATGGGGGAGGAGGCCATCAGATCATGATCTGCTGCCTTATCCCTGTTTCGCCTCCTAATTTCATAGCAAAAAGAGTAGTCCTCTCTATCTCCTTGACTTTTCTCCAAATATCCTTGACTTTCCTATAGATTGGGAAATCTGCCCCTTTGAACACGTACTCATTCCTCCAATTCCAAAATTTCCACACCGTCACTCCAAATAAGCGAGCCCACCTTTCCCCTTATTTTCTCTTAGATTTCAACAAATTGTTCATAAGCCAAGGCTGTAATGCATCAGCAAAAAACCCCTGCTCATTGTTGATGAATAGAAGGTTCCGCCAAACTTGTTGGGCCATAGAACAGTCACGAAGGGCATGAAGAATCATTTCTTGCTGGAGGTTGCATCTGGGACATGCCAGCGAATCAGCTAGGTAACTTCTATTCCACTCCCAGTTTGTCAACAATCTCCCTTTCGCCACCAACCAGAGGCAAGTTTTAATCCTCTCCAGCCCCGGCCAAGTCCATACTGCTCTTCAGATCGTTGATACCCTTCCTCTGTGTTTATCCTCCACAATTCCGTAAACAGATCTAGTGGTAAACAAACCACTTTCCGACGCCGGCCAGCAATACCTGTCACCACCTCTAGCCGGATCTTGGGGGAGTGTAGGTGCAACCTTCATCAGTTCTCTGGTTGGTAGTAATTCTTGAAATAAATTCCAATCCCACTGCCCTGGTGCTGTTGTGAACCGACTTGCCGGAGCATCGATCTGACTTGCCGGGATATCTCCGATTGCTACCTCCTGCAACGGTCTAGACCGTAGTGTCCAAAGTTCTTGCCAAAAGCTGATCTGTTCGCCGCCATTCAGGGTCCAATGAAGACCTTTCATCAGTGGCTTCCAAATCTTTACAATGGACCTATAAGTGCTTGAGCTATTTGATGGCGTTATTTGTCCAAACCTTGGCAGCCCAAAAGGCCCATACTTGGCCTTATAGACTTTGACCCAGAGGGCTTCCAGTTGACTCAATAAGGCCCATCCGAGTTTCATTAGAAGGGCCTTATTCATTGATCTCAGTTTTTTAACTCCAACCCCGCCCAAGTCTCTTTTTTCACATACATCTTGCCAGCCCACCAGACTCATCTTCCTTCTTCCTTCGTCTCCTCCCCAAAGAAAACGTCTACAGAGCTATTCAATTTCATTGCAAATTCTCGCTGGGAGCATGATTGTTTGCATATTGAAAAAAGAGAAGGTAGATAGGACTGACCGCATCAACGTAGTACGGCCTGCTAGAGTGAGACTTGAGGCGTTGTAGACCTCCAGTGCAGCATGGACCGTGTCAACCACGCCGACATACTATCTATATGATAATCTTCCATGAATCAGGAGAGTCCCCAGATATCTACCCAGGTCTGCCACCTGCAAAAATACCCAACTGCCTTGCTAACTTCTCCCTTTTCTGTCGTTCCACATTTTTCAAAAAATATACTCGGGTCTTTAGCTCGCTCACCCGCACACCCGATGCATCACAAAAAATTTTTAACACCTCTTTCACCACCATTACTTGTCTATCATCAGCTTCGAGAAACAGGAGCAGGTCGTCCGCAAACATTAGGTATGGGAGTGGTAGTTTGGATCGGCCAAATTGCAACGACTGCCATTCCCTTTCCTCAACCTTTTTTAGAATAGCATGCCCGAGTCTCATGATACACAAGACGAAATCATAGGGCGAGATTGGATCGCCTTGCCAGATTCCCCTCGTTGACTTGAATTCAGGTGATATCCTCCATTCCACTGGATACTCATCTCCACCGTTGATACACAGTTCATCATACAGTCAACAATTAATAGCGGGAAGCCTGCTTGCCGAAGGGTATCCTTAATGAAATCCGACTGAATCATGTCGTAGGCTTTCTCCAAGTCTATTTTAATCGCCATGTATCCCTTCCTACCATTTTTGGTTCGCGTCGAGTGTATTGCTTCCTGGGCGATTAACATATCGTCCGAGATCAATCTGCCCGGAACAAAGCTGACTTGAGTGGGGCCAATAAGTTCGAGCAGCACTTGTTTAACGCGGTTGGAGAGGACCTTAGTAATTAGCTTATACACCACATTACATAAGCTAATGGGGCGAAATTGGCGGATAGACTCCGGATTAGGTACCTTTGGAATCAGAACGATTAAAGTTTTGTTGATGTCTTCCACACTCTTTCCTTCATTAATGGAATCAGTCGCTTTTTTGCAAACCGAGTCTCCTACTGTATCCCACATTTTCTGGAAGAACAAAGCATAAGTCCATTAACACCGGGGGCTTTAAGCGGTGCCATTTGTTTCAATGCCGCTTCAATCTCCTTACGCTTCACTTCTCTCTCCATACTTTGCATCTCTTCTGTCTGGATTGTAAGGAAACAGTCCCTTACATCATATCTGGTTGGGAGGTAAAGAAACATGTGGCTCTATTTTGCAGCTCCTCCTGATCCTCCACAATGCTGCTATCCTCTTTCTTCAGCGCACAAATTCTATTCGCCTTCCTTCATCTTCTCACAAAAGCATGATAAAATTTTGAGTTTTTGTCCCCAAAATGATTCCAGTTCCTACAAGATTTTTGAATCAACAGTATTTCCTCCTGCTGTAAAATCTTGTCCAACTGCTTCTCTAGCTCTACCTCCAGCCTTTCTATTTTCTCGGAGCTATAATTTTCCTTCGCTCTTTGGATCCCCCCCAGCCTCGCAAGAATCCTTCACTTCCGGTTGAAAATGTTTCCAAAAGTGTGGTAATTCCATTTTCCCGCCTCCTTTTGGAATTGCTCTACAGCCTGTACGTATTCACTATCCTTTGCCTATTTATTCTTGACAAAAGTCGAATTCATTGTGTAAGAGCCACGAAGCCATAAACCGGAAAGGCTTCCTCCGTCTGCTTCTATCATTGTTACCTTTACACCTAATCATTAAGGGACAGTGGTCTGAGTGGCTTCTCGGCAGATGAATTGTAACTGCTTCTGGGTGCCGTTGATGCCAATTGTCATTGGCTACAAATCGGTCCAGCTTCTTCAACAATCCCCCTCTCTTCTATGTGTATTTTGTCCCAATTGTAGGTAGCTCCACCATCTTCGTATGAGCCATCCATTCTGAGAACAATCTACATGCCCCACCCCATTTTCTGCTCCCCCTTTTCTCTCCTAATCTCTCAAAATACAATTCATGCCCCCCCCCAGCAGCCAAGGTTCAAATACCCCCTCTAAATTCTTTTCAATTCACTCCAAAACCTCTGCCTAATGCACGGAGTTGGACTCGCGTACACGAAGGCAGTCAAAAAAGATTTTATTCCTCTCCACAACCTAGTATGGATAAATTGTTTATGGCATTCTAACACCTCCTCCTCAATGCTATCTTTCCATAACAACCAAATTCCCTCGGAAAAGCCATTTGCCTTAACCCTGAAAGATCGGTCAATTCGTCTTCTCTTGATAAATTTATCCGCATCCCCTCTCCTAATTCTGGGCTCAAGAATTGCAACCATGTCTGGTTTTAATTATGTCGACTAACAAATCAAACATATTTTTCATTTCTTTTGATCATACACCCTGCATATTCCAAGATATAATGGTGGTATTCATTGATAAACTATTATATCTAGAAAGGAAACCCATACTTTAGAAACAATCAAAGACCGCCGTATTGGCTACGTTGTCCTCCTCCATCAATCCACATTCTTCGAATCGTCCACTGCTTTCTACCCCCTCCTGCTCCGACATCATTTTGGTTTCGACCACTTGGGGATCTGGGGGAATATCTTCTCCATTTGATTTATCCCTGTAATTATCTTCTTCCATTATCATACAAGCTTTCTCCTTCACCCTGCTTGTAGGTAAGTAAGTATCAGGGGCAATTGTTACTGCCCGATGTTTTGAGGGGTCTAGAGACGATGGGGCTTGTGACACATTTCTTCCTAATTGGGTCATGGGTGGCAAATGTGGGCTTATTGGGCTGGAAGTGGACATGGAGCTTTTTGTAGTGATTTCTGAGTGGCTGGTGGGTCCAGATAGATCCATTGGTTGGCTAGTTGGGACAGAGGTGGTCTGTTTAGTCTGGTGGGAATTTTCTATGTGTTGGGCTATGTGGTCTGGTGTGATATTTACAGTGGGCTGGCTTAGGTGGGCCATTTTAGGTTTACTTTGGTTAACAGTCTTGCTTTTAGAGTTTGTGGGTTCCATCTTCCCTTTGTTTTTGTTCTTGGACGGAGTGTCATGTGAACTCGATTTCCTTGCCCCCAGAATTGATGGTGTTGGAGCGGACATAATCTCCTTCTCTTCCCGTCTGTCCGTTACATAGCCATCAACTCCACTGATATTTGTCGAGGCTCCATCGTCTTCTTCGTTTAGTCCATACAGAGCGTCGAATCTCGAGACTTGGTTGAACTTGCTTTTGGTTGCTTTGTTCACGTGCTCTAGGTCTCCCTAGTTTTTAGGTCTTCCCCACGCCGGAACCGGGACCTACTCCCCACTAGGTTTGTTTCCCTGTCTCTCTCTACCACTTTCGGCGACCGGCGTCTGGTTCCCCACTGTTCCTCCACCCCCCACTGGTAAATCTGCCAAATTCGGCATTTGAGGAGGCACATACGGGCAGTTTCCCGCTTGGTGACCCACCCTGTTACATGAGGCACACGGAGGCGGGACATTTTCATACTCAACATCTTGCATTCTCCCCCTCATTTCTATCTGAGAAATCAGCGGTTGATCCAGCTCAATTTCGAAGGCGAGTCTAGCGAATCTTCCCCTCGTCCTCGCCGCCGTTTACTGGTCAATGCGCACAACTCTACCTAGTGCTTGCCCAACTCGCTTAAGAAAAGACTGATTTTAGTAGTGTACGGGTAAACCAGGGAGTTTTTCCCATACAATTGTTGATTTCACCGTCTTAGTCGCCGGGTCAAATTGGTTGTTCCACCTTTCCACATGGAGGTAAGTGTGTAGGATTACCCATGGCCTTCATTTAACACTCTCTCCATATCTTCCTTGCTCCTAAATTTCACCAGAAAGAAGTCACGCACCAGGTCCATCATAGCAATACAGTCAGTGATTTGCCACAAGTCCGGGAGCCTGCGAGAAAGCATTTACAACGTGATCGATTTCCCCACAGGGTAGAGTACTAGCATATCCTGCCACTGATCAGTTAGTATTTTCTCCATTCTGTCTTAAACAAAAGCCTTTGTTGTAGCACCTTCTCTTACAATCACGTCATCCTCCTAGATGTCTAATTCATCCTTTACTTCAAAAAGAGAGTAGTCCAGACCTCTCAGAATTTTGTCCCTGAAACTCATCGGAGTTGGCCCTGGGTTATCTTTATCACTCCCACCAAATCTAGGCTTCTTACTGGCGCGATTGTCAGTCGACGGCATTGAGATTTTCTTGATGCTCTGATTAGACTGAGGTGGGGTAGAAGGGCGCTTGTTCCGCCGCCGTCCGGAACACAGTTTGCAAGGAGAATATTCATTATTAGTGGAGAGCACTTTTCTTAGAGAGAGAAATTAGAGAGAGAACTTTTAGTGTAGAAGAAAATATAAGTTTCATAAAATTTTGTTTTCGTAACTTTGCCTTTGTGTATCTCAACGGTGACTAATTAATTGTAGCCTAGTAGTGTAAGTGTGTAACTAGAAAAAAAAAAAAAAAAGGTCGCACTAAATTTGTTTTGTGAGCCTTCTGTATCCGCAAATAAGTCAAGTGAGAAAATTCGTTGGGTCGAAATGGTGTTATCCTTTTGATGAGTTATGTAATTAACTAGTGTCTGTTGTTAGTACTCCCTCCGTCCCACAAACAAAAATAGTCCAGTTTAATAGATAATATTGTCCCAAAAAAATAGTAGTCATGTTTCAAAAAGTCAAAATAAAAAGCAACTGAAATGACTATAACATCCTTCACAATTAAGCATTATTACACAGCTTGTATCGGAGGCACAAATCATCCGCCCATTTTCTGGATTTCTTCTTCCTTAGTCGGAGCTTTTTCCCGACGGTTTCCTCCACTGCTGTTAAGATCCTTCTCAAATAGCTCTTCCTCCTTTATTCCATCTCCATTTTCACCATAGCCTTCTGATTAAATGAAAATTTAACATTAATTATCAAACATACAAATCAAAAATAAAAAATTGGTAATTTCTTGATAATATCCAAAGGTAATTGATTTTACCTTTTGGGTGATGAAGAATCAATTTCGAACTGTTGTTATTGAATCTCGAAAGAGATGTCTTGCACAAGGAAAGTGAAGGAACCGCCGCTGGAATCACTGTGGTTGTGGTGGTGGTGGCTTGGTAGAGGAAATCGATGCAACAAATTATTGGTGGTGGCGAGGTCGTCGTACTACTTCTGCTTTCTTGGAACTGGAGAGTAGGGCAGCCGTCCTCCCTATCCCGGTCAGACTTGCTTGGCTGAGTTGGATAGTAGCGGAGGTCGAGATTTGTTTTTCGGTGAGCGAACAGTAGAAGAATTTCAGGATTCAAATTTGGGGGCGTCTTTTTGGGATATAATAAGGGTAAAATTGGAAATTTTTTAAACAAAATGAGTTATACCTTGTTGGTTGACCAAGTTAAAAAAGTTGTACATTTTGAAACTGAACTATTTTTGTGAGACGGGGGAAGTATAAAAATACTGAAAATGGCCTTAAAACTTCTCTTTGTCCAACTTCTCTTAATATGTTTAGATAATCTTTCAAGTAGTATAGAGCTCCACAAAATTTGAAAATGGGCTTACTTTTTTTTATATATATACTATAGCAACCACAGTCATGTTGCCCTAACAATATTATAAGAAAAAAATACATTAATAACGAATTAATGTAATCGGGAATAAATTCTGTAAAAACATATTGAAAATTAATGATAAAAAAATTTCAAGTTCATCTATCAAGATGTTCTCGATTATATTTGCATCGATCTCGAACCTTATCATTCCACGCCATCTTGCATGAGCTGTAAAGCTCATTAAGATAGTTAAGTTTGGGTGTATACTTTTTTCTTACACTATAAGTATTATTTCCTAAATTATCAAATCATATTTTAACATGTTTTTATTTAAACATTATCTTGCTTTTTAAAATTGAACTAATACTCCCTCTGGTCCTTATTCATATAAGTTATTTTGATTTGTACTAAATTTTATTTAGTATATTTTTCTAATTGAAAGTAAAATTTTAAAAATATAATTTCACATTTTATGTGTTCTCCCAATTATTATAAATTAGTTTTAAAGTTTATTTTCAAATAGAAGAACATACTAATTGGAATTTAGGACAAATCAAAATACTTTCTAATAAGGATAGAATGCATTGCAACATTAATCCTCTGAGATGAATCTCGAATGATGTTGAAAATGATGTACAATCACGATGTAAGAGATCATCCACCAATTAGTAACTTTTATTTTTTTTTTCAGAATAATTAGTGGGTACTAGTTTGCTGAATTGAAACTGACCCTTCAAGCCTTGGGGAAATTAAAAAGTAAAATAAATAGTTTACCTGAGCTTTGATGTACAATCAATCATCAAATGAAAATGGTTTCCTGAGTTCTTTCCGTTATTTATAGGAGTATTTATTTCTAATCAAGTTGTTATTTGAAAATTTGATTGACAATGGAAGGCTGAAGCCACATGTTCTAACTTCTAACTTCTAACAATTTGATTGTCGTTCATGTTCAGAAACATGCACTCCCACTAGGATCCATTCAGTGGATCTATTGTTTATGACTTTATCAAATAATTTAATAATGTTTCAAGATCATAGTAATGTTATGGTAAATGATACATCTATAAAATTGATTTTTATTGTTAAATAGTTCAGACTAAATTTGTTTGCGGTGAAACGATTGGTTGTTTCATAGAAAAAAGTCATAAGTAAACCAAAAACAGTCATAAGCTAGCAGTCGTTTGTTCTAGACTTCTAGTTGTGATAATTCTTCATCGTCAATCATTGTGGATGGTTTTATTTTATTAAAAAATGAAACTACTTACACCAACCACCAAATTAATGCTAAATTCAAGGTAGATACGGATTTTTCTTTAATTTTTTGCTGCTCCTTTTTTTTTTGTGCTGGTTAGTATTTCACCTTTTATTGTATTATTTTCTGGTGAATCTAAAATAATTATACATCAGTTACCGTTTTGCTTAACTTTGGAAAAAAAATTACAGTATTTCTTTGGAATCTCTGGATCAATCAAAATTGTTTGTTTTACATGAAAAGCAAAAAACATTATGGTGCTCTGCTCATCATTTGGATTTACTCGAAATGGAGTAAAAAAGAAAGCAAGAGGGATGGGTTGAAAGAAACGGGGGACACTGGGGGCGAGTGGGGACAAAGCAGTATACATGAGGAGCCTAGACTGGGCTTGGGACATTAACAGGTAGTCAGAACACAGTCAAAATTGGACCCGGCCCAACACATGGCGGTAAATGTGATGATGGGACTAAAGCCCAATCCCACCAAACCACACTGATATAGCCAACTTGGACCCAGAAAGCAGTCAACAAAGTAGAGATACCTTGATGAAAATTATTCCACCAGATGAAGAGACAGAAACCGAAGAGATGGTGCTGGAGGCCAACGATGGAGGAGGTCATACACTGGTGGCGCCACGAGCAGAGGGGGAGGCCATGGAGGAAGAAGGAGCTCCTGATGCTCCGATGCAGACAATCTTTAGAGCTAGACTAATGATTTATTAATTACTAATTCCATGTTAATAAATCTCAGGATCTTTGCCTAAAATGTCCAAGGGGCAACATCCAGAAAATTTCAAAAAATATTTAAAGACTTTATGAAAGAATATCGCCCAGAGGTGGTGGCGCTGTTTGAACCACGTATAAGTGGTGGTGACAGGGACAAATTCATCAAGAATAGTGGGTTCCAATTTTCTTTTATGGTTGAGACGGAGGGTTTCCCAGGGGGGTATATGGGTCTTGTGGAAGCACTCTGTGTAGGTAGAGGTTTTGATTTGTCACCAGCAGTTTGTTCATACGGCGGTGACGAAAGGGAGGGGGAGGGGGAGAGAGAGAGGATGTTATGTACTTTTATCTATGCAAGCCCTAGGATGGGGACTAGAAGGATGCTATGGGAGGAAGTTAGAAGAGTGGCTGACGGAGTTGGGGAACCATGGGTTGTAGGTGGAGATATGAACTCTATTTTGCATGAATCAGATAGAAAGGGAGGTTCAAGCCGGAATGGAGGTCCCTGTAATCTTTTCTCAGATTGGATAGGTTTTCGCAGGAGCTCCCAACTGTGGGCACTCAATTTACATGGAGTAGAGGTGACCTAGTGAAGAAATTGGATAAGTTTTTGTGTAATAATTTGTGGGCTGAAAAGTATCAGGAGTTGGCTACCTTTCACTTGGAATGCATAAACTCTGACCACCACCCCCTTTTGATAAAAAAATACGGGGGTCCCTCCCTGGCACCAAGGTGAGAAAAGATTTAGGTTTATGATGGCATGGATGCTACACGATGGTTTTGGGGATGTGTTGAAGGAGAACTGGAATAAAGGAGGGAATTTTGAGGAGGCTTTCAAACTACTATAGGAGGGTGCCACCAAATGGAACACCGAGGTGTTTAGGAGTGTAGGGAGAAGAAAAAGGCGGGTTTTGGCGAGAATCAAGGGAGTGCAGTGAGCGAAGAAAAGATACATCTCCCCAAGGCTGATTGATTTGGAGAAGAAACTCATACAGGAGCTTGATACCATTTCCTCACAGGAAGAGCTACTGCTCATACAACAAGCAACCAGGGGCTGGACACTTAGCGGAAATCATAATACGTTCTTTTATCATAGAATGGTGCGGGCTCAGAGTAACAGAAGAAGGATTGTGGAGCTTAAAGGAAAAGATGATGTGCCGGTCTCTGGACAGGCAAATTTGGAGAGGCTGACGGCTGATTACTTTAAAAGGCTTTATACGGAGCTGAATTTTCAGCGACCTACACTTTAGTTGGAAAATCGATTCCCTTCAATCAAGAGAGCCCAAGAAATTTGGCTGAACAGAGAGGTGACAGAGATGGAAATCTTAACCGCCTTAAAAGACATGAATCCACTCAAGGCTCCGGGGCCTGATGGATTACATGCACTATTTTTTCAGAAGAACTGGGAGGTAGTGAAGGATGTGGTTTGCAACTTGGTGAAAGGAGTGCTAGTCGGAACCCACCCGCCGACAGCAATCAACCAGACTTTGGTGGTTTTGATTCCCAAAGTTGATCACCCAGAATACATGAAGTCCTTCTGACCAATTAGCCTTTGTAACGTGATCTACAAACTTATCACGAAACTAATTGCAAATTGGATCAAATTGGTTCTTCCGGAGATTATTGGGCCGGCCCAGGCGAGCTTCGTCCTAGCAGTCACATAACCGACAATAGTACGGTTGCACAGGAAGTAATTCATACAATAAAGTGCAAGAAGGGGAAAACGGGGTATAAGGCGGTGAAGGTAGATTTAGAAAAAGCATATGACATGCTTGGGTGGAATTTTGTAGAAGAGACTTTGGTCCTGGCTGGTTTTCCAGCAACCATAGTAAGGAGTATAATGGAATGCATCAAGTCAGTCTCGATGCAGGTGCAAGTAAACTTTGGGGTTACTGAAGAGTTTCGTCCGACGCGAGGCATCCGGCAAGGTCACCCACTCTCGCTATATATATTTGTGTTGTGTATTGAGAGATTGGGCCATCTAATTACTAAGGCGGTGGAGGAAAGAAGGTGGAAGCTGGTGGTGGTGGGACGACCGAAGTTTTAGATCCCATATCTCCTGTTTGCGGTTGACCTTCTACTATTCATGGAGGCGGAGGAGGAACATGGAAGGCTTTTGAGGGAGGTGTTATCAAACTTTACCATGGCCTCTGGACTGAGAGTTAGCAAACCGAAAATGATGATATGTTTCTCTAACAACGTCGACCCTGAACAGAAGCAAAAAGTCAGGGATGTTCTTGGATTCCAGGAGGTTGAAGAATTTGGGAAGTATCTGGGAGTGCCTTTAATCTAAGGGAGGAACCAAAAGAGCTTGTATGATGAAATCATCGAGAAGGTAAGGAAATCTTTGGCGGCATGGAAGGCAAAAACGCCCTTGCTGGTTGGTCGAATTACCTTAACCAAGTCAGTTCTTTCGGCGCTTCCATATAACACCATGCAGACCATCATGCTCCCGGTGGCGACTAGCAATGACGTAGAGAAGCTCTGTCGAAGGTTTATCTAGGGGGGACTGATGATAGGAGATGGATTAGTCTGGTGGGATGGGAAGAATTTTGTAAAGCTAAGGAAGAAGGAGGGCTAGGGCTGAAACGGGCTGAAGTTATGAATAAGGCTTTCATGGTAAAACTAGGGTGGCAACTAATCTCGAAGCCCAACTCTTTCTGGGCCCAAATCATCAAAGCCAAATATGGCTTTAGGAGGAGGAACCAGGAGGAATTGGATTGCCAAAATGGGTATGCTATATATCGATCCATTAAGAAGGTCTGGCCCATAGTCAAACAAGGGTGAGGTGGACGTTGGGAAATGGAAGGCGAGCTAATTTCTGGGGAGATGCTTGGGCTCAGAGATTTGGGCCTTTAAAGGAGTTGGCTAAGGGGCCATACCTGATAATCAATTAAGATGGATGGTAAGTGACATGGTGGATGAACAAGAAGGTGGGAGTGGCACCGGATCCACCATCTGTTACCGGCAGCGGTCCTGATGAATCTGATCACACTGCCGGCAATGACATCTCATGGAGGGAAAGATAAAGCATTTTGGGCACAGGGAAAGGGAGGGGAGTTTTCCACGAAGGCAGTGTATCAAGCTATCATGGGCGAAGAACGCGAGCCTCAAATGAAAATTTGGGAAAGATATGGAGTTGGGATGGACCGGAGAGGATTAGAACTTGTTTGTGGCTAGTTGCGAGAGAGAAGTTGATGACCAATTTTGAGAGATATAGGAGATCCTTTATGGATAATCCCATGTGTCCCAGATGTGGTCTGCTTCCAGAAACTACAATTCATGTTGTTAGAGACTGCTATGTGGCTAAACAACTATAGCATAGGTTAATTCAACCAGGGAAGGAGAGGGAATTTTTTGGGATGGACCTCAGGGAATGGTTGTTGACCAATCTCGGAAACTCAGGAGGGGGAGAAGAGATGGCCAACTGCTTTTGGGGTAACGATTTGGAAACCATGGAGGTGGCAAAATAAATTAATTTTTGGGAAGGAGGAGGTCAAGGGGAATGGAAGAGTGGTGGTGATTGAGAGGATGGTGGAGGGAATAAGAGAGGCGGTGGATGCAAGAGTAGCGAAGCTGGGCAACTCAGTGGGTAGAAAAGAGGAACGGATGATTAGATGGGAGCCGCCGGAAGAAGGATGGGTAAAGTCAATTCTGATGGGGCCTTTGACTGCCATACCGGAATTGCAAGGGCGGGGAGGAGGGGGGGACTAATAAGAGACCATTCGGGGAGGTGGGGAGGGGGCTTTGCAGTCTATATTGACCCGGTGACAATCACGATGGCTGAATTAAGGGGACTTTATCATGGAATGATACTGGCTTGGGAGGCAGGACAAGCAGGTTTTGGTGGAAACCGACAGTACAACGGCAATCCAATTAGTCCAAAACCGAGAAAGACCAACGGGAATACACCACGGGGTGTTCACTAGAATTTGGGAACTTCTAGACAGAGAGTGAAACATCCAAATTAGGCATTGTCTAAGAGAGGCAAATATGGCGGCCGATTTCATGGCCGCGTAATTAGACCCGACAACTTTTGTTTACCAGCATTATGTAGACCCACCCCCAGGTGTAGGGAAGTGGCTCAACCATGATGAAAGGGGATTAAATACCCCAGAATTGTAACTATATGAAATTAGGCTGTTGCCTCCGTTATTCGAAAAAAAAAAATATGGGCGGTTGGATCCGTTTTGTCGTTGGTGATAAAGCTGTTCTTTCTTCATAGACAAGATCGACTAGAATACAAGTTCTTGTTATGATGCACTTTTCGGCTTCTGCTGTTGGTTAGTAATTTTGTGGATAATGTAAATTAACTGGTGATGTCATTCTTTACAGTTCTTTAAAAAGTGTTTGACTAACCTCTTTATTCTTGTGTTACTATATTTTACTTTTCTTTTTAAAGCAATTAAATATTTCCACAATAATGATATAAACAGTAAGAAAAAAAATAATAATGACATATGATAGAGATTATGAAAGAATTATTATAACACCAAACTACTTTCTCAAAAATTGTCAACTTAAGGTAATTTAAATATTTATACAAATGCCGCATCAATCACTGATATATTTTAATGTACATTATCATTCTATACATCATTTCTCATACCATCTATTACCAACACTTATTTGGCTCAATGTGATAATTGATAATTGATTAGTTTAGTAATCTCTAGATCCTAAAAAAAAAAAAAAATACTACTTGGCATTGTCCAGCGTTGCACAATAACCAAATAGTTGACATTAAAATATAATTTTTTTTAACAAAATTAACAAATCACAAATTATAATGTTGATTATCCTGAAATAGAGAGAAATAAAACCTCCCGCTCAACAATGAAAATAAAGCAAACAAAAAGTAAACGTTAGAAGCCCTCGTCCTCAAAATCTGTATTTGAAAGTGAGGTATTTGAGCTGATTGCGTGAGTGACCGTGGGCACTAAAACGTGATCACTGAAAATTAGAGTGTCCTATGTGAAAAAAGGACACACACCCCAAAAAAAAAAACTACTAAATGACATAATAAACCTAATAATATCCATCATCATCAAATGCAAAGAGATCATCACCAAACAAACTAAATGTCCAACGTCTGAGAATTAAAAGGCCACCACAAATTAACAAAAACTCCATAATTAATTTGCAAAAGAAATCACGGACCAGATAACTCTGTTTGGTACTACTTTGGTTCATTTTTCAGTAGGTTTTTAAAGAATTTTTTATTAATAAATATCCTATTCAAACATATATTTTTATATTATATTTTTAAATACACTTTTTTATATTCTCAATAGAAAGAAAAAAAACGTCTAAAAACACATATTAAAACAAAGATCCAAAACAATTCATAAGTAAGATATTTTAACACTCCAAAAGGAGCCACGTGAAATTTGTGGCCACAAAACAAACATATACATTTGACAGATATTTTTTGTGTCTCATCATTTCAACATTAACTCAGAAATGCCAACAATTTTTCAGCATTATCTCCCCACCAATGATAGGACAGACTAAAACATTTAGCTTTTAATTTGTCTGAGAAACTGGCTTTAAGAACTTAAGTGACTAAACATTGGAAAGAATTAAATCTAGAAAACAAGAGTTTACTTGTGCTCTGATCGGCCGCAACCATCAAGCTCTAAAGGTATTCGATTGAGGTATCCAATCATTTATTAGGGAAAAAAAAGTAGGGATTTATTAATATAGTTATTGCTTTGTTGATTGTAGTGCAAGGCAGTAACTATTTAAATTATCAGAATTTCACATTTCATATGCTATGATATTTGTCCATCTTTTTTTTTTCATATGAATTAGTTGTAATTCAAAATATGTATCTATAAAAAGTGATCATCCATTCCGAATATAAGGGTATTGTTACATTTTCGATACATGATTTTATATTGTTATCAAAAAATTAAATACTGAACCATCCATGCTTGTTGGGAGAGTTTTGCCTATCCGAAAGGGAGCTACCCAGCTCGAATTCGAATTAGTCGGAACAATGACTTTGGATATTGGGTCCGTAGTATAAAAAAAAATGGGGAAGAAATACCCCGTGAAGAAACACATTTACAGTTTTTTTTTTTTTTTTTTTGGGGCTCACATGGGATGGGAATGAAAAGTTTTCAGATCTAGAATAATTGAATGGAAAACTACCAGTAATGAACAAAACAAACAAAAGTACCGAAAGCAAATGATGAAGAAGAAAATCTGTGTGGATGACTTCCATCCAGCTGAGGATGCTGAGCTGGCCAACTTTAATGATACTACTACTAACCCAAACAATTACTATTAAAGTCCCATAAATTCGAGTAGGCCCCCCACCCAGATCATATTGAAAAATTATTTATTTATATATATATATTTCCTCCCCCCTCCTCTTATCCAACACGACACGGCCCTGGTAAAAAACCACCTTCCCCAGAGAAATCAAGTAAAAATAATCGAAACCCAAAATAAACACGCATCATCATCAGAAGAGCCGTGTCATACATAATTCTTAATCTTTCCAGGAGAATGCTGATGATTGCGCCATGGAGCCAACAACCACAAACTCCTGGGTAAAGTTTTCATGCAACAAATTTTACCTTTTCCTTCAGTTCATGCTTTGTGGGTTTTCTTTTATTAACGAATTATTTCTTTTGGTTTGCTCTGTTTTTTTTTTTTTTTTTTTTGGATGCCGATGGATTGCAGGAAAGTTCTCTAAGGTTGGAGGAGAAGCTGTGTTCTTTGTGTATACCATTTATAGCGATATTTGAAGTAATGATATTCTCGGCGTGGAAATGTTTCCATTGCCATCCTCGGAACGTCCCCAGAAACTGCGGTATGACCACAAGGACCTGGTTCGACTTACCCGAGAATCTCGATGTAATTTATGTACTTCCCCCACATGTTTTTTGTTGTTGTTGTTTTTCTTTTCAGTCTCACTTTGTCTTTGATTTCTTCCCGTGGAATTTTGTGGACGGGTCGGATTTTGGATTTTTTTTTTTTTTTTTTTGCATATTTGTGAATTTTCATTCTTGATCTGTTTTCCCTCCTTATCCAAAGGCCCTGAGATGCAAAATCTCGGGTCTGTCTACATGCAAAATTAAAATCTTCAAAATGGGTTTTTGTTTAGATGCTTAACTTATCTCTTCTGTGGAGAGATTTGGAATACTGGGTGAAAACTTTTTTTGAAGACTTTGGATCATGATGATGGGAATAACGGTTTTCTTTTTTTTTTTTTTTGAAGTCCTAATAGCAATTTGTTTTTGTTTTTTGTGTTTAATACTGACATTTTTGAGTGGTTTCGGTTTCCTTTTAAGTAAAGATCAACTTAATATATCCAAAGTTGAGCTTCTGAACTATGGAACCTGAACTTGAGGTGTCGGTGACTAATCCTTTGTTTTTCACGCAGTTTCCATAAATGAAATAGAAGCATTGTATGAGTTGTTCAAGAAGTTGAGCAGTTCAATTATAGATGATGGTTTGATTCACAAGGTATTCTCAATCCCTTACTGCTTGATTGTGATACTTTACCTCTTGGGTTCATTTGCTCTGTGAATCCGGTGTTTTTACGGGGTTGAAATTGACTCCTGGATATCCCCTGTGATCTTGTCACTTTTTTTAGGAAGAGCTTCAGCTGGCATTGTTCAAAACTCCACATGGTGAGAATCTTTTTCTAGACCGGGTAAATGCTCTACGAAGAAACTTATATCTAGTGTTCTATTCCGTGATTCACAATTCACTATATTAAAAGTGAAAGCAGTGGAATACAATTATTAGTAGTTTCTACACTCTCTGTGGCAGTCACATTTATCTGGTGACAATGTTGTTCATAGAATGATGACTAGGGACACAAGTGTCGTCCCTGCTCTCTTCCTTGAGTATTTTTGCTAGTTTTGCGGCTACAAGACACTTCAGTGCAGAACTGGGACATAGAAAATATCTAGATTTGCCTTTTGTTTCCCTCTTCCTTTTCATTTCACTATAACTACAAAGATGGTGGAGGTATAGCCTCTTATCCTGTAGCATGTGCATACTTCACCGATGGATATATTTAATGCATAAGCTAAGAGAAATTTCGCAGTATTTGTTAAACTGGAGGTGTTTGAAGCCCTCTATCAGTTCCTTCTTATCATGAACCGATATCCTTGATTAGTTGTAAGCTTTCTTATGTGAGTCTTCTTTCAAGAGCAGCGCCGAAGTAGGAAGTCTGTAGCTATTTGTTGCCTGTCTTTACCTAACATCATGGACATTATAGTACTGAAAGTGATTTTAACAAACTAACAAAGTACAACTTTTTCTTATTTTTACTTTTTTGGCAAAAGTCAAGGAGATCAATGATTTGAATGCGCCCATGTTGGAATGATTGTGTAGTTTTCGCGCACTTCACTTGGCTCTGGTTCTGCTCTGCAGGTTTTTGATCTATTTGATGAAAAGAAAAATGATGTTATTGAATTTGGGGAGTTTGTCCACGCATTAAATGTTTTCCATCCCTATGCTCCAATGGAAGAGAAAATAGATTGTAAGTGACATGCCTTACAATTTTGACATGGCCGTCAAAACAACATGATTCTCAGTTAACTCACTACTTGTGTTCTCATATATTGTGCAGTTGCATTTAGGCTTTATGATCTCAGACAGACTGGATTCATTGAGCGAGAAGAAGTGAGTGATTACAACTTAACATTGGGTTTGATAGATTGATTATTCATGTTTAAGTTTTGTTTTTGTGTTTCCTTTAACTGTCAAGTGATGTTTTCAGTTTCAGTAAGCGCATAAATTAGAGCAAAATGCAACACTTCTTGAAACAGAAACTAATTACTTTAGGAGGAAAATGATAAAAAATTTCCGCTTTCATTTCCTCTTTTTCCCTGGTTAGACATAAGATTTAAAAATTAAAGCATGATTGCTTTGCATTTTGGACTGTTGGTGGATAACACAGTAAGAAAAGGAAATTAAAGAGAATGAACTGGCCAACTTCAATTGTATTTTCCTTTCTTGATGAGATGTTATATTTTCTAGCCTTAACTTTTTTCGGTTCTAAAAAATTCAAATCCTTTTTGTGCTCGAACGGTGAGAGGACTACCTTAGATTCCTAATAACAGCCCCATGATATCCTTCTATGACTCAGCAGCTAGTGGTCATTCGCCAGATATTTCACAGATATATTAGGTTATGTGTTTGAGGGTTCCTTTTTTTGTTCTTGTTAGGATAACTGAATTTCATGTAAACAATTGGTATAAAGGTGTGGGGCGATGACAAACCTCTGATTGGCACTTCTATTTAAAATTTAGTTTCTTTTGCTGCTTTTTACACTTTGAAGTTATATTATCTGTGATTGTTCTAGTGGCTTGTTCTGATTTTCTGGTGAAATCTGTTTGAGATGGGTAATAGTTGGTTTGTGCAGCTTCTTAAAATGTTATGAAAGAAAGACAAGGAAGAGCGTGTCATAAATATTGGCATGTTTTCACCCTGCCTGTAGTGTCTATCTCGTAGTTGACAGAATCTGTATTTCAGGTCAAGCAAATGGTGATTGCAATTCTAATTGAATCGGATATGAGGTTGTCTGATGATCTTCTGGATCTCATAATTGACAAGGTACAAAATTGTTACACAAAACAGATTTCGTTTTTTCTTCCCCTTCTGGAATCAAATTGTAACCAGAGCATCTGCATCTATTTTAGACATTTGCTGATGCCGATGCTGATGGAGATGGGAAAATCAATAAAGAGGAGTGGAAGGATTTTGTTATTCGACACCCCTCACTCCTGCGGAACATGACTCTTCCTTATTTGAAGTATGCCACTTCGTTTGTTGTCTTAGTCCTTCTTCTTGTTCTGTTGTTGTGTTTCTGTCGTTCTTTTAAGCAGTCGTTCAAATCACCTTCTTGCATACAGCTGAAATTCTGGGTCCTCAAAGACTTAGAAAAACTTGTTTACAACTTTAGCATGAAACTGGTTTACAATTTCTGTAACTGCCTAGAATTTCTAAGTCTTTGAGGACAAATAGTAATAAAGCCCTCCATGAGAATATCTTTTGCTCGCTCAAAAGAGCTTACGTTTCACACTGATATTTTCATTTCACAGGGACATCAGTACCGTATTCCCGAGTTTTGTTTTCAACACAGAGGTTGAAGATGAAGATCCTTGATCTATTCTTAGTGGAAGTTATACAGCTCTCTGAATTCGCGTGGGACTAATTATACGGGCATGGCACCTTGTTTTCTTCAGTTTCTCCCCCGTCTGGGAATGAGTGCTCAAGCGGGCGACAAGGACTGCTTGAAGCGCGTTCAAGAAGGCATTTCGAGATTATATTCTTTGGAATTGTTCAACTTTGAGCAACTCCTTTGTACATCCCAATTGAAAGACTCCTTTCCTTGTAAATGCACAGTTTCATGGAAGATTTTGTTTTGGGGCATCTCTATTGCGGGAAACTGCTCATTGTGATGAGTCATTGAGTTGGTTGCAGTTTTGTTGTAAATTAGTTCTCCTTGTAACCGATCTTGTATTAATTTCCAAAAAACCAATCTTATATTAGCATGGACAAATCATCTCTTCTTTTCCAACATTTCTTCTTGATGCTTGGTTTACTCATTTTTTATGGGGTTACCGCGTTACCTCACTATTTGAATCCCTTAATTTTTGTTCCTCTATATTATTTTAATAGTTGGTTTTGTTTTTTTTTTTTTTAATTGGAAGGCCCCAGTGAGAATTGAATCATCGACTAATAATTGATTTTGTAAACTTCTCTTTTGACATCCATTAATTTATTATATATTACTTCACTCTTTTATACTTCTTCTGCCTCGTAATTATTGTCTATTTTAAGTTTCTATTTTTAGTTCAAATTATACTAAAAGTGAAATCTCAAACTGGACAATAATTTTGGGACGGAAGAAGTACTATTTTAGTAGTCAGTTTTGTACAATTTTATTCAATAGCTACTCTTCCTTGAAACATAACATTACTATGAAATGAAAATATGAAACAGAACAAGTATCAGTTTCTTCCAAAAAATGTGCCTGTATATTAATTAAGAAAAGGTACCTATGCTATTACAACACATTCTATTATAAGCTTAGGTTATGTAATTCTACAACATCTTGTCTACTCACTTTACTCATTATACATGACTGAAAAGAAGAAATAGTACTATTCAATAAAGAGACCACCTCTTGGACCTTTGAAAGTATATCAGGGGATCGCAAATCTTCGGTAAGAGATTCACAATAAGTGTACACCATAAGACTAGTGATACCCAAATTTGCTGCTTCCTTCAAAGTCAGAAGACAATGTCATTGCCTCTGACTAAAAAGGAGAGAGCACATTTAGATCCACCGTTTTGATTTGCATCACCATCCCATGTGGTGATATGATCTTCCATGCTCCAACTGTTTTCTTATTGATGATTGAATGAACCATCAAATATGACTAAAGTATCCGTTGGATTCCTATTCGGGTGTTGTTGAGTGGAAGATCTTCTAGTTTTGATATGGATTGGTTCTGTTGATCAAGGTTGACCTCAGTTTGAATGATCCTCCATGACACCGCCGAATCGTTACTTTGATTCCTCTAAATTTTATCATTGAATTCCAGCCATATCCTCCAAATAATAATTAGGAAGAAGTCTACCTCTTGTTTAGACAGATGTGTCTGAATCCAAGCAATGAACCATTGTAGCAGAGTTATATGGTATTAAAAATAAAACCAAACCGTGGGAAAGCCAAAGTTCAAATAGGCTGGGATGCATCACATTTGAAGAATAAGTGCAAATTGTCCTCAACGTGTTTAGAGCATCTTGGGCAAATTTTATCCACCTGGACACCTCTCTTAACCAATTTGAATCTGGTAGAAAGAGCATTAAGTAGAGCTTTCTAAAATAGAAATTTATGTTTAGGCTGAACTCCTGAGTTCCAAAGACGTTTCCATGCTAACCTTTCCGCATTCACAATTATTGGATCTTGAGCAAGTTGTGGGAGATGGGCATTAATAGTCAAATGGTATCCTGTTTTCACAGTATAATTGCCGCGATCTGAGAGTTCCCAATGGAGTTTATCCCTCTGATTCTGCCTTGCCGGATCAATAAAAATGCATGTTATATGGGAGATAACTCAATTCGAGAAGAAATTCCTGAGTGCATGGACTTTCTATTGGCCATTTGAATTAATAAAACGATCCACTATCAAATTAGAATTGGCTAGAATGGACTTTGCACTGATTGGATTCTGAATGCCAGGAATCCAGTTTGCTGACAGAGGAATATCTTTACCTGAAATCACTTTCCACTTAATGTGATCTTGTAGTAACTCAGCTCCCCACATTATACTTTTGAATCCCCACGAAGGGTTTCTGGGAGGTTGTACCGGAGGGAACACACCATCTAGACAGTATTTGGCGCGAAATAAGTTTGCCAACAAAGAATGAGTTGCAGACAGTATCTTCCATGCATGCTTACCGAGAAGTGCCTGATTTAATTCGTTTGTAGCTTTAAACCCAATCATCTATGAAAGGTAGATTTTATGATTTTCTTCCTCGCACACCAATGAATTTTCTTGTCTTGGTTATCACCTTTCCACACAAAATTACCAATGATTAAGTCTGTCTTTTTCAATGTGTGAACATGTAACTTGAATACTCCCATTAGATACACTAACATTGAAGACAAAGTTGATTTGGCTAGAGTCACTCTTCCTAGAAGCGACAACAACTTGGTTTTCCATGATGCAAACTTATTGCTAATCTTTGCAATAAAGTCATTGAAGATGACTGTCTTCTTTTCATTAAAATCGAGGCTTATACTTGCTATGAAACCTTCCCACCAGAATCTTTAGAGTAGAATGTATAAAGTGCTTCATATTCTGACTAGTATTAGCACTGATGAGAATAGAAGACTTGTGAAGGTTAATACGCTGGCCTGAAAACTTGGTATAATTTTCCAGTAATCCTGCCAGAACTAAACAGATGACTACTTGCATTCAATAAAGAAAAGGCTACCATATGTATACATAAGGTGACTCACCCTAGGCGCATGACGACTTATTCTAACTCCTAATCCAGAAAAATGTTCTGATTTAATTGCTGAGGAAAGAACCTGTTGGCACAAAATAAAGAGCTATGGCTACAAAGAACAATCCTGTCTCAAACCTTTATTCGGAGAAAAAGATGGTAGACTCTCGCCATTAAATTGAATGGAATAAGGGACAGGGGAGACACAATACATGATTAAGGCAATCAATCTTGAAGGGAAGTTTGCCTTGTGAAGAACTGCCAGTAAAAAAGACCGTGAAACTCGATCATAAGCTTTATTCATACCAAGCATGATGGTTGTCAATCCATGAACACCCTTTTGCTTTTTTATACACTCAATGACCTCATGAGCTATAAGAATATTCTCGTTGATGTTTCTGCCAGGCACAAATCTATTTTGATACTCATCAATAAGATCATTCATCACATGTTTAAGACGATTTGTTATCATCTTTGTTATGATCTTGTACTTGACATATCATAAACTAATGGGGCGGAAATATTGTTGGCGAAGCTGTCTTAGGTATGAGAACCAAATGGGTTTGATTCCTTTCCGGAGGAAAGGACATAGTATTAAAAGTTTCAAGAATAGAAGCTTGAACTCCTGAACTGATAATGTCCTTGTAATGGAGATAGAAACCTGCTGGTATGCCATCAGGTCCTGGAGATTTTTAAGGAGACATTTGTTTAACTGCAGACCACACTTCCGCCTCTATGAATGGAGCATCTAAATAAGCAGCTTGATCAGTAGATATAAATTCCTCTACATTATCAATAAGACTGGTGAAAAATGAGGAGCTCTGTGAGATTTGAGAACTGGACTCTACTAACATATATATATATATATGTATATAGAAAAATGATTCTGGAGCAGTGAACTAATTTGGACATGATCCTGAATCCACATTTCTTGATCATCACAAAACTCATTAATCCATTTGTTACCTTTCCTCCAAACAGCCTATTGGTGAAAAAATTTTGTGTTCGGTTTTCAAATTGTGTCCAATTAAGCTTTGATCTTTGTTGCCCATAGTCATGCTGAAGCTGAAGGGCCTCCTCCAATTCCCTTCAATGATTTTCCAATGTGAAGTCATCTGCACATCATTCTTGTTTCCTTCCTATTGTAATTGAACTTGAAACAACTTCTCACGGTCTAAAAACAAGATTGTCCAAATTACTATACATCACTATTATCTCAAATAATATTATATTCTTCACGTATAAGAAAATCTCAAAGTAACGTGTCACTATTTTGAGTATTTTCTACTAGGTAAACCAAACAGACAAGTTCCAGTGCGGTGGTGACAAAGCTTTGATGACTTTCTCTTTAATATATTCTCTTCAAAACATTCCCCACTTTTTTTCTTAACAATCTCTTGTCAATAGTTCTTTTTTCTCCTTACTCGGCCCAATTTGGAATTGGATTGTGTTATATTATTATTATTACATTACACGCACACACACAGCGACTCTTGGAACTCACTCGGTGGAGTGCGAGGAACAACAGAGGGGACGGTGAGAGATGGCGGACAAGCCAAGCAGAGCAGTGGTGTTGTACGGAGATGGGTTAGCCCCTTTGATCGATTCAGTCCATACCCACTTCCATTCCATGGCCTCCCTCTCCTCTTGTGGCTTCTTAACCCTCCCTCACTCCCCTCCTTCAGGTTATAATCTTCCCTTATTCTTCAATTATCTTTTTTTTTTCCCTGCTTCTAAGTTCCATCTGATGCAACATGTAATATTGGAGGAGGTGGAAGAATAAAGAAGGCATTTTGTTCTTTAATGGGATATTTTTATGAAAATGGAGAAGATTGAGTGGCCTGCAAATCTATCTAACTACATTAATGGAGAGTTTCAGTTTATGTTCAAGATCGGATTTTTATCCTTCTGTGTCAGTATCTTTTGGAGATTAATATGTTACAGCTCCTAATTTGAAGAACTAGCGTTTTCTATGTTTGATTTACTTTGGGGATTAGCGTGCAGAAAATGATGAGGCAAGAATGGTTAGAGAGTTTGGCGAGCTACTCGATGTTAATGAGGTGAAATTTGATTTTACGCTCTTTGTTTCCAATATATTGATTCATCCCGTGTAATGAAATAAAGGCTTAGTTCTTGTCTTGTGTTATACTATTACAATGGCACAATCAAAATCCAATGTTGCTTGTTTTTGTGTTCAGAATGTGAAAGACTACACTCAAGCTGATTCTCAGGTTCCTACAATATCTGACAGGTTAGAAATTTTTGGAAACCTTAATTTCTTCTGTAGTGGTAACGATTTATCAATTTGACAGAATCTTATGTGGATTGGTGCTTTCACTACTTTTAGATTTATGGGACTGAAAGCTGCTCTGGTGACCAACAACTCAAATCTTCAATGCTTTGGGCGCAAGTGTGGATTGACCATCTTGTCCATGAATGAGATTACTGGGAGCAGCCATCCCTTGGACCAGCCATTCCTTGGGGCTTCTGGGCTGTTAAAGGTGCTTGGGTTTCAAGATGGGAAAACTTTAGATACTAGCCAGTTTGATTTGATTCTTGTTCACATGGGAGCTGGTGAAGGACCAGATGGACTTGTGGATATCAAACAAGTCAATGACCTGGTTGGTGCATTAGTTGATATGGTAAAACCAGAAACTGAAATTAGTTCACGATTGCATCTTTCTCTCATAATGAGTTACGGAGCTGTGCATGGAGATGGAAATTCAAAGTCCTCACTTTCTGTTGTCAAGCTGGATGATAATTCTAAACTCTCGCTGCTTTACCCTCGCCAAAGTTATACATTGAAAGCTGGGAAGCTCCGAGAAAATGTTAGGTAAATAGTGCAAGTTATCTTCCTTGTCAAGCCAACAAATGCCGGCTCCATCTTACAAGATCTTTTAACAGGTGCCACAGTCCGATGCTAATTGCTCAATGGCAGAATGCTGTGACCCGCAGAGATTTGGTTGGGACCTTTTCTTTTCTTAATTTCAAGGAGGTATATGTGCTAAACATGCAGTTGAATTCTGTGTTAGTGCAGTTTAGTATTTCTAAGTAGATAGGTATTTATATGTCTGCCAGTTGCTGCTCTTCTGTTATTCAGTCCTGATGTTCTAGTTCATTTATGGGGAATATGTACAAGGCTTTGGTGAGTTTGAAGGATGTTCTTTGTGGGCTGAAGAGGTTGATGATATCTTTAATATGGTTTTCTAACCTACACAAGCATATAACGCGATGCATTCGGAGCTTGATTATAGCCGTACTTTGTTTCTATTCTGATCTTTTTGGATCATGCATTGTATTTGTAGCTTTCTGATGTGATTCTTGGAGGGCAATCGATCCATTTCAGAATTTTTATATTCAATGTGCACATGCTTATATCGCATTAGGTTGCTGTAAATCTTTTTGGAAATTGTTGTTTACGTGTGTTGCCCAACTCTATTTTCGATAATCTTGAATGTCTCTTACTGCCTTACTCGGCAATTTGCACTTACTTTGCATTTGACAGTAGATTTTTAAAACTTCTGCGATTGTGTTACTTTGCTGCTGTCCTCGGCATGTGGTTAATTGAGCAGTTTGTATTGATGTGTCTGCCATTTTGTAGTAGAGTAGACATGACAAAGTTGTGTTGTAGTTGTATATATGTGACGGTTGTATCATTTCTCTGCTGTCTACCATAATATTATGCTTGAGGGGATATCAATGTGTAAGCTAATTTTGAGGATTTACTTTTCATGCAGCATGGAGGCAACCTTGTGATACCTGCTGATAGATTCATCCATGAAGTAGCATTTAAACTTTGGAAGGCTCCGAAATATGGAGCTTGAAGTCTCAGTTTGCCCTGGATGCCTGAGCTTAGTTTTGATAGCGAATAATAACTGAAAATGCAAAAAAGAGTCTTCCCTTTAGGGTTCTGTTTTCTCCAGAAGAAAAATAAAGAAATTTGGTTGCCGATCAATAAAAAAAAGGATCCAACCTCTTAACGTGTAATAGATGGCTTCCAAAACTACAGGGTCATTAGTATGTTTCCAAAACCTGTTATTTTCTGTAATTTGTCAGTAAAAATAATGTAAGCTATTCTTTTCTCTTTCAGATGCCTTGTTGTTTTCTACGACATTGATGTCTGCATTGATCGCTGCGTCTTATTTATCATCTCGTTGTCGAAGGAGTAGCGATCAGAAGGGAAATCTTTGTTGAACTTCATGATCCAAACACAGCAGAAAGTTGCTTTTCTACGAGTATAATACAACAGGTAGTAGAAAGTTGCTTAGCTCATGGTTCCCGATTCAATCAGGCTGAGTAAGACTCCGGAGACCAGCACAATTGAGATGAAAATCCCGCAATAAATGAAGAAATTATTATTTACAGTGTCTTTTTTCGAAACATTTTAAAAGATGAGGAAAACATTTATTTAGCTTGCGCTCATAAGAAGCACTGGACAAAGCGAATTCCTCTATGAAGCATAAAAAATTTTCTCTATATTATTGCAAAATGAGTTAGCTCTCCAAAATATGGTTAAAACAGTAAGTAGCCGAAAGAAACCATCCTATGAGAAGAAACGAAAAAAAGCACATCCCAATTATAAAAGGCCATCCCACCATGAGTACACCTAGGAACGTTACCACCACAAAAGGTAAAAATGCCCGCAGCACTGAGAAGCCATCTGCCCAGTGCCCTTTCAAAAATATGAGCCCAGCCACACTGATCATGTTCCAATCCATTGATCTTCCATAGCAGACCCGATTCAGACAACTAGCGACAAATGAGTGAGAGTTACACGTGAAAAGGTTGTAAGATTTGTGCTCGAAGGAACGCATGCTTGAATGCAGGGCGTCGTCCCATGTTAATGCAGTCCCATACTCAGCATGTTTGTAGCCATGCGTACATGTGTGCGCAGAAAGATTTGGTGGAAAGCAGCACTGTTCAAGCAATACAGATATTGACACGTTTCAGTAAAGGTTCACTTTCAATATCTAAATTGTCAATCAAGCCTATCAATTTCTGCTATGAACTAGTAACATATCACAGTTAATCTTCTCACTGAGTCTCCAGTTGTCCAGGCCCGGAAATATATGGAAGACATTTATTTTTCAGCTGCAAAGACATGATTGAGAGAGTCATGAAGTAGTACCTGTTCTCTGTCTAACTGAAGGTATCTGGCTACAGAACCAAAAGCAAATTCATCAATATTAATTGAAAAAGATCCAGAGAAATCTAGAATAGCACCATCCTCCTGGCATATGCCAACATGTCCAATAAAAGGCGCCAACCACGACACAACAGGAAGCGGTGTCCAGACTAGACAACAGGGGAACTTTGAGTTCTTTGCGTCAATTGGACTTAGGGGCCAGAATTCATGCAACCTTCGACCAGGACTTTTAAGTCCAGCGCTGTAGGGATCACGTGCTAGCTCCATCACCGATGGCCCCCCTAGTGACTCAAATGTTGTCATAAATTATTGATCTGTGCAAATTGTTCACAATTCAGACAAATCCCTCGAACATGCTCAACGTACAGTTCATGCATCTGGCACAGAACAATGCAATGAAGAACTTTCATGTCACATTTTGTTTGGAGGGGGAAAGAAAATCTATAGGGAAACACCAAAGGCTTCTGTATAAAACAAAATGCTAATCCTGCTACATGATAAATTTACATGGAAAAAGATTACCTAAGGTTTTTTCATGTGTGAAAAGGTTAATGGAAACAGACCCAAAAACACATAAATTGTCATGGTCTATGACTGTCGTCAAAATGGCCCTCAAGTCTACTGTCGATACACAAATGACAAAACTATACCCTGTCGCAAATAACATCTCTCTTATAGCAAAGATTAGTGCCACTCAATTTCTACCACCAATTAACAAAAGATAATCAGATTTTACGAAATCAAATTTAAGGATGTACAACATCCACTTTGTTATGCAATGTGCACAGAAAGTAATCATGTCACATTTTCCATTGAGATCACTTGTTCTGTAACTGGGGATACATTAACCTTCAATACTTCCCACCAGTTTTTGCAGGGAAAAGTAGTACGAAATCAACCACTCACCCTGCACAGAATACAAGTTCCATCCATTGGTCACTACAAAAGGACCCGTATTCCCCAAAACCCTATCAACCGATTAGAAAATGAAGTCAAAGCTATCCAGAAATATTGAAAAGAAGATGTTCAGCACCATTGTACTTAACATATCTAATCCCTTTACTTTGATACGTACGTAAAACTCTTTAAAGATATTTGTTATTCTTTCAAAGCCATACAAAAGATGAAGTCCACTGGATATCTTTTATTAATCATTTACGATCCTTATATATCGGATAAAGAAATGAAGTAGTGTGACTTGAGAACTGCATCCAAACATAGCCGCCCAAATTAACCCAGGCGTATTTGATTCAAACATTATGGCCCAACTCAATTTAACACCACAGCAAGTGAGTAAATATTCTCAATAAATAAGAACAGTTTTCTAAGCAACCAATCTGTTAATACAAATTAATCATTGATCATCCGCCTTTTTCTTTCCGGTGCCAATAAAGAGAATGAAAATGAACCAGCAAAATCCAAGACCAATCAACAAAGAGATTTACAAATGAATAAGTAGAACCCAAGACAAGAAATCATGAAGAACAATATATTTTGGCAAAAAAAAATGTCATCTTGACAATATCTACAAACAAAAACCAAACCCATTTCAGAAATCCATAAGCAGCATATTTGAAAGGGACCACCAAAAAAATAACAGCAAGAAGAACTGGAATAATAACAAACCTAGATGATCCAAGATGAACTGGTTCGGAAACCTGGGACAGGAACCGAAACCTTTGACACTTGATGATGCAAGTGCAACTGTTGAAGATATGAGACATTATATATGTGCTTCCAATTAAATAAGAAAAAAGTGAGATTAAAAAAGGAAACAACTTCTAGAGCATGAGCGATGAAGTTGGTGTGGGAGTGTGTGATTTCCAACATTTAATTATTAATATAGTTGAGGAAACTGATCAAATCAATAATTTTTGCCGATTGAAAAATGAGGGAGAAAAAAATAATAAAAGGAAGCAGAAACATGGCAAGGTTCATGTATCTGCTTCAATGGTGGACCCCCTATATTTTCTTTCTCATGTGGTAGGATTTGCCGGTTTGGAAAGATCTTTATTAGCAATCTGGTCCTTGTTGTTTGACTTAATTGTGGTTTAAGTTCTTATCCCAATGTCCTTTTCTACCATTATTGTGTGCAAATTGGCACATGTTTAATACAACTAGGAATAAGTTAGTCTTATTTCTCAAATAAAAATTGAAACTTTGATTAAAAATCGATGATGGACTGATGATGGCCAGAGACAATTGGAAAGAAAGCATTGGACAGAAGCATTAAGTCATGGATAGCCTAAAAGATTTCAGGAAAAAAAAAGAAAAAGTGATGCTGCATAACAAGGATGACTTCTGTGTAGTGATAGTTCAAATTTTCCATTAAAATGAATAGTAGGGAGATTTAAAAAGGAAAAACATATTCCTTCATTCTCTTTGTTTCTTTTTCCTTATATTTTGTTACAAATTTTAAAGATCGAAATAAATTACCTGTCATACAGATCAGAGAGTTGTTCATGTTATATATAGAAAAGTTTTACTTGTCTAATAGAGCAGTTTCCATATACAACTACAAAGTTCCTGTATCACTTCTGTTATTCACGGAAAAAACAAAAAAAAAAAAAAGGAAAATGATCTAGAGAGATTAAAAGGGCTCCCTAATTCCCATTACAACAACACTGTAAAGATCTGCAATGGAGACATAATGAATATATATACATGTATATGTACTAACAGGATCTTATCACCATCAGATAATGGCCGGCTCGCCACAGAATGCATCGGGCTCAAAAGTTCTAGCTGACTCATCATTGTAAGCTCCAGGCACAGCTCTACCACCGGATTCCTCGGAAGTCATGTATGCAGCATCCTTGTGGCTGGTTTCCGCGTTCAAGAATACGAGTACGCATATGACTAACGATATGGCTAGTGTCACCAGGGTGTTCTTTAATCTATTGAGCACAGGCTTTACCTGTAAAGAGCCACAAGAGTGGAGGATTCTTCTTCATCAAAAGTTTTTTCCATCACAAATTTCAATTGCAGTTTGCTATCATTCAAATGCAGTTCCACAATTATTTAAACACACAGCTTTCGCTTTCCATTTTATGCTTAGCATTTAATAGTGGTTTGCTGCCTATATCTGCAAGTGCTTAGCCATATGACATTGATCAGATACCAAGCTTAATCATATACCAATTAATCATTGGAAACTGAGCACAAGTCTTATGGTGTTTGGAAACAATAAATCAATTGAAATGGTGAGGAAAAACAAATTCTAGAGAAGAAGCCAAAATTGTCCCAAAAAATGATTTGCAGAAGTAATTAAACAGCTTCAGAAACTAGGGAATGATGCTCCATTCGTCTTGTGACTACCAGAACATAATACAACTTAAGCAAAAGAAAAAAGAAAAAAAAAAAAAAAAAAGAAGAAAGAAAAGCCACTTTAATCAACTTACGGAAAATGAACCCAACAGTCGATCGCGAGCCAAAACTTCTGCAGTCTTCACCCACATCTGTGCAGAAAATTCCGATCAAACCCCTGCTGTCCAAATCTTATCTTGCAAGCAAGATGCACAAGAAATTCATATGGAACATGCTATGGAATAGCAGAGAGATACTTAAATTGCATTTTTCTTTTCCCTATGACTCAATGTCATGGTTTTCACTAACTATAACCAAATTAACTGGCTAAGATCTACAATATAAACAAGACCTACAAAGATAGATTCCAGAATCATAAAGTTAGGAGCATATATTCAGGATATGTCAACTTGGTGTCAAGTGGAAAAATGACATCGGCACCCCATACATGATGATCACGAAATTCATTTGCAAGCTTCTACATGGTCATCTCAAAAATGATTTGTGGTCTGCTAATTGTGACTAATCATAACATCTTGTTGCACCCTTGGAATATAACGGCTAGAAGAATTTAGCGCCCCGAATGCACATATGAGGGCATCCAAATACAACAATCAGACAAAATACTAAAGGTGTGGCCTTGTTTTCGTGACAAAGATGGAAACTGCCAGATAAATAACAAAAACTAGAAGGATTTCTACAACAACTGCTACAAGGGAAAAAATAAAAAAGAACATCCAGAGTGATGGTTTTTACTCAAACTGTTTCCATCGGTGATGACCAGAATATGAATCAAGATGCAAACTAAGTATGGTAGATGGAGCAATTTACTTAGTCAAGTGGGTATCTTGAAGCAAATATGCTCTCTTATCTGAACCCGGAAAAGGTTTAAAAACATCAGAAACCACACAAAGATGACTAATAACTAAGTACTAACAACAAAATGGGTACAAAAATCAGGTAAGCATCCTCAAGGGAAATCGTAGATACTGCGGCCTTCCTTTCATTAGTTTACGAAGATCTCATAAGTAAATGTGGGGAGAAATGGAAAAAGCTAGATTAAAGTCAGGTTCAAGATTCAATTTTTACTCCATTTAAACCAAAGTGGACATCCTATTCCTCTCTTAACAAGTGCCAATATTATAATCCAGCTTCTATTTCAGGCATCATAGATTTTCACAAATAACAAGAACCTGGAAATACCTGCCCATCATACCACCCTGTCTCTTCATCTGTTAATCCAAACAAGCAAATTAGCCAGGGCAGAATATACCATAAACAAAAAGGAAAAGAAAGTACAAGTCTCTAGAATTCAACTCAAAAGGGAAAGATGATATGATTTACATTCAACAGTGGCACTGAGTAACCTGTTGCCCACATAAGCCCAACCCAAGTACATCCTCACCACCAGAAGAGTCGCCACCAAGATTCCACTTGAAACCCCGGCGGTGACCACCTTGATAGGGTCGGATTCGGGTCCGATTGTCCCGAACCAAGAAACAGGAACCCCCACAAGCAGTGAAAATCCAGCACCAGTAACAAAGAGGCGTGAACAGTACTCGACGAGGTCAGCTGAGGCCCACGAAAATGGGAAGGAAGTGGAAAGGGACTTGAATTCATTGATGGGTTGCTGCTCCTGAGGAACTGGGCATTCCCCTGTCTCTGAGGATTCTGGTGGGATGCTACTGTTTCTGAAGGATGCAAACGGTGTATTGAGGTGATGGGTTCTTCTAAGGTTATAAGCTATTGGGATTGTTCTGATAATCATTAAGGAGGCGGTGGAGCTGTGAGTAGAGGAAGAAGGCAAAAGGGGCTGTAACAATGGCGATTTGGGTGATGGAAACATAGTAGTGGCCATTTTCAGTCCTCCAGACTCTTTTTGAACTTTCGTTTTTTGATTCAGGGGAAGTGACAAGTAGAAGGTGAAAAAAATCCCTTCCCAAATGGTAGGAAGAATTTCTCTGTTTCTCAAGCTTTGTAGTTTGTAACATTCTCAAAGTTGTCAAAATTGGATTTTGACATTTGTCTTTTGCAAGAGGTTAAAACTTAGTAGATAATTCAATGTTTTTTTTATTATTATTTTACAAAAAAAAAAAAGTCAAGATTCAAAGGATTGGTAAACGAAGACTGAAGTAAAAAAATCTCACTAACAAATTAACGAAACCAAATAATAAGACAAGTAGTTTGTTTGGAGCAATACTTGCATCCAAATATCAATAACAAGAGACTATGATGGAAAGGAAGGTCGCACAGTTGAATTCAGAAACCATAACTCAGAAAGTTACATTTGAACCCATTTTTGCCTCTTTTCCCAAAAAAAAAAATAACCCAGTTGTGCAATTCTTTCCCTTCGGAAAAGAAAATTCCACAGCCGCTTTTAACATTACGAGTTTTCTGCAACACACAGAAAAAAGATGGAACGCCAAGGGAAAGGAACACGGCCCTTTGCGCCATAATGAAAAAATACAGTTTCCTTTGCTCCCTTCACATCTCCTGTTGTAAATGCCGTATCTTTACACTAGTGAGGTAAGTTTGCTACCTCAGCAGATTCAAAAGCTATTTTTCTTTTATCATTATGTACTCATGTCAGAGTTATTCTCACATATATATATATATATATATATAAGCTCTACATCTTCTACCCCTGTAGCCTACCAATAGAAACACAATTTTTTTTTCTTTTTATTTAGTATTTTCCGCCATCACCACCACCTAAATGTATAGTAAGGTCACCCATAAATTACTTTTGACCTGCTTCAGATAGCATATCCTCCCCTCCACCGCACTTCTTTGTGCATACTTTACTTTGGAGAACATATACTACTATTATACTGAACCGGAAGTGTTGCGTCCCCACTTCGATTGAACCAACACCACCTTATCCAGTATGCTGCATGATTCTTTCCATCTACAAGATTTTTTGCAACAGAAGAAAACTCTTAGCTATCTTTACAACAATCCGAGTCCATCAGCCCTATAGTTGCTTTGCCTCCATATCTGCTTTCCGAACAACTAAGCGCTGAAGACACTTTAGCCGGGCGATAATCTCTTTAAATGATGGCCTTTGGTGCTGATTACTGCATGCCAAAAGAAACATGTTGTTCAGCCAGAAAGCAATTTGCAAAAGATGTTAAAAAGGAGTAACAATAAATCTCACAGGAAAAAGCCATCTCCAAAGAACAGATATCTACGAACCTGCACCTGGCTACAGGGGAAAAGGAGGGGGAGGGGGAAGGGGAATCAAAAGAACTTACAAATCCCAGCAGTTGTTGATAATTTCTGCGACCACTGGGTCAACACGATCTGGAATATTGAGGCGTCTACCCTGGAACCCAACAGCTCCAACCACCTGCATAGAGTTCATCCCTGTCCATGGGACATCCAGCGTCGCCAACTCCCACAAAATTACACCAAAACTGAACACATCAGATCTGCAAGAGAAACAAAAAACCAGGCCCTCCATAAGAAATACTCGTGACATAGGACTCCCAATGAAGCTAAAACTTTGAAGAGAAAACTGGAGACTAGAAATGCAAAACTCACTTCTCACTGGATGGTTCATTCCTCAAAACTTCTGGTGCCATCCATTCAGCCTGCACGCACAACATCTAAGTCAGCTCTGTGAAACTCAGTTTGCGAAAAAAGAAATGCAGGAATAGAGCCAATTTGATTATAATTTCAGTTTTTAGATTATTACTGTCCCAGCTGCAGACTTGGAAGACAGAAATGTGTGATGCTTCATGCGTGACATCCCAAAATCACAAACCTACAGCAACAACAGAAAGAACAGTGTAGAGGTTACTGATAAAATAAGGCATAAAACCCAAAATAATTGACCAAAACAGCAGCCATTTCACAACCTTAACAACCCAATTTTTATCTACAAGGAGATTTGGGGTTTTCAGATCTCGATGCACAATAACAGGATGGCTTGTGTGCAAATAATTCATTCCCTTTGCCTGCAACACAAGTACATTAAGACACATACAAGAGCTTCTTTAACAACCACAAATATTGAGATAACAAGTAATATCAATAATCTTATACCACATCAAGTGCCATCCTCAATCGCCTCCTTTCGTCAATTTGGACATTTGAGCGATGCAATAACTTGAACAAGCTTCCTCTGCATCCAGAATAGTGCAACAGATACACGATTAATATTTCAAGTATCCAATTATATATTTGGGGCAGAAAAAAGAATAGAGAGATTTCAGCAGCACTTGAATTTCAAATATTCAGAACTTATATGTTTCACATCTCTTTTAAGACCAAGAAAAGCTAAACGAGATATTTGGAAAGACAGACTTAAAAATCAGATATCAAATTTGTTTGTCTAAACAATAAAACTAATAAATTGGTATTATCATTTACAATGTTGTGCAGAAGAATAAAACTTGAGCAAATGGAGCTCCAAGGAAAATGCTAAGAAGAGTCTCACATATTTAATCAAGATCACAAAAGATTCCAAGTGGTAACCCAAGATCTTAAGAATGCTGTTAGAATGGGCTACATAAATTTTATCTCACTCCATGCTTGTCATCTGATTCGCAAAAGATGCCAAATAATGCAAACTAGAAGATGTTGGAGCAGACTAAGGCAGGATCACTAATCAAAGAGTTGTTTGTTTTAGAAATGATAGTTAATCTGTTTTGAGGAGACATTTTTTCACCTTAATAAATGGTGTTTCTGGAAGCAAAAGACTAGCGATACTCCGAAAATAAAAAGGTAATTCACATGTCACACAGTTTGTTTTGCAAAGGATAGTTAATCTGTTTTCTGAAGACATTTTAAAAGCTCTTAGCCTATATGGTGCTTTTGGAAGCAAAAGACTAGTAGAAATTTGAAAACAAGACGGTAAATTCGAAGTAACAACTACTGGCTAATATGACAGATATCAACCTTGGTAGAAACTCGGTCAATATAGAGAGATTTGGTGGACGAGTTACTGCTCCCATGAAAAGAACAACATTTGGATGTCTCAATCTCAACATGATTTCCACCTGCAAAGCATAAAACAGGCAAACATTTCTACCATCAAAACACAACTCACTCGTCAAATATATATTTATTTAACATAAACACTGTCACATACTTCACATTTAAACTGTGCCAGTGCATCACTTGAAATATCCTGATTCATAAATTTTTTCACAGCAACTTCCTGGAGATCAGTCACAATTATGTCATCAGAAAAGTCCTTGGGAAATCCATAGGCCCAGTTTACCATTTCTTCTAAATGCAAGGGGAAAGTAAAAATAAATAATACAGTAAGGTTTAAGTATTAATAGAAGAAACACAACAGATGTAGCTGGCAACAAAAAGAAAACAAAATTACAACACGACCAATAATTCAGAACTGCAGCAGATATTATATGTAACTTAACAAAAACATGTCCATGATGTTTGACGAAGATGTTCACTTACAGTGCCATTCCAATCTGAGCGGTAAACCTCACCAAATGATCCTGCACAAAAGAAAATATCCTTTAGATAAGGATTCAAGTGAAATAATTTATACACATCATAAACTTTAGATGAATGCAAGACACAAAGGAAAACAAGTACATAACAGCGATCAGTTGGGGAGAAGCTTAAACCTTCCAGAAAAGCAGAATAAAAGTTATAAGATTTGAATGACACGTGCAGGGATTAAAGCCAAAGTGACACAGTTTAATACAACAAGAAGAAAGCATTCACCCCACTACATGCTAATTGGAACATTAGTCACCATCATTCATATGTTCTCATATAACTTTTAAACAAATTGTTTTTTTTTTTTTTCTAAATAGATACTTTGTGCTCATTTTCCAGGCATTCCCCCTTCCCTCATAGTTTAGTTCATGATACTCTGTTTCTATAGGCTTCATTGGAGTGTCTAAAGGTCTACTAAGCACAGCACATCTAAAAACCACCTTAAGCAGTGTTCTCTTTCTTCTCAATATACTTAAGCTCCTTCTATTTCTAGTGCATCACATACATTTTCATCACTTGCAGCTCTGCTACCACATTTATTGTTTTAACTCTGTCTTTACCCCAACATAAGGTGTTGCAAGCCTTATAGCAGTAATTTATCACCACAAAGTAAAAACACATTTTACAATTTTCCTAGACTGCTTGATTTTCACATGGAATTAACAATCCTGCCATTTATTTGATGCTCGTCTGTAAACATTAAACATGGCTTTCGTTCATGACCACAAATTTTGACTATAATCCTATTTTGAGACACAATTCCTAATCGTTAATAAATAGAATAAAGTACTGACAATCCTTACCTACTAATAAAGGTAAGCTGCAAACAAAATCAAATAGCCAACTGAAATCGAAATGGGAGATAAGAAGATATGGAAAGAACTATATGGAAACTAAGGACGAACAAACAGTAAGAACCACAAAGTGGAAGGGAGCATGCGTAACTATATATATATATATATATATATATATGGGGATAACATTCCAGTAATGTATTGCCCACTCTCAAGTAGGAAAATCAAACAATTAGTAAACAAAAATCATGATAAGCATAATTGGGGAAAGCAATAAAAAGAAAATACCACAACATGTAACTAAAGAATTCCTTTTCATCCAAGACTTCTAACATCGCATATCAAAATACAACTCATACATAATTGAGCGCCCCATAAGGTTTATAAAAAAAAATGCCCTCAAGTTTGAAACGGAATAACATGTAACAATTACCGATTCCAATACGTTCACCAATCTGAAGATCTTCCCATGGTATTTCCCATTCAGCAACCCCACCTAGCACCTGGTCAATTTGCTCATCTCGAGAATGTACGTCAGACTGACTGCAATTAGCAAGATCCTTTGTTTTAGAAACACAGGACAATTCTCCCTGATTTTTTGCAATAGAACTGTTTATATCGAGGCCAGAAGAGGTGTTATTTATGAACCGTAATTGAGATATCGGTATTATGGATTTCTCATTGCTAGAAACACATAATTCTGGTTGACCTCGACCATTAGGCCCCATTTGATCCTTCAACAACAGATTTTTCTCCACGAACTTCTGCTCTCCAAGAACAATTGGGCTTTGAGCCGAAGAATTCTCTTGGGAGAGCACTGCTCTTGTTTCAAATAGAAAAGGTTCAAATTTCTGGGCCAATTCTGGATTTTTTGCTGGAAGACAGACATACTGGGAAAAATCTTCAACCAGGATCTGACTGTCAGCAGATCCTTTAAGGCCACCACTTGCTGGCGACTCCGCTAATGGAATAACATTTCGAATACCATGACCAACCAGCTTACTTTCTTCATTCTCATCATTACCCAGAGTTGTGAAGCCAAAAGTTGAACTGTTGATCTTGGTAGGCACTTGTACACCTGTCCTATTTGCTTCACTAAATTCAGAACATGAATCCTTGAAGGTTTCTGCAATAGGTGTGATAGTCCTTAAATCAATACCACAGTTTTGAAGCTGACCGCTGGGAATCTCTGAAGGAATAAGGGTTCCAGGAGCGCCCATTAGGTCAATTATGTGCTCACTGCAGCAATTCAAAATTAAATTAGGCAACATACATGGCGGTAATCTCCTCAGCAAAGTCACAAATTTAGCACATGAATGATGAAGATGCCTATCTCTAAAAAACAGTATTGTCTACCATCCAGACATGCCATGTCTTCAGTTATGTAAAATACAGGTAGAATATTACAACTTGCAACTGTAGGAAAGGAAGAAAATACAGTACAAGATAGTGCCCACATAAATACAATACCAGTTTCTAAAGCAAGACGAAAAGAATAGTAAACCTGATAACTCAATAACTAAATAGCTTATATATGAGCTATATATCTAACATCCACTTAGATACAGAAGAATGTTTATAGTATACATGCCCATTTATGATGCTTAGGACAATACAATGAACCTTTATCCCACTCTGTCAATTGGCTACATGGATTATACCTCACCATTGTGCTAGGGCGAGACATGCATTCTCATTAACATTTAAGTAGATAGTGTCATAAATTATCATGCTCAGTTGACAATTTATTATGATTTTCAAAAAGGAAAAAAAAATTCCATGCTAAGATATTTCTTGGATGGAAATGGAAATTTAAAACAAAAAGTAAGTCAAAGAAAAGATGGTATCTTGAGTGTCCACATAACAACATCAAGAACCATACCTTCCATCATCAAATTTTATTATGCTAAATGCTCCATCATCTGTGCTCGTGTAGTAACTTCCTTTGACTAGCATACACGGAAGGTTGATCCTATCAGCAAGTACCTTGAATAGAATAACAAAAATCATGAAATGCATAATAAGGAAAACAATATTTTCAGCAAAGCTGATACAAGGAATAAACAAGAAGTTCAGCTTTAAGAACAAACACAATTTCCATGTAAAATTTGAGCAGCTAAAATAGATCATTTTATACTTCCCACTTCCATGTTAAATAAACTGCGATTTAACCTAATTTAAAAGTAAAAAAATAATATATAGACTGGCATTTAGGAATGGGTTGCATTTTTTAGATGTTAGATCCATAAATTTCCTATGCATTCATATTGAAAAAGAGAGATGGACATTGATTTATGAGGTAACCAGGAAGTACATATTGCTAGCTTATATTCCAGCCCTCGACTTGAATAAACTCATAACATTATGCTTTTGCTATATTCCGAGCAAAGTATGTTTCCCTTAACAACAAATGTAATTACGTCTTAAAGTAAAGGTTACGACAATAGGTTCACAAAGACTTTCTATTGCCTAAACAAATATCAGTTCACAAAGGCATAGCAAGATTATTCTGATACGTTAAGAGCTCAAAGCTACCTCACTAAGGTAATTAGTAATTTTTGAAACTGTTGGTGGCAGGCTTTTGATGTAGACGTGCCTATGAGATCTTACAGATGTCATAATACAACTCACCAAATAAAAAGAACAAAATTCAGATCAGTAGGACAAGGGAAAGACCTGTAATTATGGGCATGGTATATTTAAACTTTTATCTTGATAATATATCAAAACCTAAACAAGTGTCCTTTGATAGATATCGGTAGCGAAATCCATGTATAAACCCCAAATAGACATCATGCTATATTCCCTTCATCTTTTCTAGTTAAGTAATTCTCTCTGCTCTATAACTACAACCGAGACATAACAACAAATTATGAGTACTACGGACACTATTTTTCCAATTGAAGAAAAGCATAAGCAGCAACTCCAATATCATCCATAGTTGCAAAGCACACTAAACTACTAGAAACTAAAGCAGATAAAAGAAAAGCACAATGAGATGAGAGAACTTCACAACCTTAAAGAGTAAGGCCCTATGGCGTGAAAGTCCGACATCAAGAGAGCCAAGGGGAAGGATAATCGAGTTTCGAAAGGTTCTTAATTCATAACTCCGGGCAGTCCACCTCCTCAGCATTTCCTCAGCATCATTAACAGGACCCCCCATTTTCTCTACCACAATGTCAGCAATTTTTCGTACAAAGAATCCCAAAAGTGCACCCATCCTTAAAGCTTGAAACTCTCTGTTAATTAGATGTGCTTTCTCTTCCAGCCTCTGCAGTTCCAGATCTGTGGTTCGGTCAACTATAATCACTTCATAATCAACATTGCCTAAAGCAGGAATAGATCGAAGCTCCACTAACGAAGGCATTTCACCCCGCGCCAGCAAGTTGGCATTAGTGCCGTATACATCATAGAACCCATCTATCACTTTCTCATTATAATTGACCACGTCATAATTCTGCAAATTAAAATGAACTATATCACAATGAAGTTGATCGTAAAGAAATGAAGAAAAGAGAACGGGAAAACACCATAAAAGTCATGAACTGAGAATATAAGTGCTGCATAAATTGCCCAAATGCACACAGACTTTCCTCAATACAGTTCCTTTCCCACCCTATGGCCTATTCCCAAACATTATGATAAAGAGTCAGGATCGCACCAGTATTACAATAGAATATTTATTATTATTATTATTATTATTATTATTATTATTATTATTATTATGACATCATCATCATCATCATCATCATCATCATCATCATCATCATTATTATTATTATCATTATTATTATTATTATTATTATTATTATTATTATTATTATTAATAATTTGGGTACAAGCTTGGGAATTAATTTAATACAGCAAATTATTCAAGGAGCACTGCAATGCTTTAATATCCATCTTGCCAACACAGTCATCGGCAATAAAGTTACACTATTCAGAAAAACATGATTTTGACTATTCGAGAACTTAGTTTGTATTTATGTATTCGTATTTATGTATTATGCCAAAGTATAACAGCACCTCCTCGCTTGGATCGAATAAAGTGACATATCAAAATAGGCTACGCTACAAGCTTCACTGCCAGCTTCCCCCTATCCGAAACTCAGTTAACCAAATACACAATCACAAATAAAAAAAAAAAAAGTCAAAAGACCAAAACACAGAGTATGCATATAGCAAAAATATCATATTTGTGACTAGTAAAACCATTAAAATCTAATGGATCATCTTTAGCATAGAAAAGGTAACACGCGGTTAACTAATTCCCGCAAATTCCGTAATACAGAAAAGAAAACGTAATAGCCGCAACAAACACGGGTCACGCGCCTCAGTAAATACGGACCCCACTAACACCGCATGGTCTCAGCAAAAAGACCAAACGACAAAATTGACACCGTAAATTCCGTAACCGTTTAAAAAACTAGAGGTAGAAGGCATAAATCATCTGGTTTTGGGTAAGAGAAAAAATGACTCTTCTTATGTCATCCCACCGATAACTATGTTCCCAAAACCAAAGCGAAACAGAATGAAAATCAAAACATACAAGTCAGTAGTACAATATTTGGAAAACTAGTCAAGAAATAATATTATGCTCTGATAATGATCGGACGAAATAATAGTATAAGGAAACAAGGCAATTCAATACTATGTGAAAGCAGTTGTATCAAAAGTTCAAAACAACACCTACACATCTTAATGTAGACACCAGGAAAATCTTAAAAATGTTTTTACTCTATAAGTTTAACATAACTTAAATACAGATATCGAGCTATGGAGACCTGATGCTAAATTAAGTATGCAAAAAATGAAAAATAGTACCATAAACCAAAATGTACAATCTAAGCTGGCACCACCTCTATTGATTGATATACTTGGATAAAGTTTCCACATTCTCAAAATGTAAACTTCATAAGCAAAAAAATGCAAGATTATGAGACCCAGGAAAAGAACTTAGGGATCTGTACCAAAGCTCAACAGTTGAATAAGATAACATTTGGGGAAAAAAAAACTGAATACCAAGATTGAAAAAAAATAAAACTTGGAAAACTTCAATCAATATACCCAATAGCGAAGAGATTGGAAGTCAACGAGAGTCTGGGAAGGGGAACAACTCAAGCTAATCTGCTTGGCAGCTTTAATTTGGGCGGTGGTTTCCGGATCCTCGGGCGATTCCGAAGCGGAAGCCGACGCGGATGCACTCATTGCCAGAGCCAATTGAACCTGAAATTCCTCCTCCAAGAAACTGAAATCCGCCACAGCACTACTCCCACTCGCATCGCCACTCCTCGAATGCACTGAATTCGAATTCTCCACGGATTCCACCACAATCGCATCCCCCGCCACAGCCGCAGTAGCTCGACCCAATGAACCCGAAGTCGACGCCTGCTGCTCCACCGGCGACGACGACGACGACGATGAGGACGCAGTCGTCGTCGTAACAGTATTACTACTACCAGTCTCCAAAACTCGTCCCGGATTATGATTGTGAGGATGGTGATGGGCATGGGGATGGTGGTCCGGCAGGGTAGCGGCGGTGCCCCCACCTCCGCCACCGCCGATGTGGAGTTTCCGGAGAATATGCTTCATCTTTGACATCTAATCTCATTAAACACACCCCCCAAACTAAATAAAATCCCAAAAAAATAAAAATAATTAAAAATCCCAGAAATAGTTGTCTTCTCAAAAGGGATGGAAGAATTCGGGTTAAGAATAATTACAAATGGGAAGGATTTGGGGGAGAAAGCTTCAGAATCAAGCTTTTCCAGCCTTCTTCCACAAACGCTGTACTACTACCGGGGGGCTACAAGAAGAAGTCTGTACTGTACGGCTATATAAAGTTATAAACTGAAAAAGTTAAAAAAAAAATATATACTATATATATATATATATTATAATCTCTCTCCACCATTGGATCAGTAATGCTTCCCTCCAATGACCCTCCCCAATTTTTTTATCATTATTTTATTACAGCGTATTGTACGTATTTGTATATCTGTATGAATACGTACAGTTATACGGTATTTTCGTTTGGTAATTAATTTTGAGAAGATTAACATTAGAGATTAAAGTGTACATGCGAATTAATTATACGTACGTATACGTAGAGAGATTCGGGGAGAGAGATAAGCTCGATGGAATGATGATGATGAATATGAGTGGATATGGATCGTTGGATGAGTCGGTTGGGGAACTATTTCGTGGGTCATGATGGATCAGTTTAGAATTTGGTTTATTGGTACATAATATTTACATAAACACTATCTTTTTGTTCACTGGTCTAGCTAATCGAGCACGAGTCCTACTCATTAACACAATATTTACAATTTTTGGTTTATCAAATTTGTATACGAGTTTTTTTTGTTTCTAATAAATGAATTTCATTGAACTTGTTAGATGATCGTTCATCAAGATAGAGATACAGAAAGAGAGATGATTGTATTTCAAATTCTTTCGAATTGAGCTAACATTTTGAGTGGGATGTGTGGGACATGTGTAACGTATTAAAACACGTATTTATTTATACCTTCTTAAAATCAATAAAGATTCTAGTCTTAATTTTGATGTATGAGAGTATAAGTTTGTACTCCAGATATTATTGGGTATGTCTTTCTCTCAAAAGTTAAAAGTCTGTTTATAAGTAATTTGAATTTGGGTTAATTATTTTGTTCTTCGAAGCAAAAATATTCTTATGACATAATTTTAATCACTACTTCAATGCACACATGAGGTCGAACATTGATACCTTTCTTACTTTAATTACGTACAGTTGTACAGTTGTTAGTACAAAATATTATAAGTTTGGGGGTATTTAATGAATTCGAAAAGGTATAATAAATGGTACATTTGATCATCACGATCATCTGAGAATAACAAAAAAAAAGCAGACAAAATTATTTTCTTCTTAATTAAACAACAACAAAATTGATTCTAGCTACCTTATCACCATTAAGGGAGGGAAATAAACAAGTAAAAATTTTACTAGGATGGAGAATTTCCTTTAATTTGAAAACTCTAGAGAAAGTATAAGGAAACATCATTATAAGCTTCGAAATAAAATAGAGTTGTGATGAAATCCATCAATTGCGATCAAAACTGATTTATTTTATATGATATTTTTTTTATATGCCGGAAAAAACTCATTTGTAAAATTATGTATTCATTACATATGATGACATGAGTTCATAGGACAAAAACTCAAAAAAAAATTAAAAAATTCAATGTGTTTAATAATAAAATCATTATATATATTAAAGGAAAGAAAGATAATCGACACGTGTCGTTAATTGAGACCATCAAGCATCACTTTTAACTTATTATCATTTTAGCTCTTAAAGTTTTATTTATGTGCTACTTTGTCTTCAATTTTATCGATTTTACATTTTCAAGGACGATTAATTGTGTATAATCCCCAAAGTCCCCTTGCCTATAAATAAGCCATAGGCATCTAGACATAATTTACACATTTTTTAATATATTTTTTAATCCAAACATAACATTAGTTAGTGGTGACAATTTTTATTTTACAACTTTTCAAAATTTTTGTTGTAATATTTTTGGCCAGATCTTACAAATATACATCTCATAAATAATATCAATACCTCTCATTTTGATCTAAAATTGATTAATCAAAAAATTTTTACGGCTTTAAGAAATATTAATAACTACATTATCTAATTAATTTTTTTGTAAGATAAATTTTCAACATTGACAAACCCGCGCAAAGCACGGGACACAACTAGTAAGTAATGCCGCAAAAGAGGTTAAAAAAAAAAAATAACTCAATTTTGTTGGGTTATTAGAACTTAGAAGACATAGAGTGAACAAAAATTGAAAGAAACAGAGTCAAATTATTGAAACCCCAAACAACGAGTACTTCAGGAAAATTATTAGTATTTCAGAGGGTAATTTCTGAAAATTCGCCCTGTTTCCTACTACAAGAGAGTATCTTATACTGGGTTATGCAGCGGAAGCATTATTCTTTCTTTACCAAAACACTTAGCAGAGTATATTTACTTAGCAGCGATCGCCGTCCGCCGCCGTGCAAGATTTCGATCGTCGAAATTCCGTCGGGGAAGATGTCGTTTAGGGGTTTGTGTGCTTGCCTGTTGCTCTTTTTACTCACACTCCTCATTTCTCCTTGTTCGTCGGTAATCATCTCTCTCTCTCACACACACACACTCACACTCACTCCGTGTGTCGATGACAATGGTACGGATTTGAAAGTAATGGTTTCCCTAAATTTATGGTAGGTGATGGGAATTGCAGTGAAGGATTTATCATTACCATCATCTGGACACCTTTCCTCATTCTTGAATGACCTCAAAAACCTTCAAACTCGCATCAAGTAAGCTATTTTTTCTTTTTTGATTTTTTCCCCCCTGTTTTCCAGTTTTTAGCTTTTGCCAAATTTGATAAAACCCCTTAACTGTGATTTAAGTTTATCTTTATTTTTGCAGTCATGTTTATGTGTTTTTATATGCTTATTTGAATTGTACACGATGGAGTTGATAATTTTGAGATAATTGCTGAAGTTTAAGCATAATTCATGTAATCTGTGTGGACAGTTATACGTTTGAGAATGTTTATATCCTTGGAAGAGCAATGACGCATGCATCCTATTCACATGAAAGCAACAAGGCATTAAGCATTTTGGGTTCAAGAGTAGTTGAGGGAGATGTGGTCCTTCATTTTCTTGACAACAATGTTGATATCACAGCCAAGGATTTGAACCGTAAAATCACTGAAGTCTCGAACGAGGCTTCTTGCGCTTCCAGCGGAATGAGGCTTGGGTTGCAAAAGATCGTCAGAGTGTCTGCTAGGACAAATTCATCAGCTCCTGGTGTGGTCTGTGATGCATTTCGAGCTATTTTTGGAGCAGTAGTGCTGGATAGTAAGAGCTTAGATGCAGGTGGAAGAGTGTTTATGGGAATCAGGGATGGAATTGGAATGGATATGGCTTTGCCTAAGTAAGTTTAAGGTTGCCACTTGTTTTGATTAGTAGTACTAAAATAATATCAGGGTCATTATAGGTGGCCTGGTTCAGTTTGCTTTTGTGACATTTGAAGTTGTCTGATAAATTGCTGCTCCAATATGATGTATAAGCAGGGAAGTTTTATGCTAGAATGGTGTTTATGCTAAGTACCAGTATTGGAATGTTTCACAACTTTTATAGTTTTTAAGCCGAAAGGCAATCTGTTATATTGTGCTTGACTTACCATGTTCCTCTGGCTGAGATAGCTTGTGAGACCTCCTGATTAGCAACTTTGCTCCCCTGATTCATGGCATTCATTTAGGAGGTTAATTGTGTTCTGTAATTGCTTGTCTGTTGAAGTATATCTAGAACAACTTATGTGCATTATGTAAAGAATAAGTCATCTGCTTTGATTGTGAAAAGCACTTTCCATTCTCCAAATGATAAATAATTTTCGCCATCATCAAATCATCGAAATGAAATCATCAAGTATCATATCCTATGTTTCAAGTTCTAAGATATCCCCCTCTTGCTGTTTTTGGTCTCCAAGTTGAGTTCAACAAGAAAGCCAACTCGAAATCTTCAATATCTTTCCCCTCTCATCATAGGATTTTGATGCTATATCCACCCCTGGCTTATTTGAATAAACTTTCAACTTTGGATTGAATAGAGAGGGTGAGATAGGAAGGGAAGTAGTTGATAATTACATCTGAATGCTGTAATTAGAAACAATTGTCACTAGAGAAGCTGCACTTTTGAATTGGCAGAATATCAGAATCTGCAGCAGTAGAGAAGCATATGAAGATGGATGTTTTATGTACAACATGATGATTGATGGATAAGTGACATCATCTTAATCAAGGAGCCCTCTCTTTGATGGAACTTTTGAGGCTTAAGCAGTAGCTGCTGCCGGTTCTTCTTCTTGTGTTGCTGGAAGAAGGGTGCAGATGAGGTTGCGATCACCGTAGACATTGTCCACACGTCCTATAACAGAGCCACCAGATTTTGTTAGCAACTTTGAGCGGAATTATTATCAAAAGTGTCAACAGTCTACACGTATTACTAGTGAATGGTTGATTTTCCAGCTTTAAGGTTCTAAGTGCACATAATTTCTCGTGTTAACCGATAAATAGTTTGAATACTGAATGATCAGATTGAACTTAGTTCACGATTACAGTCTACCAAATGGTTGGTATATATTCTTCAAAGTTCACTGGACAAACCTGTTGTTGGCCAGAATTTTGCAGTCTTGAGCCAAGGAGCAGGGAAGGCAGCATACTCCCTGGAGTATGGTTTTGTCCAAGTATCGGCCATGAGGAGTGAGGGTGGATGGGGAGCACTCTGTCGAAACCAAAAGAATCAGTTAATATCTTCAAACTCAACAAAGCAAGCGATAAAAAAATTTCGATAATAAGAAACAAATTGCTGATGAGCGCTCACAAAGCTGGCACTGGCAAACAGAAAGGAGCATCACTTTTACCTTGAGAACGTTGTTGTGTAAATCTGCTTTCCCTTTCTCAATGAGTGCAATTTCTTCTCTTATAGAGATAAGAGCATCACAAAACCTGTCCAACTCGGCCTGCAAAAGTAGAAAAGTTGACATTTCTGAACCAGATACAGCTAGATGATTCGACAAAAGATATGAGCACAAAGTATTTAAACTTCACCTTGCTTTCACTTTCAGTTGGTTCAATCATTAGAGTGCCGGGAACAGGCCATGACATTGTTGGTGCATGGAATCCATAATCCATAAGACGTTTAGCAACATCTTCTGGCTCTATTCCAGCAGTGTTCTAAAAGATGAAAAGCCAAAGAAAGAAAAACGAATGACATTCAAGATTGACTTTATGAAGAAGAGTGGACGTCTTCCATTTCTTGTCTGGTCTTACCTTAAAGCCCCTCAAATCAATAATAAATTCATGGGCACATGTGCCATTGACACCACGGAATAGAACAGGGTAGTAATCCTGCAAATTAAAAGAACAAAAGTCAAACAATGAACAATGACTGGAAGCCTAGAACAGTAAAACAGAGTACATGTCACATATTTTGAATCTAGGGTAATGCCATGTTCATAGATGGACAAGATGGAGAAACAAGCATTCAAATTACGATAATCTCTGCCAGATCAAGGAATCAAATACAAATGTTCATGGTGATTAAGTAGTAATTATCTGCTTTGGTGGCAATAAGCCAATAACATTCTAGTGAAAGTAGTCAGAAATGTAATTACCTCCAGGCGCTTCGCCATGTAATTTGCATTCAGTATAGCTATCTTTGAAGCATCTGTAAGCCCTTTAGAGCCCATCATGGCAATGTAAGTGTATGAGATTGGTAAAATCAGTGCAGAGCCCCAGGGTGCAGCCGAAATAGTACCAAGGGGATCAGCCTGGTCAGGTGCAGGTAGACCTCCGGTAGGCACCTGCGATTGCATATCAAAATATCATTAGAAAATGACAGAAGGACATGCCAAAGCATCATAAAACTGATATGCATAACACTATAATAGAGCTCCAAAAGATGTCTATGTCCCAAGAAAGCAACAAGTCCTCTTTTTTAGCAGTGTTCCTCCAAATAAAAGACTACTGCATTCTTGAGAAATACTAGACTACATTGACTAATGATATTACAAACTTAAGTCAACCAATGCAAACTAGTTCAAAGTCAGAATTAGTGCATACCACAGGATGTGATGGAAGGAAAGGTGCCAGGTGTTTCTTTACACCAATTGGACCCATGCCAGGGCCACCTCCACCATGAGGAATGCAAAAGGTTTTGTGAAGATTAAGATGACACACATCTGCACCTATAAAGCCTGGACTTGTCAGTCCAACCTGAAAACATAAAATAGCACAGATTTGTTAAGAGCGTATTTGGTGTAAAAGGACAGAGAAATAATTTTGAATCGTGAGAATGATATAATATTTTCCACAAAATGTTCACAATGCTAAAAATAGTAATACTTCAATAATAATAATAATAATAATAATAATAAAGAGGAATCATATGATCAAGCTAAGGTAGTAATGATACATTTAAAGGCCGGACTGAATATGGATAGTTTACAACAGAGTAGCAACATAAGCTTAACATTTAGAAATCTATGAAGCAAATGCAGGGATAGAAACAACAGAGTGAATTGGTAATGACAATGCATTGAGTTTTCATTATCGGTTCTTTCTGTAGAAGAGAAACAAATAGAGGCTTCAAGTAAGTACATGAATTCAAAAGTACTTCTGTGGTGAGTTCATACGAATTTACATAACACTAATGGAAATGATATTGTCTTCAAAAGATGGATCCATCAACGAATCAAGATGGCTCAATTTACTCCAGAACACTCTAAATACATTGGAGGATTTAATACCTGTGCATTCATGTTTGCTCCATCCATATACACTTGACCACCATTGTCATGAATAATTTTACAAATCTCATCAATACCTTCCTCATAAACACCGTGGGTTGAAGGATATGTAACCTGTTTGATTAGAATAACAAAGCAAATTCTTTTGATGTATGAATAAGTTATAAACTTAAAAAGTCTCAAGTTCTGGTGACACAAACCATGAGAGCAGCAAGGTTTTCTTTGTTTGCTTCAGCAGCCTTTCGCAACTCTTCGATGTTAATATTTCCCTTAGCATCAGTTCCAACGGAAACAATTTTCATACCACACATTGCGGCACTTGCTGGATTTGTTCCATGTGCAGAGACAGGTATGATGCACACATTTCTGTGATGGTCTCCTCTTGCCTAAAGTTTTGTAAAAATAGAACTAGTGTCAGGAGTGACTGAATTCCAGAATTAATTGACATAAATACTGAAACACAAGGCTATTATTTAGGCACACTAGAAACATTCGATAGTACATGGCAGATGCAACTATCGCATTCCCTCGAGCCTGCTCTAAAACTATATTATACAGCATTTAAAGTGAATATGGAAGTTCATAAACAACTACAGCGAATTTCAGGTTCTGCGACATATCTATTGTACTCAAATACCCTAAAAAGTTCACTTAGTTTCACATATACATGCTTTTTGGTCTGAGTTATAAGAATTTGGTTTCGAAATTCAAATGCTAGTCTGCCTGATAAATGACTGAAGTTTTGCTTCCTGAGGCAAAGGAAATGGAGAGGTTATACTAGTTAGATATGGGTTTTCTCTCGTTGAAATATAGTACGTGATTCAGACTATCTAAGAACTACGAAGTAGAACAACTTTGGCATTATTAATCCGCTTTCATTACCTTCACCACCAATGCATTAGAGTTCAAAAACAGAATGTCATCCTTTTCATGCACGATTGTATAAGGTTCCCTAAACAAGTCAAATTTACAATCATTCATTTGAAAGGCATATTTTCATCCTGTACCTTATGATATGCACGAATAACCATCAACCCGGCGTACTCCCCAGAAGCACCCGCATTAGGTTGCAAGGAGAAAGAGTCAAAGCCAGTAATTGTGCACAAAAGATCTCCCAAGTCCGTGAACATTTCCTGAGGAAGAGAAAAATCACGGATTGATCAATCTTTACATTCATACAAAGAGTAAAAGGAAAAAATGCAACTGACATAAACATACAGAAGAAATCAACAATTTAAATGCTCTAATTAATTCTAACAACCTGGAAACCTTCGGACTGATCAGTGGGGGCAAAAGGGTGCATATTTGCAAAGTTAGGAAATGTTACTGGCATCATCTCTGTGGTAGCATTCAGTTTCATGGTACAAGAACCCAGAGGAATCATACTGTGACATAGGGAAAGGTCTTTTGCTTGTAGCCTATGAAGGTATCTCAGCAATTCGTGCTCAGTGTGATACCTACAAAACAAGTGGAGCAAAAATAAGCTCCTTGGAGAAAGAATGCAATACTACAATCAAGCTCCATTAAGAAGGGCGTACGTGTTGAATATTGGGTGGGTCAGGAACGGGCTCTTCCTTACAAGACCAGAAGGAATTTTATTGTCTACCTCTGGCGCAAGACTTTCAGCCGTGAATCCCACCTAGTAAGTAATATTAAAGTCAGCACAAGCCATTTAGAAAATTAATTTAAACCATAAACTGCATGAAAAAATTCAAACGCAAACACTTACAGGCTTGCCACCTGCAAACACTTGAAATAGTTTGTCTACATCCTCCAAAGTGGTTGTTTCATCAAATGCAACGGTGATCTGGAAGCAAAAGAATCCTGGTTATCTCATAAACAAAAACCTCTTATGCAATAAAACACACTAATTGCAGAACTTACTGTATTTTTATCCACAATCCTCAAGTTCATCTCACTCTTGATAGCAGCATCAGCAATTGCTTTTGAGTCAGCACACTTCACTTTTACCGTGTCAAAGAAAGGAAGCTCTTGCACCTCCACTGTACCAAGCTTTTTCAGTCCAGCAGCGAAGGCACCAGCCAGACCATGAACCCTCTGGGCAATGGTTTTAAGCCCTTCAGGTCCATGATAGACAGCATACATTGCAGCCATATTGGCGAGTAATGCCTATGCAACAGAATACAAGCATAGAACCTTTTAGAAATCTTGTAGTATGCAGGAAAAATAACAACAAAAAATTACATATACACCCGCTAGAAGGGGCCAAAAAATCGTTACCTGAGCAGTGCAAATGTTGCTGGTAGCCTTGTCCCTACGGATGTGCTGCTCTCTAGTCTGCATAGCCATACGAAGAGCTGGCTTCCCAGAGGAATCAACACTGACACCAATAATTCTTCCAGGCATCATCCTTTTGTACTCTTGGGATGTAGCCAGGAAAGCTGCATGAGGACCACCATAACCCATTGGAACACCAAACCTCTGGGCTGAGCCAACAACAATGTCGGCACCCAATTCACCCGGAGGCTTTAACATAGTCAAAGCCAAAAGATCGGATGCCATAACCACCTTGGCCCCGTTTGCATGTGCATTCTTAATGAATCCTTCATAGTCTAAAACTTCACCCTCCGTGCCAGGATACTGAACCAAAACTCCACAAACATCCTTAGAACTATAATCAATGTCCTTAACATCTGAAACAACCACTTTAATATTGAAACCATCAGCTCTAGTCTGACATATATCAATAGTCTGGGGATGACAGTTACTGGCAATAACAAAAGTTTTCTTTTTCCCCTTCTCAATGTTATTGCACATAGCCATAGCCTCAGCTGCAGCTGTACCTTCATCTAATAAGGATGCATTAGACATAGGCAAGCCGGTAAGATCCGTAATCATGGTCTGATAATTCAGCAGGGATTCAAGCCTTCCCTGTGAAATCTCAGCCTGGTAAGGAGTATACTGAGTATACCAACCAGGATTTTCCATGATGTTTCTCAATATAACAGGAGGCACAAAAGTATCATAGTATCCCATTCCAATAAAAGACTTATAGACCTTATTCTTGGCAGCTAATTTCTGCATGTGGTCAAGCATTTGTGCCTCAGTCAATCCCTCATCAAATTTACTAAACTTCATATCATTTAATCTTATAGATTTAGGCACAGTGGCATCAATAAGAGCATCAATAGTAGGGAAACCACAAATCTCAGCCATTTTACTCTGTTCCTCGGGGGTTGCCGAGTTATGGCGGCGGGGGAAAGTATCACTTGGTTTCAAAGCCTCAACAGAAATAGATCGAACTTGGCCATTGGAACCAATCCCAGAAATTTTTTTGGAGGCAGCATTGGACCTATGATTTTTACCATGGAATGAACAAGGAGACAACGAGGAAACATACCTCGAAGGCCTGTAAAACGGGGTTGGGGATGACAATTCATTTCCTCCACGAAGCTGTTTAGCTTCTGAAATCAACCGTCTCAGAATGGCCCTGTTGGCAAGCTTTCTTGCACGCTCCATTGAAAGAGAAAGTGGACCGGGATTGTGCAAAAAAACTCAGAAAGAAAGGATTTTTAACAGAGCCCTTCTAGCTTTGCTCTGTTTTTTTGCTTCTTATTATATTATCTCTCCATGAACTGGAGAGAAAAAAGAAAAAAGAAAGTTGGTGGTGGTAATGGCCTAATGGGTTGTTGAGGCTATGCTGCTGCCTTTTGCATATATAGAATTATGCGTAAATTTTTTCCCACTTTTAAATTGTATGGAAATTTGGGAATATTCAATGTTTTTCTTTTATTTTATTAAATAGTAAAAGAATCAATCTCAAGATCTGGTGGTGGTGGGTGATGAATAACAGAGACACCAGACCAGTGTTCAGAAAAAGACAGTCTTTTTTGTTGGAGGGCTCACGTGGGGATTCTGTAATGGCCAATTTGTTTGAGCAAATCTATGATTTTTTTGCATGAAATATATATAAATGGCTGACTGTGTAGCGCAGAATGCAAATGGATCTGGGGAAAATGTATGGAAGAGAACGAATTAGGGGTGGATTGAGTTTCAATGGATGGGAATTTTAGCAGGAAAACGGGAAAATTCTCTTGTTTTTCTTTGAGGCAAATTGATGTGTTTTTCTTCTTTTTTTTTGGATTGATCTTGTGAGGAAGTTGTGATGTGGTATGCTCCTCCTGCTTGGCAAATTCTCTTTCACGTTTGGCTTATCTCAATCCCTCGCCTCACAAGTCACAACAAATCTCTCCAAATTTTACAGTTCCAACACAATACAACTAGGTTAGTTTCACCCGAAACACAACCGTATCTGTGCACGAAGATTATCACGATCATGTCTTATGCGTCTATCTTAAAGACTCGGAAAAAAAAATTCCAATTATGCAACATGAAAATGCTAAATTAAAAACCAACATCGATTCAAAGATGTAACCACTTCATTTTGTGTATTGATTGTTATTAATAAGAGTATCTCTTTCATCAATGCAATACATACTTAGCAAACTTGATGACATGATACCAATAAATGAGGATAGGTACTAAAATTGAATAGTGAAATAGGATATTGATGAATTGTGAAAATATGAGAGTTCAAATTCTTACATAGGGTGATATACTGAATATATTATGGAAATTAATGTAGAATACAAATTATTATACACACAATAATATGACATTTGATACATGTCACGTAGTTTATCTTCTTTCACTATTTCTATAATCTTTTTCACGTAGTTTAAATCGTTCTTCAAATTTGACTCACATTCTTCTGATTTCAAAAGCCTAAATTTGGTGAGAATTAATTTCATTAGATTTGTTTGGTAATTTTTTCCAGTTATAAAATATATATATATATATCTGAGGTAATAATTAGTTTTGGACAACCATATGAAACGAAAAAGATCATATTATGAGATGTTCCCGCGTAATTTTGTTCAATCGTTAAAAAAAAAGTAGCGAATTTGACAATAATTCCATACTAACCAGAAACGGATTCATTCTCTGGTTTGGTAAAAGTACTAAAAAGAAAGAAGTACAACAACCATTACATTTAGTAAATCATTTGAAAAAAGATGTACCAATTATTAGGAGATCTTTTGCCATTATTCTAACACTACAATAATCATAGTTGTCATAACAATAGATCAATTAATCAATGCCATATAATTCCAAAGCTTTTAAAAGTAATATAATAACAAAACTAAATATTAGAATTTTTCCGACTCAAAATTGAACCAACTTAATAAGTGGTGGATATTTACTATTGCACTTCATGATCTGTCCAAAATGTTTAGAAGATTTTAATAGGGAAAAAAAAAATCTTTGTCACCCTCATCGTGTAATTCATGACCCTAATTTTTTAATTCAACAACCAACGAGCATGCACCTTTTATTTTAATGTTATTCTCATGTTTTAAGTTAGTTGGGTACATACATACATACTATTCTGAAATGTTCAAACAAAATACAGTAGTTGTTGCGAACTAACACATGATGTTATTGGTAATCAAATACTTCCCCGTCCCATAATTATTGTCCAGTTTGAGTTTTCATTTTTAGTTTAAATTGTACTAAAAGTGAAATCTCATACATGACGATAATTTTGGGATGAAGGGAATATATTGCACCAATTAATGATTTAAAGGTTACACTAAATACATTATTATATTAATCAAACTTATACACTATTTTTTTTCCCAATAAGTTGGTTCTATGTTAATTTTAGAGGACATCACCATCACAATAAAAGGATTGTACCGGCCATACCATTTGGCTGCGCAAAAATAATTCCTCTCCAACATTTTTCCGTCTTAGTAATACATTTATTAACCTGACAACTATTCTGATTGAGTTGGTGAATTTTCCTTTTTCCACAATTTTTTTTTTTTTTTTTTGTGATTGGGTTTACATTTTACAACAAAGTTGGTGAATCTTGGAATCAGACGATAAAAATTTACCCCCCCAAAAAAGATGGAAGGTAGGACCATTCCAAGGAGTAGATTGGGCGCCGACAAAAAGTGGCCGTCAGATGAAACGGCAGCGGTTGGTGGATGAGGAAAATGAAGGGTGCCGATTGTGCTTCCAGATTTTGTAGGGGGTAAGTCAAATGTACTCTACCACTTTTGTAGAATGTACTGTGACAGTAAATTTCTGACTAGATTCTGTGTCATTATTGAGAGAAGTTGATGAAACATGGGGGGAATTGATTAGGACACGGAATCTTTTGGCTCAGAATCTTCATTTATTTATTTTCTTTTCTTTTTTAATTTCTTTTTCCCGATTATGGTTCAATACTTTTTGGCCTATATGGGTATGTAGCGTGATGGCATTAACACGACCTCAATAAATTCTTTCCTTTTCCACCACAATATTTCCCCCCAAGTTTTGGACTTTGGAGCAAAAACTCCATCACCATTTACATATTAGAGCAATCCAAATATCCAATACATATTCTTAGAAGATGAGGAAATATTTCGAAACTGAAACGTATAAAGGACAGAGAAATTATAATATTCAAGATATTTTGAAACTGGATTATTAATGGAGCACGGAAGAATTATAACGTACAAAAAGAAAATGTAGAAATAAACTTGACAATAAGAAAATTTTAATATTCTACTGTACCAAAAAAAAATATCTAAGTAAATTCATACGGCATTTGCTAAAAATATTACATATATTCTTTTATTGCTTGCAACAATTTTGTTTTCTTTTTTTTTTTCGTTTTAAAAATATGTATTATCCACCTAAAGTGCACATAATGAATCACAAATCAAATTCTTCTCCGAAAAAAATGAGGTTAATTGTAATTAATCAATATGATTGAAATGGGTGGCTGAAAATATTGATGAACAACGAGTGGCGGCAGAAATTAACAAATCGGACTAAGTCAGAAATTGAATTGTTATTGTTTTGACTGTCATGCCCTTATGCCTGCCATGATGTTAAAAATTCTTTTTGTCCTCACACCTCATCTCACTTCATCAAATTAGCACACACTATCTTTCATTGCCATTTTGGTTTATGGTTATGCAAGTTGATATCCTTCCTACAACACTGGGAGGGGGAGGGGGGATGAGGTTGAGAAGTTGACAATTCTTCTTTCTGTGTAACATTCTTTATAGTTTGACATATTGTTACTGTGTAACAATGACACAGTAACAACACCTAAACAAAACATGGTCAGTGAAACTCAATTGCCAAGTATCAGGATGTGGACTTCTACCATAGAGAGAGCAAAATAGTATTTATTAGCAATTGTAAATTCATTTCATGAATTATTTTGAGACAGATAAAATAACAAAGATGAAGAACTTGGAATGCTGAGTGATTGCACTTGTACTAAAATGTGACCAGATTATTTCACTCATGAAGCCTGTATATATATATATGGACACAAATTTGGCCCAGTTGAGCGATGGAGCATCAAAAGCAAGAGAGTGGAGGTGCATATATGGGAGAAGATGTAAATTATAAACCAGTTAATAAACTTTTGAATGTTAAACAAGCTTGCGACGACAAGATACCAGAAATACCAATACCAGGAGCATTGAAAGAGCTCAATAATCCATCTGATGAATTAGACATCTGCCCCCGAGGAGCAAGTTTAGGTTTTCACCTTGCTTTCGCTTTCAGTTGGTTCGATCATCAGAGTCCCTGAGAACAGGCCGCGACATTGTTGGCACATGAAAACCATGCTCCTTAAGGTGTTTATTAGCAACATCTTCAGACTCATTTTCGGGCCGTGTTCTTCAAAGTAGCTAGCCAAAGTGAAAAGAGTAATTTCCATGAAGACTGGTTGTTTGAGTAGGTATTTTGACTAATTTCCAGTTTCAGTCTTTCACTCACCTTACAGCCCCTCAGAATCAATTATAGCTTTTATGAGCAACAGTGACATTGACACCGTGAAAAAGAATAGGATAGTAGTCCTGTAAATTTGAGGGGCAAAGTCAAACAAAATTATTGCTACAAGCCATCTCAAAAGAAATGAAAACAGTATATTGTAATGATATATTTTGAATGAACGAATACAGGTATGTTTTTAAGGTGGCCAGGATGATAAAAAAAGCACTAAAATAAACATCTGCCAGATCAAAAGGCGTAATAGTCTAATTGTATTCCATTTAAGTAAACCTTACAATTTCATGGCTGAACCATAGCAATCTGCTTTGATGACTAGATCAAAGGTGTAGTCCAAGATGTTAGCTTTGCCATGTAATTCGCATTCAGTAAAGCTGTCTCTGTAGTTTCTGCAAGACTTTTAGACCTCATCATTGCAATATAGAAGTATGAGATTGGCAAGATAAGTGCAAAGCTCCAGGTTGCAGCAGAAACAGTACCAATGGAATCAACTCAATTCGGTGTACCTCAGCAGGCACCTTCAATTGAATATCAACATTTACATTACTAAATGGTGCATATATAGAGATATCAAAGCTTCATAACCTTTCTTTAATCGAGCTGCTATTTAATCATCAAATATAGATATTGACTGCACATTAACTTACAAGATTCAAGCTGACACGTGAAAGCTAGTCTGAGGGTAGTGCATGCAACAGGATGCAACTGAAGAAAAGGTGCCAGGTGTTTTTTTCACAATGATGTAAAGGACCCATACCGGCCACCTCCACCACGAGAAATAGTTTTATGAAGATTCAGATGGCAAACATCTGCACCTATAGAGCCTGAAAACAGAACAGTCGTAGAATAGTTGGTGAGAGTGTATTAGATATACCAGGTAAGACAAATAACTCAAACAATGAAAATAAAATAAGCTTTTTCTCAATATGAACATGTCCAATAATAGTGATTTTCCACGATAACTGCAAAAACAAAAAGTAATCAGATGACCAAGCTCGAGTTGGTAACTGATGAATGACAGGATAAACTGAATAATAAGCAACACAAGGGCATATGAAGTATGACATTTTTCATTTGGAAATTGAGAGTACAAAATCAGAGTCAGAAACAAGAGTATGATGAACAAGAAATGACTGAGTCATTGAGCTCTCAATGTCAGCTCTTTCTGACAAAGAGAAAGTGAAAGACAAATAAACTTTTAAGTACTTCAACTGAAAGAAACAAAGACATTTCTGCGTGAATTTTAATTTGACATGCTTTTTGAAATGTGAAAGATTCAAATAAAATCGACAAGATAATATCTTAATTAAGAATGATAAGATGAAAGTATTCTAGGTCCAGATGGCATTTTTCTATTCCTTTTTAAGTTTGTAATACGAATCCAGCTAATTGTGAAGCCTATCATTAGTCATTTCAGTTACACTCGAAGAACAAGGACGGTTGGGAGAATTTAATACCTGTGCATTCGTGTCGGTTCCATCTGAGTAAACTTGACCAACATTGTAGGAATTATCTTACTTCCTTGTAAACACCATATGTGTGACCTCACATCGACGAGAGTCCAAATGGATGTAGTCAAACAAATCACGGCAGCAGCAAATGATACACCAGAAAGCCCCCAACTCTATGAATAGAGTTTTCACTCACGCTCCAACACAAAGGCTTCGAGCAATCCAAAAGAAGGCCTATAACCAGCATCCTTCATGTTGGAAGTCAATTGTTCCAAGATTTCATATACATCATTGCCCTTAGTAAACTCCCTGTCTTTGGAAGTAAAACATTGTGTAACACCAAAAATGTGAATCCAACTGCACCCCACCTCCTTCGTGAGACCTTTTCTCCTCATGCGTCTTCTCACTCTATCCACATGTTCCCAGTTCTCTTCAGCAGCATAAATATTTGAAAGCAGAACCTGATAGCCTGTTCTTCCTACTCCTCCTGCCAAGCCGAGTAACTCATCAGCAACAACTTTACCCAACTCAAAGTTTCCATGAACTGCACAAGCAGCAAGGATTGAACCCCAGATACCCACAACATCAAATTTGTCACCCAGTCTTTTAACTAACATGTATGCTTGTTCTACTCTGCCTACTCTTCCTAACATGTCCACTACACATGCATAGTGCTCGAGAGAAGGTTCAAGCCCATAATCTCTCCTCATTGACTCAAATATTTGAAGACCTTCAGTAACCAATCCAGAGTGACTGCAGGCAGATAATGCGGCTAATAAGGTAACTTTATCAGGCCTGTATCCACATTCCTTCCAAGAGTTAAAAAGCATGATAGCATTCTCACCCATCCCATGTTGACCATAACCAAATATCATGTTAGTGTATGTAACAGAATTTTTCTCAGGGGACTTTCTGAAAACCATTTCTGCATTAGAGAGGGAACCTGATTTTGAGTACATGTCCACCAACGCAGAGCACAAAAAGACATTAGCATCCAAGAATCTTCGAACTACAAATCCGTGGATTGCCTTACCTACACTTAAGCAACCTGACTGACTGCATGCTGGAAGTACCGATGCCAATGTCACAGCAGTCAGAGTTACATTCTGCTGAAGCATTTGTTCAAAGGCAGCAAAAGTTTCCTCGACTAACCCATTATGAGTGTATCCAGAAATCATAGCATTCCACATGGCTTGATCTCTATCATTTAAGGTGCGCATATTAAAGATTGTTTCTGCAGCTTTAATCAGGCTAGAATCGGCATACATATTGATTAGATCAGTTTCCATTCCCTCAAACTCGATATGATGCCTTACAATATATGCATGGGCCTGTTTTCCGAGAGCGCAATCTCTTAGATTTGATGCTGCAGAAAGTATGGCAGTGATGGTAACACCATCAGCTATATGTCCTTGATTTTGCATCTCCTGTAAAAACATTAAAGATTCACCAACCATTTGATTCTGTACTAGGGCAGAAACCATGGTATTCCATGAAACCAGATCTCTTTCTGGCATTGCGCTAAAAACTTTAAATGATTCAGTGATACAGTTGCATTTTGAGTACATGGATACAATTGCATTAAGGATAATGGTATGTGATACCCAAGAACTCTTAATCAAGTAGGCATATAGCTGCTGAGCAAAATTCAAATGCTGCAATTGAGAAGCTGCTGTCAATACAGAAACAAAAGTCACTGTATCAAGTGAAACAGCATCCTGGGCATCCAGTGCTCTCAGGAATAGATGAATCGCTTCAATGGTATGGCAATTTTGGACATATCCACAAACCATGGAATTCCAAACCTCTATATTTCTCTCCAAGCAATTGTCAAAAATCCTTTGAGCAGCAACAACACAACCAAGGTCGGCATACATATGAATTGCTGAACTCACGATGAACAAATCATTTACAAACTCAGCTCCCATTTTAATAACTGAACCATATAGTGCGTCAGCAATTTTAACACTCCACATTGCCGTTGCAACCGGAAATATATTGACAAAACTAATACCAGTTGGTCTGACGCCCATTTTCAACATCATAACAAAATGGAAAAGCGCTTCGGTAGGTGTCTGTGTTTTCAAACACCAGGAAATCATTATGTTCCATGCAACCACATTTCTTTCCGGCATGGTCATAAACATGATTTTCACCAAGTCGATTTTAGGAAGAGCATCAAACCAGCAAAGACAACTAGCATACATATTTAGAAGGGAATTATAAACAATTATACCAGGGTGTATACCTGACCTTAAAATGTGGCAATGCACTGCTTTACCTAGCTTCAGCTCATTTGTCTCAGCACAAGCTTTAAGAACAGAGGAATAAGTGTAAGGATCAGGCACGCTTTTATGATGAAAGCTCTTCATTTTCACATACAAAGCAAGAGCTTCTCGGTGGAGGTTGTTACATATATACCCAATGATGATGGAGTTCCAAAGAACAGTGGTTGGTTGAGGAATTGAATCAAACAGTTGCCGGGCAGTTTGGATTTCTCCTTCTCGACATAACTGGCTGAGGCGATAGCGAATCGTTTTAGGTGCTGTATAGCTACTGTCTTGAGAGCCACTGACATCTGAAAAGCATCGGTTATCATCGGATTGGGCCAGTTGGAGATGCGGGGTGTTTGTGTTTGGTGATGATGAAGGAAAATAATGGGGGACAGAGGACACGTTTAACCGCCGTTGCATCCTCGGAATGATATTCATTCCACTGGAACTGATTGGATTGGGCGCCAAAAAAGTGACTCAAAAGATCGAACTTTCGTAGATAGTGAATTGGGAAAATAAACGGCGTTGATTTTACCATTCTTGATATTTCCTTCAATTGATCATCTTAAATGTTGATGTTGAACATCTCCTTTGTTTGTTCACATTTATATACAAAATTGAAGCTAAAAAAATGTCAAAATCATTATCAGAATACAACCAACAGACCATTCTCTGCAAAACACTATTTGAAGTGGAATATCAGGCAGATCAAGCTGCCTGACAATTGATGGAAAATGTTAAATACCAATGTGTTCTGATCAGTTCTGAACTAGAGATTTTGCAATGCTATAATTAATCATGTTTATGGCATGCAATCGAACCCACACCTCAGGAAATGTCACAAGGAAAACCCACAGACACAGACACTGTTAAATATGTGGTCGGGCATCGGTTTTGCTGGAACTCATACTATCCAGCAAAGATTTTTGGCTCTCTGGCCGAGACTAGCCTACATCTTTCAATGCTGGAATCAAACTACACTATGTTGTCGTCATCTTCCAACGCAGTGTAAATCAACCTATCCAGCACACAATACAAAAGGGTTGTTTGAGAAAACTTCGAATAGGCGATTTCGAGTGATAAATGTAACACTGATCGGTCCTTTAAAACTTACCAGAACAGGTTTGTGACGATGAGAAGTGCTATGTACCCCAGTTTGAAAATCCGTCTTTGCTTTTCCCGGTCGAGCAAATTAAAAATCTCAGTTACATCTATAAGGTGTTCTCGTTGGGCATACCTGATACAGAAAAGAAAAGAGTTCAAAAGTGATCTTCCTCGAGCCATAACCACATGCATAAGAATCACATAAATGCCAGCAAAATCAAGTCTCATGGAACCTATAATATTAACTTAAAAAGATTCATCCATGCCTTCATGACCACTTGCACTGCTCAGTAGATCCCCACAAAATAAATATACTCATCTAAGAACTTACTTTCTAAGAAAAACCCTTCCGTTAATGGAGGATTACCAGGTTTATTTAGGTACAAAATAAGGCAAAAATGTAAAAATACTTTCTATGATGTGACTCTTTATATTGATTTCCAAAGTGGTATCAGCCATCCCATACTTGGTGTGGATTTTGAAGAAGACCTATATGTATATCGGACTAGAAAATAAAGGTGGCCAAGCAAATAACGGTAGAAACCAATGAATGTTCACAGCAGATGAACAAATTGTAAGAAGAATGGTAGGTCATGTATGATTTGTTTTTGGATTAAAATACACGCCATATATGTAAATCTACAATGCCAAAAAGGTGACATCACATAAAACTTTCAGCAAAGATGTATTTTGTAATCTATCCACTTCAGCTAAAAACAAAAGGGCCAGGCACAATCGCCATCACAGACACAAAGATGCCACATCGGATACAAATTTCTTAACTTTACAATATACCAAGGGCCAGAAAACTTACAATCTGAAGTTGTAGTAAGCGTAAGGAATGCTGAGCAGTGCCATAAACCAATGCCCGGTCAAAAGAAAAAGTATGCCTAGAACCGCTTGAGTAATGAACTCTGGCAAAATCACCATGTTTATTCTTCTTGCAGAATCATAGGGGTTGATATAATCTAACTCTAAATCCGACAAGCAGACCAGCTGCAAAATATGTTTCAGAAGTCAGTATGAGAATGGCCTTAAGTGGACAGTAGTTTGGATTCCAAAAGGTTTTTGTTTTCATCTCACTAAGTCATTTAAAAATGATAATTTCACATTCTCAATCCAGCTTTTTAGAATTTCATGACAACTTTTACTACTTACTGTTAAAACCAAAACAAAAATGAAAAATGAAAATGTTGTAAATATAGGCATCATGAACTACTGACATAGTAAAACAATGGAAAATCCCAGAATGCATCCATATTTCCAAAAACCAACAGTAGCCAGATAGTTAGGGCAAAGGGATCAAGCCTAACCTGATATATAACCATGGCAACAAGGCAAATCAGAATTAAGAAGAACAGCAGCCACAAAAACGCTTCTCCCATGCTTATTAACAATCAGGAAAGTCAAGAGCTGAGGGTGGATGAGGAAAAAGAGAGGACCAGTGGCCTGCAGAGCTTATTGCGCCAGATACTTTGTTTAAAGTTGGAAAATTGTTATTGGGCTGCTGATTGTGAAAGTCAAGAACTGAATATACAACGGAAACAGATGAATGGCTGACTCTCCCACGAACTAAGCACGTAAGTCAGACTTCCAAGCGTACACAACCGGGGAAATTCACCAGCAAATCTGGCTTTCTACAAAACAAAAGAAAAAGTGAGCTTGCATCAATGCATGAATATTTACTTCTTCATCTAGTGCAGTTAAATCTTACCTTAAGTTATAAAAAACTCTTAACAAGATTTCTACTGTTTACCGTACTTAAACAGATACGCGCCATACATCCATAAGCACACTCACTAGTTCCAGAAAAGATCTTTTGGTCTAAAGAGCCGTTGATAAGGTACATTGGTTAGGCTCAAGAAGATGAGCAATGCAAATAAGGAGGCGAAAGTTGGCTAAGGTAAGTCCCCGCCATTAATACTAAACAATTTTATTTTTATAATCCTCCCACAGGAACACTCAATGTGTATCTTTAACAAAAACAGAAACTCCATTTATACATCATAGGACTAAGAAATCTTAATAACACTGGTGACAGGTAACTTAGAACAAAGTCAAAAGAAATGTGATTTATATATACAACCTCTAACAGGAAAATTTACTACTAAGACCTAATATGGAAGACCCAAATCAAGCGTCAAACTCCAAAATTCTACACAGCCCATTAAACGCCCCATTTTGATTAGGAAAATTCCACTAATGTATCAGCTAATTAAAATCCAAAGTTATGAACTTTAACATGCGGAGGATACTGTATACAGGGAAACTCAGTAGACAAATTATAAACTGTAGATTCTGTAATCAATCACAATAATCCCAATAGAAAGCTACTCGGAGTGATCACTTCTGAACCACTTCCCAATCGCTCGCGAGTTATGACGCATTCAAAGTCCCTCCTTTTTTCATAAATAAATTCAGCAAACTTCACCAAATTAAATCGAGATTTTTATGAAGAAATTAAAAGCACGCATGAGATTGGATCGAGAATTGCGATACCTAAGAAACAAATGTGACCAAGCTTAGCAGAATCCGATGCCCTGAAGAAAGCTTTTTTCTGGTTTTGGAGTGGGGATTCTCATCCTCCAGCGACTTTATTTTCTTTTTCGCTTGTTCTGTTTTGCTTTAGTTAATTATCGGTTAATTGCAAAACAACTCTCTAAAGTTTGCATATATGGAAACTACCCATAAAATTCATTTTTAAGTACTTTAACCCATTGCAGTTTATCCTTATCCCTATTCTTATAAAAGAACCACCTTCAATTATATTCCAATGATAAAACAATATTTTGATTGGCTGAGAGACTCCTGATGACATCAGCGATTTTAAAAAAAGTATAAAAGTCAATAGATAAACACAAAATTCCCCAAAATTAAATATTTAAACCTTAAAATCCAAAACGACGTTGTTTTGATTATTTTCCGAAGAGTAAATTGTTCAAATAGTTATTTATATTTGACAAAAAACTGATTTTGGTCCTTTACATTAACAATTCATTGGTTTGGTCCTTTACATATGTATTTTACACTAATTTAGTCCTTTTTACCTTTTTTTTTTGACCCTTTACATTTGGAGGTTCTCTGGGTTGACCATTTCTGTCAAGTGAACAGGGGTATTTTTGAAAATTTTTAATTCCCAATTTTTTAAAAATACTAAAAACCAAAAATTTGATTAAAATAATAGTATATATATTATATTAACTTTATAATCAATTATTAAAAAATACAAAAAATATTCAAAATTCAAAATTATTTTTCTTTCAAAATCTGAGTTATTATTTTTATCATGTAGGTCACACACGTGATTTCTTCTTTACCCTTAGTCTGTAATTTTTATCTTCTCTCCCCAATGAAATAACCAACCTACTTCCCAAATCCCCAAATCCGATATTCAAGAAGATATCGGACTGAGGGTAAAGAAGAAAAAAATTCAAGAAGAAAAAAAATAATATAATAAGTTTAATATAATTTTTATCAACAGGGGTATATTCAAGAAGAAAAAAATTACAGACTATGGGGTATATTCAAGAAGAAAAAAACTTACAGACTAAGGGTAAAGAAGAAATCACGTGTGGGGCCCACAGGATAAAAATAATAACTCAGATTTTGGTAAAAAAAATTTATTTGAATTTTAAATTTTAAATTTTTTTAGTTTTTAATAATTAATCATAAAATTAAAATAATATGTTTAATATTATTTAATGAATTTTCAATTTTTTAGTATTTTTGAAATTTTGAAAATTAAAAGTTACCAAAAATACCCATGTTGACTTGACCAAGAAATGGTCAACCCCAGAACACCAAATGTAAAGGGTCAAAAAAAGTAAAAAAGACTAAATTAGTGTAAAATACTCATGTAAAGGACCAAATCAGTGAATTATTAATATAAAGGACCAAAATAAGTTTTTTACTAAATGTAAAGGACCGTTTGAGCAGTTTACTCTTTCCCGAAAGTGAAAATTTACACCTTGAACATCAAAACGACGTCGTTTTGATTCCCCAATGCACTATAAAACTTGCAATTCGTTTTAACGTGACTCTTCCCTTCCTCTACCGCTTCGAATTTCATCCCCTGCGCTTTTCCACCCGATTCTTTACAGCCGGAGACATGTCCGTTGATTCCCCTCGCCTACCACTTTGCCATATAAGGGTGAGATGAATTATTGTTCGCAAATTCAATTTTTAAACTGGATTTGTAGATAATCTATAGACTGACTTTTTTTCTGCTCCTTCCTCACAAATTGCTCCGATTAGCCCTTTCCCTCTCTAGCTTTCATTATGATCGAGACGATGCTAATGTCGAGGGGGATGAAGGTGACAACCAGAATTGATTTAGAGTTTCCTTTTATTCGATTTCTGGCTCTCTCCTCGATTCTCTCCTTCGCACCAATTGTCTGGCAGTGATTTTATTTCCGGTGAAAGCGAGGAAAAGGAACGCATAGAATCAACTTATTATGTCTTTATTCGGTACTGATCTCTTAGTCATTGTCGATGAATTGCTCCAATTTCTGGCTGATCCTTGAGTTTTTTTAACTTTCTAATTAATTTCAGCCTTCTCTGTGCTTTAGGGTCTGCCGGTAGATATCAAGAGCGTCAGGGATACCAGGGTGATCGTGTTGGACGTGGTGGAGGAGGTGGTCATGGCGGTGGAAGTGGGGAAGCGGACTGGCAGCGCCCTAATCGAAGGTAATTATTTATTTAGATTTCTATTTGTTGTTCAAGGGTGCAAAAGCTGTTTAAAAAGGGTTTAGTTGTTCAATAGTTATAATGGTAATGCTTATATGCCTTGTGGTGCTAATTGAAAGTTTACTCTGTGCTTTTGTTTGCTGGTTGTTAGTTGTGGAATCTTTAGTGCTACCCAATTTTTTGAAAATTTAAAAAAGTGATCTTCGATGCTACCTTATTAATGTATGGTCGGTTCGGTGAGAAGAGTTTAGAGGTAAACTTTGATGATACTCCGTCCTAACCAAGCATCCTGTTTTATTCATGAATCAAAAGGACAATGAAGGAGTTGATAAGGAGATACCTTTATAATTATAATTTAGTCTCTTTTGGTAGTTTGAAAGAACAAGATTTACAACGTCCTAACCAAGCATCCCTGTTTTATTCATGTTTTGCGTTCTTTTGGGAGCATTTTTGTTCTGTCCTTTCAGACTTTGTTACATGAGTTGGCAATTTGAAGCATTTTATTCTTCAGCCTTTAATCTTGATGGATTGCAGACTTTGCAGTAATGCTGCACATTGAAGAGAACAACAAATTAGAAAAGTATAAATGTTCAGTCTTTAATCTCGATGGACTGCAGTAATGCATCACATAGAAGAGAACACAAATTAGAAAATTTTCCTTACAAGTTTGTGTTGATCTCAATATTAAATTGATGCTTCTTCTCTGATGCAATAGTTTGGGATGGTATAGTTCTGACTTCTGAGCATATGACACTCTTAATCTGAAAAGAAGTGTCCATGTTCTTTCTTACTAATCTGTTACAACGTTAACATATATTACAGATCTGTTAAGTTGAGTTAATATCGGTCGTATGTGATTTGATTTTGTTAGTAGATTTTGTTTATTATTATTATTATTATTATTAATTTTTGCTTTTAATTTTCGCATGGCTAAGGATAGGAATTATTTATGATTCAGGATTTGCATAGAAGATTCAGATATATTTTATGATTGAATTTGTGGAATGTGAAAATTACGAGTAAACTTGATCATTTGAATCCAATTAATGATTATATTTGGTTTTCTTAAATAGATGAAAATTCATTTATTGAAATCTTTTTGTGGCAATGGTGCTTGTGTGTTTTGATTTTATGTGGTCTTTTTCCTGCATAAAATGACATGATATTGAATTACTTTCTCGGTTGATTCTCTGGTTATCTAGTGATGCAGAGGTGCTTATTTGTACCTTTGGTCAGTTTATAGGTTCACCACAGTAATTGAGTCCATTATGAACAAAGTGCATGATACAAGTTTTTTGAATTTGTAGAGATTTTTTTCTGAGCACTTCCTTTTTTTCGCTGTCGATGATGGTTCTCTCCAGGATATTAAAAACGAGTTAAGATTTTGTGGATTGGAATAGAATCATCTGCTGACTGCTGTGGAGTTTAATGATACATTGCACTTCCTCAGATCTTGCAAATAAAAGAAATTAATCCTGGGTTTTACTTACAATAAATCCTTCCATGTTTGTCTGTGGAAGAAAGATGTTAGTCAACTGTTTGAACTATGTTATGTCAGGATTTCTTCACAACATTACGAAACTGTTGTTGCTCTATAAAATTTTTATGTCCCACTTTTGTTACTTTGAAAGGGAATGAATTTCGTTGAGCGAGGGGTTACTTTTGTTTTATTTGCTATTGGCTGGACTGCTTTATATCATTTGTTCTTTTTTTTTTTTTGAATATTAAAAAGGTGATTTAATACACCTTTCACAGTTTAGTCAGAATTGAATGAGCTTGTGCAAGACTGTAGTGAACACTTTTCAAGGACTAACAAATGGTGTTTCATCTGCAGTGGGGCAACTGAATTTGCATCTTAGCTTCTTTTCTTTCATGTATGGAAAGAAGGTGTTAATGATTTTTGACATGGCATATCTAAATTGGTATGCTGTTAGAATTCCTCCTTGTAATTTTCATTTTTGGCATCATAATTTAATCTTTGACTCAATATAAAGATGCATGAGCAAACTCACAAAGAAAAACCAACTGTGGACATTCTTCTATTCATATGTTGATATCGTCTTAAAGCAATCAGCATTATTTTACCATGATAAAAATGTTAAGCAATGGCAAATTTGCTGTTCTGCTTTTCTTCTTCCACAGTTATTTTTGGATAAACTTCATTACCACTGCGTTTGAAAAGCAAAAAAAGAAGCTGAGAATACTTTTGTATTGCTATGATTTGATTTCTCTCCTAGTATTTTTCCGCTTTCAGTTTGTAGTGTTCTGCCTTCCTGGTTTTTCTTTTTCTTGAAAAAAAAAAAGCTAATATGATCTGCTGAGCAATTTATGGACAGTGATATATTTTTACTATAACATGGTCTCGTATCTAAAAAATAGCATCATATTTTTTAGGTCTTCCGGCGCGACTTTGAATTGCCTCTCTGCCTCGTCCTCTCTCTCTCGTCATGGTTGATGGATCGCCGCCATGATGCCCCGAAACCAGAATCTGTCAGGTTCTTCCCCATCGGCATCATGTACCCATTTATTGCTTTGAGTGTCTTCTTCTCGATGTTCTCTGGCGTTATTCCTTGATCCCTGTACTGCCAACTGAAGTCACTGGCATGAAGGGTTGAATGATTTGATGTTGAACTCCGATAGTTTTGTGGTCTGTTATAATACTCATGAATGTGCTGTACTTATGTAACGGTAGACTTAATTAGTTGTATCTGAGCTATGGTTATTAATGATATTTTAATTTTAATGGTTGCTAGATTAGAACCACATCAATGAATCTTTTGATACTAATTTGTTCATGTTTCTAGATTAGAATCACAAGAAATGATTTATTTGTTACTCCAAGAAATAGACTCCTTTGCTCTGTTGGTTTAGGATGCGATTGTATTTTGTTGGTTTATGGATTATATAATGTACACTTGTTGGGCGCGTTTCTTGGTTTGGGATGGATGTATTCACAGAAGCATAACTTAAATTTCAATTTCGGAGAACAAATCAAACATAATACTCCCTCCAATCGTATTCATAATGAGTAGATTAGGTATATGATTAATTTTGTAGTGGGCAATGGTAGCTATAGATGATTCAAAACTCATCTGAGTTAGTCTTCACCGTGCTAATTTGATATTATAATCACATACAAACAGGGTGATATGCTAAATGCTGAATCCTTTCTTTGTTAGCTGCTATGAACAGGCTTCTAGCTTCCAATGTATTTTAATGAAGGAGCAAGGGAGGTCAGACAAGGATGAAGCAGTTGGCAAAAAGGCTATCAAGAAATGGAAGCAAAAGGAGGCCAGACAATTATTTCCCCGGTTACTTATGATATCAAGCATTTGATGAAGTTCTGCAACCATCTCCATGTTGAATTAAACAAGATGGAAGAGCTTTTTGAAGTTGAGAGAGTTGGCATTTGTGACCAGGCCGGCTCAGATAGCTTGCTTACAGATTTTACTTTTAGGAAGCTGAAAGAAACGTTCTTTAGTGGCTCGCTGGAGAAGTACACAGGATGGTTGTATGGTCTAGGGGTAGATAATGGATATCTGCATGAATTTCTATAAACGTTTTACATAAAGGTGTTAATTTAAATCAGTGATCATTTCTTCCTTCATCTTAATTTGCATAACCCATTAATTCCTCGCACATTGAACAGCAACTAATTTGATAACTTCATTAATATACTATAATTATGTATCACAACACAACTCAGTCCCTCAAAACTCTAATTCATACCCCCAAAGCCTAAGTCAGCCAGAAAAGGAACACATTCAGATTCAATAACAGAATATGACAAAATCCTATTTGAAAATTTAAAGGGAGCACTGAAACTGTTGAAGGAGCCCTATAGCAGTTGGAAAGCAAGCTACAGGATATTGTGACTCCACTGAACTCGAAGCATCATTTGATCCCTCAAGTGGTGATATCAGTATTAATTACGCATTTTCACGACAAGTAACATTATTAGCGACGTGCGAGTATGTAATGTAAATTATTTTTGTGAGATAGAAAAGTATTTGTTATGATTCAATTCCTCTTAATTTACAGTTGTAACAGTAGTATAAACTCCAGTTGATTTTCTTCGTAGTAACTACAATTGTAATGAAATAATTACTATATAAAGGATGACATATTCTAGAGAAGAAATGACCAGAAATGACACATTCACAAAATATTTTAAAGAATAACAAATTCCATGGCTGGTCATTTGGACATATTTTAACAATAATCTAATAATCTATTGCTCGTAATAGATTCCTTACACAATAATGAAGTAAACTGATGAAAAACAAAATTCTAAAAATATAATGAAACTAGAAAGGTATGCATTTGAAAATAGAAAGATGCTGGAAATTGAAGCTGAAGCACACAATCTAAAAATTGTTGGAAATGAAGCTAGGGAGATGGTCAAAGAAATGTATTCTTGTATAATTTTTAAATTCTTGTTGAAACATTCCAATAGAGCATTGCAGCAAAGAAGGTCTCCAAAAAGCACATAAAAAGAGTAAAAAAGGTCCAGATTAAGCATATTCTTTTAAATCTCTGCTTTTTGCGATAATGGAATGTAATGAAAAATACCGACACTTCTGTCCGACCACTCAATCTAGAGCACAATACTGTTGCAAAATGGTCTCCGGTGTGATTATGGCTTTCTTTCTTCTTCTTATTTACTCCCTTCGTCCCAAAATTATTATCCAATTTGAAATTTTATTTTTAATACAATTTGAACTAAAACTGAAAACTCAAACTAGATAATAATTTTGGGACAAATGGAGTATATAATTTTTCACAAAAACTATATTGATGTATATATGTATAAGAGTAGGATTATGTATGTTGAATACAAGTAAAGTTATGTACAAGTAAATTCAACAATGAAATATGAGTATTTATCGACAACTCTGTATCCTATATAACCATTCAATAAAAAATGCGCAATTCAAGAGATAAAGTTTCAAAATATTTTTTTACGCAACAGAATTTTTCGGACACGAATAAAACATAATGATGCGAATTACGCCGCCCAGGACTAGTGATGCACTTAAAAGTTAGGTGAATAGTTGACAGGTTTTTTTTTAGTTTTTTATAGTTTATATTATTCTATTCAGAAGCATCATATACATTTTTCTTTAAAATTTCTGACATGCATCGTTGAGAAGATACAGTAAAATTTGTTAAATTGATAATCTATAAATGTAATTCGAGTAATTAATAATTTTTTCACATCCCAATTTGAGATCAATACAAAAAATGAACAAATCAATAAAATAATATGATAACAATATTTTGAAAAAACCCTCTATATATCTATTGGGTTCGGCAATGCTATAAAGTAATACACTTACCCTAAATAAAAAAAAAAAGTAGCAATAATAACTATCTATAAATATTTCGTAGCATATAAACTTTTGATACTTTCTTTTTAGTCCTTAAAGATGATATGAACTATGATATGAATAATTTTAATAACGACGGTTCCTTTTTTTTTGAAAAAAAAAAAATCAAGAGTGGTTCTCTACTTATCCTTGTGCGACTCGAACCCCTGACCTATTGGAAACATGGAAGCGTCTTACTACTAGATTACATCTCATTGTCGGAAGGTTAAGATAATTAAAAAATAAGTAATTTAGCGAGGAAATTTTTTTTCTAAAGAAAACTCTTTAAATTAATAATTTAACAATTTGTCGTTATTATTTAATAAATATTTTAATTAATAAATTTTGTTAATCCCAACGCTATCAATTTATATAAATTCTATCGCAGATAGTTAATCATGTTATTATAGTGAATATTTCGGGAGGATATTTGATTTATTCATGTGATCAAACTCATCTCTTCATAAATTTCATCCTTACAAAAAACTTTAACTATTTGGTCATGGCTCTTTTTTTTTCCCTCTCGAATTTTACCCAATAGCACAAGTGATCTCTACATTTTATATTATGATGACTATTCTGATTCTCCATATACTGAAAGGATAACAACATTGTTCCTTAATACCCCTATTTAAGAATAAATCTAAGAGTTTATCTGAAAAGTTTGGTGTCAAACTTTGAACCCAAATTGTGTAATATGATAAGCGATAACAATCATTGTACAATGTTAATCCTTATCTATTTGAACCCAAGTTGTTTTAACATGATAACCCAAAAGTAATGATCATTCATTCATTAATCTTCTTTTTACAGCAGAGTTTGCAGAAAAGCAAACTAATTCATTAATTGAAAAATATGTAAATGCATTAACCTACTGTATAAAAATCTAATTCATTCATCAAAACAAAACTATTATTGGGACTTTCTAAAAAAACAAAAATGAAATTAATACGTGATAGCGAGCAAAATTTACAATTTCAACCAAAAGGCACCTAATATGATCAAGCCCACAGGGCAAGCAAGGACATCAACCCTGCCCCTAGGAAGAGTGCAATATAAGAGACCACTTGAAGTCTGGTATTGCAGCTCATTCTCTTGCTCAAAAAGTCAGCAGCAATTAGATCAACCAAAGCCATGTACACTAGAATTCCGGCCGAAATGGAATCGAAGATGCCTTCGATGGCCACTGCTCTTGGACTGTTAGCATTGTAGATCTTAGAGATACCGGTACCTACTGCGATTCCCAGTGGGGTTGTCACGGCAAAAAAACATGCCATTAAGGTTGAATGGAGAGTCTTGAACTGAGCTTGAGATATGCAGCCCCCAAGAGCAAATCCCTCAAAGAACTGATGGAATGATAATGCTCCAATCAAGGGTCTTATGGTGCATGGACTTTGAGATACTCCCAGCGAAAGTCCTATGATTACCGAGTGCGACACTATCCCTAATTCCAAAACCTGCAAGGTGAAGTAACTGGTGAATAATCTCTTTAAAAGAAGAAAAATATAACAGTGCCACAGATCACACACCAAGCAAACAGTAGAGACAAACTGCAGTATGACAATTATAATTATAAAGCACACAATAGGGGCTAAAAGGAAAAGGACCAAAGTTGAACAGCAAATTAAGTTTCATAATTCATGCCATGTCTGGGAGGGCCACAAAGCCAACTTTTTCGTGTACGGGAGAAATAACACTTGAGCAGCAGACGCTCATAAACCATCATCAGATCCACTTGGTAATCCTGTAAAGTACACTATGCTAGAACTGCACCATATTTTTCTGGTTTAGTGCAAGGGAAAGAGGCTGTTTGTTCCATGCAATCAGGAAAACAGTATTTAAAGCAAAAGATGTGGTCAGGCATTGATTCACATTTGAGTACTTAATTGTATGATTCAAAGAACTGATGGGAGTAATGAATTCTGCTTATTTGTATCTACTTCAGATTCCCATAGAACTGAAACCTAAGTCAAATCTAGCCATAAAATTTCTTCTTAAAGCAGGCAAGGTTTTGGAAATAAAGTTACAGGGGCAGGGCAAGGCACAGGTAACACAAAGGATCCCTTCTCGAAAACATCTATTCTTCTGAGCACAAGGAGATAATGGATGAAAAAGGGAGGGAGGGGGCCACATGAAATGTACTTCTGTCACCAGCTTGAACAAAAGCTAGGAATCTCTTCGTGTTCAATGGATTACGGAAAAAAAAGGGTCAATCACTAAGATGATGAAATGTACTCTCGAAAAATTTACTTCGTTGATGGTTACAAACTGACTACAAAAGATTCAGAAAAACAGCAGCAAATCTAGCATAACGATGAATAAGTTCATAATCAAATAGAAAACAATGGCATTCATCCACAGAAAGGTTTTTCTTGAAGCTATGTGAATATCAATTCATCAGAATTTGGTAAAACTCAAAGGCAGCCTTTTTTATTGACTGGTATTGAGATACCCTGGAGATTAAAACCTTTGGCATACAGGAAACTGCTGTCACGAAGTCTTAAATGAATCAAATAAAAATTAATCAAACACAAAAGCATATGATCAGATGACAGTAACGAGATCATCAAGAAGATGCTACAAGTACATAAGAAAATCTAAAGCATTTGAAAGTACCTGGGAAACAACAACATGCCTCTTTCCACTTTCGTCATCCAGATCACTAACTCCATGTGAATGTAGATGTGGATGTGACTGAGAATGACCATGGTCATGCCCACTCAAACCTCCAGCGCATGCTCCTCCCTCCTGAGGGTGGTTATGCCTATGATGTGCTGCATGTGCATGCATCCCCACGATATGAATAGCACCATCTTCCTCTTCCCCAAATACCTTCCTTGATGAACCCTTACTATCAGCTGGAACAATTCCACCAGACTCAAGCAAGTGAGATGGATCGATTTGGCTCTGTTTCTCCTGTTTACGCTCATAATACTGAGTCCCAATGAACTCAATCAACAGTGTACACAATGCAGACATCATGGCAATGAAACCGGAAAACGGAAACTTTGACCACGGAATTTCAGGCAGACACGGATCTGTCAAGGATGCTGTTGCATCTGGTAGCATGTGTACAAAACCAGTAGCTAGAATTACACCACCAGCAAAAGCCTTGGCAGCAACAAAAAGATTGGTATCTGTTCCGAGAAACCTGCGCTTCTTGCCCACCAAAGGAATAGCAACCCCACATACACCAGCAACAAGGATTGATGCGATAGCTACAATTTTAAGAATCAGCGCAGCGCTCTCATCTCGGCAGCTCTCCAAATCAGTATCCCCGCCACAAGGGACATTCGACATTGATTGAGTCAGGCCCTGGAGAAAAGAGCCTATTTTTCGTTTCAGCCCCAAAAGCGAGAAAGGTTAAAACATTAAAGATTACCAGCTAAAGCATTTTTCCAATCCCAAAAAGAAAAATTAATAAAAAGATGGCTTCGTGAACAATTGACATTCAGTAAATGACAAAACAGGAAAAGCTACTCCACAATTCTGCTATGATTATTTAGGGATGACAAAATTGCAGAAGTCTGCAAACCAAGGTACAGCTAATCTCCTTTTCCTAAATGATCTCAAACAAGTATATTTGGATTTATGGGGAGAGTCAAATGGATGCATTGTATGACAAGGCATCGTCTTTCCCTCATTATGACAATACTATAATTGTGACAGGGGAGAAGTGCAACTATAAAGAAGATTTCCTTCAAATGCATCCCATTTCAGTGCTATTCCTTATAACTGTGTTAAGGCAGTTAATATCCAAAAATGGAGACTCATGATGGGCAAAAGTCAACTCCAAATGAAAACATCAGAACCAAGAAGGAACTTTTTTTCAAGTCTGCAGATGAACTTTTCTAGGCCTAATGGATTTTCTATTCACAAAATCATGATCGAATTTTGAGTGAAAGAAAACAGCATTACACCACATACAGGGAGGAAAATAAATACAAAAACAGCATCCAAACAGAAGTTTGCTTAACTCACATATGACGCAATCACCCGCCAAAACAACCCGACCCCCTCCTACTCTTTTTCACTCTGCTTTTGAAATACAAAATCACAGAAAAGAAAGGTACTTTTGAATTACCTGCAGAAAGGCGAGTCTTGTTTGCAATTCCCGTTAACTCAAGCATTGGCAATATATCCTGAAAAGATCATCATAGAAAAAGTATTTTTAAAAAAGAAATATCATATCACCGAGCTATCCTAGAACAAGAGAGTACGGAACAAGAACACTGAACCAACTTTAAAAAAATAAAACATGGGAATAGGAAAACCCAAGAAAACGAAAGAAAGGGAAAAGCAGAGTAATAAAAAATGAGCACCGCTAACCTCGAAGAATGACATGGATAAAACAGTAGTCCGCTAATACCGAGACAAAGAAGATTTTCGCAATTCGAGAAAACTAAAACAAACCAACCCGAATCTCAAAAACCCACTAAAATCGACCCTTTTTATACCTCCACTGAAACTTCGATGATGATGAAATCAAAGTTTCAAAAAAGAAAACAAGATGATGACATGATGAGATGGGGAGGAGGACCCAATTGAAAAAAGGGGGATCATTTAATATGATATGAAAGCAGAGAATTAATACAATCAGGCCCAGATTGGGAGACTCCGTTGCAGAAGAAGACGGTGAGAGAGAAGAAAGTTGGTGCAAAATTTGGGAATTTAGGAGGATGGAGTTGGGATGTCGACATTATATGTAGAGTTCCAGAGAAAGGGAGAATTTTGGAAAACGGGTTTGTGCAGAGGAATGAGGGGGAAAGTGTCGACATTTCGCTGAAATCGTTAGTGTGTGACTGTGTGTGCGGATCTCCTAATCTGATTGTGATGCCTTTAAAAAGTGGCGTAGTAAAGTACTAAAATATTTTCTGACCAGAGGTCGTTAGTTGTACGTACTTTGGTTGTTTTTATTTTTTGTCAATTCTCATCAATTAATGGTGCTCCATGGATCACATTTTGGTAAATTTCATTTTATATACCGTGAAAATGGAGGGTAGATTCTAAATTAGTCTTCCCAAATCATGTCCTTATATTTGAATTTATTTTTTATAAGTCTTTTTTCAATGATAAAATGAGAGAAAAATAAAGAATTACCCAAACCCTAGCAGACGCCCCTCTCCTCTCTCTCTCTCTCTCAAACCCCAACTCCAAAAAAAAAAATTCTTCCCCTATCTTCTCATCATGGGAGGATGAGGGAATTAAACTTGTTTAGTTGCTTTTCGTTTTGTTATTTATCGTTTAATAAGTGAGGTTATTCTCACAAATTAGTTCCTTTAATAGGCTATTTAGATAATCTTTTGAGAGTTAGGATTTTCTTGTTCCCAGTGTTTTTTCAATAGGTTACTCTACTGAGAGGTAGGTCCGTTTTACAGTATTCATAGCGGCGTTGAAGATGTTCGCAACGTTACATATGCCCTATGAAGAATCAGTCACCGCAGATCTAATATTTAGATATGTGGTTTGGAGTTTTCAACAGAATTTTAGAGATATATTCGAGATCAGATTCAAACTCTGGTATATGTCCGTCAATTATATAGGTAGATTTGTATAGGTTTATCCACGGTAAACACAACAAAGTGATACATTGTAAATTGTGTTTGACTGTTTCTTTGTATCAATCAATCGCAGCTGGACGATTTCCAGTAAATGAATGGAAAGTACTATTTTATTTCAAAAAAAATGGTAAAATGAGAGAAAATTTCACTCATTTTATTAATTTTACAAAAATTTACCTTCAAATCAAATTTGAGCAAATTGCACATTGACTTTGGTAAAAAAAAAAAAAAATTCATGGATTCTATTTTTAGTTCTTTTCAATGTACAAATTTTTTTTTCTTTATTGTAAGTTTTACATGATTTTTTTTTTGGGTAAAAGGTGAATTATATTTACTATCAAAACTTTGTGTTCCTTACTTTTTACATTCCTTTTTCTTTGTCTATGCTATTACAATTCACTTTTTATTACTGTGTAATGTTAATGCCCTTTGTTTCTAAATACTTTAAATCAGCCGGTTTGCTCTTTTTACAAGCACTTTGGATCTTCTACTTCAGCTCCTGCTTGATCTGCTCCATTCTGTCTTCCACAATTCTGCATTGCTGCTCACATCTTCTCACATTTCTTTCCATTGTAAACACAAGCCATAACAAGTCCATTTGCCAAGCTCCTCTTCATCTTCTTATATTAGCAACCAAACTTTATCCTTTGCTGCACTTGTTTCAGACCCCTGGTTTGAATCCCAACTCCATCCAACAGTTTTCTTAATAAGCTGCAAAAGTAACCGCACTCAAAGAACAAATGAGTACTACTTTCCATCACATCTTCTTCACACAGTATACGTCCAGTCTGTGGTTCAATGATATTCAGTCTGATCATTTTCTCCACTGTAATCTGCCCTGCCAAGCAATTTAACCTATGAACCTATGTTTTGGCATACATTCTGTCCCAAACCATATTTGTTTCATTAAACTTCTGTCATTTACTTCTCCATTATTCATACCCTTTCTTTGTACTGTATTCCTTCTTCCCTGCCTCCCACATTCTAGCATCAAGACCTTCTTTCAGTTTCTGTTTGATCACCATCAGCCTTCTCCAGTGCCAACTGCAGCCAGCAGGCAGTTCACACTCCCAAAGATCCTTCCATTTTAAATAATATGCATGAATCCATCTGACCCACAACACATTTTTGTCAACTGCAATATCCCACATTTGCTTAGCAACAACAGCTAGGTTCCAGATTCCTGGCTCCCTAATATTTAATCCTCCTTCTATTTTAGGACTACACACATTTTCCATGCAATTAGAGCCATTTTGTTCCCTGTTTTATTCTTTCCCCATATAAATTTCCTATAAACTCTTGGTATTTGGGTTATCACTTCCTTAGGTAACAGAAACGTGTTTCACCAATAAACATACATAGATAAAAGTACCAAATTTACCAGTTGATTCCTCCCAACATAGGAGAGGTTTTTTGTGCTCCAACATTTAATCCTTTTAGTAATTTTCTCCATCAACTGCTGACAATCACCATTAGTCCATTTCATAGATGAAATTGCCAGGCCTAAATATTTCATAGTGAAGCTGCCCATTTCAAACCCCAGAATTTCCTTTAATTTCACTTTTAGCTCCTCTTCTACTAGCACAAAACAAATTTGATTTCCCCTGATTCACTCGTAAGCCTGTGGCGTCACCAAAATGCTGCAGCACCTGATGTACTTTTCTAACAGAAGACTCCTCTGCCTTACACAGAATTATAAGATTATCTGCAAGTCCTAAATTGGTAATCTGTAACTTACCACATTTAGGGTGCATCTGGATCCTTTTTCCTTCTACCTCCTTTTAAACCTCTAGTGAGGTATTCCATCACCATAACAAATAACAAAGGGGAAATAAGATCCCCTTGTCTAAGGCCTCTTTTACCCGAAAAATACCCCAAACTATTGTCATCTACATTCAACGAATAACTACAACTAGTAATACACTCCATAACCCAACCAATAAATTTATAAGGAAAGCCATAAGCAATCAACATTTCCTCTACAAATTGCCAGCTAGCAGAGTCATACTTTTCGTATATCTACTTTCATCATACAACTTGACTTAACATTTTTCTTTCTATACAAGCGTATTAATTCTTGAGTTAGAATATATTATGGATAATCTTCCTATCTTGTATAAAAACACTTTGATTTGATTAACAATATAAGGAAGTACCTGACTAAGTCTCTTGCAGATGATTTTAGAGACACACTTGTACAGGGTATTACAGCAGCTAATAGGGCGATACTCTATGGCATTTTTCGGTAGTTTTACTTTAGGAAAAAGGAAAATGATAGTATTCAGTTGTCTTAAAAGTTTCCCAGTATGGAAAAACTCTAAAACAACCTCCCCTATATCATTTCCAATAATATTCCAGGCATGCTTATAGAATCCGTTCCTAAAACCGTCAGGACCTAGAGTCTTGGTGCTGCCAATCTCAAACATTGCTGCCCTAACTTCTTCTTTGTTACCTCCATTATTAACTGTAACTGTTGCTTCACAAAGATTTTTTTCCTAGCAGCAAATATGTCTCTGTTTGCAGGTACTTTAGGTTCCATTTTCCACGGCAAATTTTCATAATAGTTAACAAAATGCTCCACCACCGTACTCCAATCTATTTCAATGTTGTCTCCCTCATTCTGAAATGCTATTATTCTGTTTTGAATCTTTCTTCTCTTTAAGCTGGCATGAAAATATGTTGTATTCTGATCACCTTTTTTTACCCATCTTTCTTTCAGTTTTTGTTGCGAATAACTACTTATTGCTCTGTTTTTTAATTTATAGTTTGTCACCAGGTCCTTCTCTTTCTTCTGCAATTCTTCATCCCATGGTTCTACCACAAGATTTTCTTGCATTTTCTCCAACTCCTCTTTAATTGCATGTGCCTTTTTCTCAATCTCTGAAAACTCCTTTCTGTTGAACTCTCTCAATTTTCCTTTTAGCATATGTTGTTTTTTCACTACTTGATACTGTTTGCATCCTTTTACTTCATACTCCTACTGTTTTGCAATTAACTCCTTCAGTTGTGGATTTTGACACCATATATTGAAGAATTTAAATGTTACTTTTTTCTTTTGTGCTTCTTTCTTCCACTACATTAGTAGAGGGCAACAATATGAAATTCCTGCATTCAACACTGTAGCAAAACTCTCCTCATATGTATGAATCTAACTGTCATTGATCATAATTCTGTCCAATCTTGCTAATATTTTTTCTCCTCCCAATCTCTTGTTGCTCCATGTAAAAACTGCACCATTTGTTTTCATGTCCCATAATTGACATTGTTCTACTGCCATATGGAACATTGCAGTATTCATGCTTGTAGCTGTAACATCACCCACTTTCTCCTCTGCCTTTAATACACTGTTAAAATCACCAGCAACTATCAATTCTTGTTGTATGTTAGTTCCTATCATCATCAGTTGTTGCCATAACTTGTTCCTATTACTTGTCTATGGATCATCATATATTATTGTCATCAGAAATTTGCATTGTTGAGTCAACTTCTACACTTCAAAATGCACTAGTTGTTCATCTGAGAGAAACACTTTCACATCATACTCCTGTTGTCTCCATAATACTAAAATTCTGCCTTTATCATTCTCCTTATGATTACTAATATGATTATACTGCTTCCACTTTCCCTCCATTAATTCCTTCACCTTCATATGTCACTTAGCTTTGTTTCAACTAAACCTGCCAACCCAACCTTATTAACATAGAGGCTATGTTGTACCTCTCTGTGTTTCAGGGGACTATTAATGCCCCTTACATTCCAGGATAAGACACTATCCATTGAGACTAGGCCTCTGGATTGTGTATTTTGCTGCTCCTTGCTGTATTCTGTCTTGTTCACAGATGATACTTCGATTTATTTCAGTTTGATCTCTTTGATTAATTCCCACCAAAATCCCATCCTAGACATTTTGTTTTTGCTTTACCTGCTCTTTCTCAGGCTGCTTATGATGCTGGATTATGCCTTCATAAACTAGTTTCACCTCATTTTCTTCCTTCCACACCATTTCTTCCTTCAGTTTTTTCACATTGCCATTGTTCTACAATTCTGCCCTTCATGCCCAAACCCCTTACACTTAGAACATTTAACAGGCAACCAATCATATTGCAGCTTCTGAGTGATTATATTTCCATCTTCATTCTCAAATATTACCTCAGTAGGCATTCTTTCTTGGATTTCCATTTCCACCGTTACTCTAGCATAATCTGCACGCATTTTTTGAGCTATGGTGTCATCCATCATCAACAGAACACCTATAGTACTCATTATTTTAGAAAATAATTTTTTTAGTTTTCCTTTTTTGGTACTTTTTTTTGCTCTAGTTATTGGTACTTTTATGCATTTTTGGTAATATATATATATATATATATATGTTTTTGTTTTCATTTGCCAAAACATAAATATAACTTATAATATGAAAGAAAGAATAGCTTAATAAATTTAAAGTGCAATTTGCTCTTTACTAAAAGTTTGAGAGAAAAGACATAAGGGTTTGGGATAAAATAAAAAAAAAAAAATAAATCACATTTTGTCCTTGAAAAGTTACTTACAAACAACAAATACAAATATTAGAGACATAATTTGGAAAGACCAATTACTAGGATACATAATAAGACTCTTTAATTTCAGGTTACATAAAATAAAAAATTTTCCTTACATTTCTTACTCCATTATGTGGTATAGTATTTACTGTTCTCATATTAATATCCCAAATTCAATTTGTCATTACAATAGTTCGATTCTCAAGAGTAATATTTCAAGTCTGTTAAGATGGGTTGGGAAAATCTAATCCAACTTCACCAAACCCTATTCTCAGGGGGCGAATAATAACAAGCACCTAGGTATACTTTGCAAGGTGTACCTCATGGGCATGTGTAATACACTCTCCTTCTACGCAAGTTGATTTATTTTTTTTTCCCAATTTTTAGTTATATGCGCATTAAATCCTTCAATTCTCATCCCTTTTTTTTCTCATACATTTAATTTTAAACCGTTTTCTTTTTTGCTTATCTTGTTATCTTTTTATATTATTTTATTTTATGAGAATTTTTTTTATAACTATCGATTTTATTTGCGTAAAATTGAATATGTTTCATCATCGAGACTTGTAAATCCGAAAAATCAATTGGAGAAAAAAATTTAAATTGATTATCAATGAAATCTGGAGAATTAAGCGTCAAATATAGAATATTTTAATAGATAACGATGTTTGTTCGCATGAATAATAGTATTCTGATCGATGAATAATGATAATATTGTGGATAAATAATGGTGTTCTTATAGTGACAAATTTATGGATAAATAAATTTAAATTTTTGAAATGAATATAGATATCTACAAAGATAAATAATGAAGCAAATGTTGATGAATAATGATCCCATCCAAGATAAATAACAATAATAAAATGAACAATATATATATATATTTGCATGATGAATACACATATTTATGAAATGAATAACACATGTTCAAACGATGAATGACATATATTTACAAGATGAATAACACTGTTTTACATTATTAATAACACTAGTCATTGTTTTTAACATATACGGTCTTGAATGATTCGCCGATACTCAACACCTATATATTGATTGTTTGATTTCAGCAACGTTGTCAAATATTTGATTCCCGAGCGATTGAGTTCATCTTGATGAGCATTTCTTTGCCGTTTTTCAAACAAAAAGAACATCACAATAAGTGAGATTTCACATTCAATCAAAACTCTGTTAATCATCAATAACAATGCTATTGAAGATGAATAATTATTTTGAAAATGATAAATAAACATTAAAATTACCTAAATCGAATCCAGTTGATAACAATCATGTACGGTACATATTACATGATGAATAACAACATAACTGGTGATGAATGACACATATTTGTATGATGAATACACATATCTACGGAATGAATAACACATGTTTAAACAATGAATGACATATACTGACAAGATAAATAACACTATTTTACAAGATTAATGACACATATCTATAATTGTGTACAATCACATATTACATGATGAACAATATGACTTGTAATTTGTATCACAATTAGAATGAATAACTAAACGAAAATAATGAATAACTAGAAATAGATGATGAATAAATATTTCACAGAAGAAGAAAACATGAATAAAACAACCCAAAATTAATGATGAATAATGATATTGAGATGATGAATAACAGCTAGAAATAGATAATGATGTCAAAATCTGATTTCTAAAATGAACCACAAATCGATGAACAAGACTATCGATGAACTAATATGTTTTAAAGATGAATAATGATATTATACTGATGAACAAAACCTAGATCTAGTAATCTTTTCGAAAATCAACCACAGATCGATGAACAAAACTAAGAAATTGATGAACTAACATCATTAATCGATGATGAATGATGAATAAATATTTCACAGAAAAAAGAAAACATGACTAAAACAACCACACATTGATGATGAATAATGATACCGAGGTGATGAATAATGCCAGATGTATGAATATTTTCTGAAATCAACCACAAATCGATGAACAAGACTGGAACATCGATGAACTAACATGTTTTAAAGATGAATAATGATATTAAAATGAAAGTATCTAGATCTATTAATCTTTTTCAAATCAACCACATATCGATCAACAAAACTAATCAACGGGAATAATATCAAATCTTTGCCAACGGACAAAACACAAACCAGATCTATTAAACTGATGAACAACACATAGATCTATTAATCTTTTTCAAAATTCACCGGACAAAATATAAAACAGATGAATAATATCAAATCTTACCATAATTCTCATATTCAGTAGCGTACATTGCAACGAAACTCACGAGATTTGATGCACAATCGGATTTCGTCTTCAAAAATATCGCCGATGAGAGGTTTTGATGCCAAACTGCTACAGAGAATATTTTACTTTTTTAGATTTTTTTAGTTTGAAATGTCTTTGAATTGGAACAGGAAGTTGGATGGATATAATTAATGATGCCTGAAAATTAGAAGCGATATTAAGAAATTAAAAATTTGAATTTTTTTAATCCTCTTTTTGGGCGCGCGAATTTCAAAGTGTACCTAAGAACTCTATATTATAACTGATTCTCATGTGCATAAAATAGGAATTTCACTTATATTTTTACTCCATTAGTCCGGTATAGTATTGACGCTTCACATGTTAATTCCAAATTCAATTTGTCATTTCAACGGTACAATTTCTCAAAGTAATAATTTTTTTTAGTATATTATGCACCTGGTAATAATTTTTTTTTTTTTTGGAGAAATGACAAATTAAGTTGTAAAAGTGGATGCAAACTTAAATTATCTTAACTATTGTGAAAAATTAATTCTTAAGTTGTAAAAGTACCACACACGTACTCAGAAGTCCTTTTGCTTTGACAAAATAACTAAAGACAATGAACACGGATTATTATTTTGGGAAGAATTAATTAAATTGGAATGCGCAAAAATGTCAAAGCAGCGTTGGATTCAATGTTATAGACATTGTTCGCACGTCATCGAGCGTGGACTTTCAGGAAATGATTTTATATTTCTACAGATTAATTTAGCTATTGCTCCAAGTACTGGAAGGCCTCATTCATGCCACTTTGTTTAACTGGCCACTTTCTTTTACAGGTTCAATATTCACAACATGAATCTTTCATTATAAAAAAAAAAGACCTTTCCTCCCAAAAAATAATTATTTCTGTTGAATGATTAAATAACTTTCTCAAATTAATAAGAGAAATTTCTCTATATTTCAGTTTAGTTCTCTTTTTGTCTTCTTGATGGGAAGTCTTCATTGATTTTGGAAGTGTTTAGTCCCTTGTTAGTAGTAGCACCTTCTTGCGGTATTCTGCTAAAGCCCACAATGGATATATGTTTCTGTATACTGCATAATGTAACATGCAGTTCTTTTGGAAAGCCCCTGTAATTTCCTGCAAAGCAAAAACTTTCAATCAATCAACTAAAAGATATTCATTCATCAAATGCAATCTTCAACATTCGAAATATTTGATTATTGTTTGTTTTCATACTCTGATCTTTTGTTCCAATTCATACCTGTTGAGGGAAATCTCCATTTTCCATCTGAGAATTGACCAATAACTTTGCTGCTCGGTGGAGAGGCTCAGGATCTCTTTCTCCCTATCAGGAAAAAGAAGGGAAAAAAAAAAATTTTTATATCTGATAGGAGAGGACGACAATGTGATGCGAATGCAGCACTGAATAGACTTATGTACTTCTTTGTCCCAAAATAAAAGTCATATTCGTTATATTATTAATTTAGGACTCTTCTTTTTTGGGACGGAGGAAGTATTGTAAACTTACTTGGCCAGAGTGAATCAGTCCCATCAAAGCCCAGGCAGTATGAACCAAGTTTGATCTTCCTCCTTCTAATGGAACATATTTCTGTCCATCCATACAACACACAATTAAGCATATTGAAATCCTTTTTTTAACTGTTGAATGTAAGCAAAGCAAATATTGTTATATCACCTTCTCAGGGCAGGAGCGGAAGCTTTCTCCCCAACCACCATCATGGCTTTGCGATTTCAGTAGGAAATCAACGGCTTTACGAACAGCTGAGCAATTGTTGTAGGTCTTCCCAGCTGCTGCAAGCCCACCAAGAGCAAACCATGTGCCATATGTGAAGCAAACACCCCAATTTCCATACCTACACAGATGCAAAGCCATTGTTAAAGATTATGGAAAACAATATCTTCTTGTACTATTTTCTGCAGTTTTCATCAGATTGGAACAGCTATAAGTAAGCTAACAAATACCATGATCCATCCGGCATTTGTACGCCTTCAATGAACTTAGCAGCATTTTTTATGAAGTTCTCAATCTCTTTCGTACGATGACCCGGGTACAAGCATCTGAACAGCACAAGAGCTTGGATTGCGGACGAGGTACACTCAACAAACCTGGATGATGAAGTCAAACATTTTCATAAATTACTTCTCGACGGCATCAGCCGCAAAGGATGTGTAGCTGAAGAAAAAATTATGAATACAAGAAATTGAAATCTTACTCTTGCTCAATAACAGTGTCCTCAAAGAACTCAGTCGGATTAAGCAGCTGTGGAGAAATGGACATTACAAAGAGGTCAGACCAAAAAAAAAAAAAAAAAAAAAAAACAAGAGGTGAAATTTACTGCTATACTTTTTTCTTTCTTTTCATCTCTTAGGGGAACCTACCTCTAACCATTTATGTCCTCCTCCTTCAGGCTCCCATGCTCCTAAACCTCCATTTTTCCTCTGAAATTTGTACCAATCAACAAGAAAACAGAAAAATTAATAAGGTACCCTGAATTCCATCAAAAAGAAAATGAGATTTCGGGAAAACCAGGCTTTCTGTGAAGTAGGGTCTAATGCTCACCTGTAAATACAGTAGAATATTAACGGCATCATAGAGTCTTTCAGGCTCCAACTTTTCTCCAACAATTTCAGGAGGCAGCAAAGAGAAAAGGAGACAACACTGGCAAGAAACCCGAAATTTTTTTTAAAATGTTTGATTGGATAGAATTTTCAGAGAAAGTCCAGGATCTTACAGAAGACCTTATAACGTGGTAAAAAAGTACCTTTAGTCCTTCAGCAGTGCAATCAGAAACTTGCCATCCATGATCTTGGTCTGAGAAAGTCCAGGATCCCTTAGAAATATGGCGGTACATGCTTCGAAAGTCGCCAGAAGGATTCTCCCTGACCTGGGGAAAAAAGAAAGGGCCACATTATCATTTTAATGATTCTTTTAATTGCATAATCACTGCAAGATTCTTGATATGTATGTCAAATGGCAAAACCTGAGACTTTTTCACAAAATCATGTGCTTTATTGAGTGTGCCCCCTATTTCATCTGTCAAATCACTAGCAATAAGTGCCTGAATTGCAAAGCCTGTATCCCACTGCTGGCTGCCAAAACTCTGAAACAATCAGCAAATACAAAGAAAGAAGGTGGTAAGTCTAAATGTTTAAACTCAAGAACCAAACATAGTGTATCTATACGTTTCGTGGCGAATTAATTTGTCTTGACTAAACCTGCATCTTCATTCCATCTTCAGCCACCCAGAGGTAGTCAGGAATCCTTGCAAGATGTTTCTTAAAATAATCTCCATTCGGGTCCTCAACCCAACAAGCAAGCATACATAAAACCTAGCAAGTCCAGAAACTTGTTAGCACTTAGCATGTATGGAAACCGTTAGCCAAATATCTATAGCTCCTTAATTCGCTTACCTTTTCGACACACCCAATGGTGATATATCGACTATTTTCATCTTCATAATGTATATGTTTCATGGTAGTCTGCAGAGCTCTCTGTCTGATCAGCTTATTGAAAGGCCATCTATTCAGAAGAGGCTCTGTGCAAAAATAGAGAATATCCCACAAGAAATCTTGTATCCATGGATGAGGGTAGTATAAGTCCTCCTAAATGAACAAATTTCAGTAAGTTAATGAATGCTTCAATTATAGATTGAATAGTCATAAAGGATACAAAAAGAATGTTGATCTGGTGGTACTACCTTGGCGCACAAATGTCGAACTTGGGTCCAATTTATTTGTTCAAAAGGTTCAGCATACAACTCTTCTCTTAGTTGTAAAATTAAGGGTGTAATTGGTGCGACAAATCTTTTACCATACAAATACGACATTGGCATGTATACCATTCTACAATAGCACCATATTTTTGCTGCAACCAAAAACAGAATCAAGAATGAATCACATCAATGGTTTCAACTTTCAACAATTGTACTAAGATGATTGCTAAAAAATGGTTCACTTTCCTGACCTGGATGCATAGGAAGAAAGGAAGGTAGAATCCAGAATTCAGGGGGCATTGGATTGGTTCCGGACCAATCATATAATCCAATAATCTACAACCAAAAAGGGAGCACAGAATATTTAAGATGCATAATTTAAGTTGCATTTCTAACCAAAAACAAAAATAAAAACAGGCTCCGAAAATTTACCGAAAGCCAAGTCTTTCCCCAAGAAGGTATTGCTGTGACACTTCCATGGTCTAAAATCCATTTTCGAGCTCTGGAACATGAATGATTCTGACCGCCATCGGGTCCTTCGCCGAGAAGACGCATACAGATATAACTCAGGGCTGTGCAGAACATTGTGCTGTGACCTTCAATGTGAAATCCCCATCCACCGTCTTCATTCTGAATTTTATACATATTTGCACATTGAAAATCAATTGTTGTTAGAAGTCATTCCTTTCATTTGTACTATTATATACTAGGTTTCTTTACCTGTGTTGTAATACCTGATGACAGTAAATGTAGCGGAGAATTTCTTTTCTATGCTCTGTGGAGAATATTGTGTTCAGGTGCCCTGTAATATACAAACACATGACCTGCAATTTGGTTCCAATAGAGGTGATCAGGTGAACAAAAGGAACCCAGAATTGCTCAAAATTTTATCTTTTTTATTGACTTTGTAACAATTGATTTGACGAGGGCTCACCAGGGGTGGTAGGAAGAACAAAGGGCCGGCGTTTTCAGCTGGCCAATGGCCATCATCAGCCTGCAAAGCAGAAAAGAAATGAACTGCCCTGCGTAATGTAACAGTGGCAATCTCATGAGTGATTTCTTGGCCATCTTCAACCTTCACCTGGGCTATTGTCTGCTGGAATTTCTTCTCTCTTAGAAACTGCACTAAGAGATGGCGTACACATGAACCAAGAGACCATGACACTTGATTATTATTATTATTTTTTATAAAGGCATGATGCATGAAGCGCGTTTTGGTTTCATACTCTTTTTAGATTTTAAAGGTAATTTATAGTATCATGCTTTGTATGGAGATTTTAAACGATTAAATGCATAAATTTTTTAATATACTCGTACTTTTTGGTCCAAGAGAGAAAATATATTCCTACCTTTTTAAGATTACTAACTGAAAACGTTGCAAGAGAATCCAAAACATGTACTACTTCTTTCATAAAAATAACTAGATGTTTGGCCCAGACAGATACCCGGACGCCCCTTCTAAATTACTATTTTATTAAAATCTAATTGAATTACTATTTTTTGAGGAATTAATTTGGCGTATATATCATTTATGCTATGATTTGGGGCTTAAAAAAATATACCTATAAATCTGAGGTTATAAGGGAATAATAAATAATTAGTTTATAAGGCATTATTCTTAATTGCTGGATTTAGGTATTTTTACTTTTTGTTTATATTAAGCCTGTAAAACTATACGATTGGACATTTGAATTTGAATTAATATATCCATTCGTTTGAAATGTAACTGATCCTTATTTGTAGTAAAACATGTGTTTTTTTTTAAAAAAATATATAATTTCTAATTAAAAGAGACTTATACATGGCAAAAAGACTCCTAAAATCTGAAATATGATGCATTGGAGCCAAAACAGATGCATACTTAGTTGCGACATAAACTTCATGTCTTCTGCTTTAATAAGGTAAAAGGGATATATTAACAATTTTCATATTCATACTAAAAACTAAAAACTAGTATAAATTTTAAAACTCAATATAGAGTAATTTTTTTCGCGATAGAAAGAGTATTTTATATCTCTTGCGAGTCCAAAACGTGACTCCGTGGCAAAATGTATTACTCCCTTTTGTTCCGAAATAATCGTCTTGAATTTTCATTTTTTTTACAAACTGCAAGTGAAAATCGGACAATCATTTTAGAAAAGAAAGATCATCTCTTATTCTGTATATTTCCCGGACTCTTAACGTATCACTTTCTCATCGATTATTAAGTGAAAAAAATAGCGAATAAAAGTGGCGGTTTCTTTTGGAACACCGGGAATAGAGATGATAACTAGAAAGACAAGTGACCTGCATGCGCCAAAGGAGGTCGCTGTTGGGCTTAACATGGTGGCGGTTGTTCCAGAACCGGAGACGGGCATTTTCGACTTCCTCCAATTCTTCAGGAGTTCCAGCATCGGCATCGAATTCCCAGATTTGCCTCCCCACAAAGTTGTTGGTGCTATACAAATAAGGGTTATTTCCGTCACCTTCTGCAATCTTCAATCTCCACATGATTTCTTTTCGTTTTAGTTTTTGTTGTTTTTTCTGACCTTTGCCCTTCACTAGTTGAATTACTACACATAATAATGCATCAAAATGCAACATGTATATATAGGTGAAGAGAAATAAGCATGCCGATCCTTTTTCCTTCCATTTTCGCTTGTTTCCATGAGCTGTAAGACAAAGATGCATCTATTTTAATATATATTGAAAATGTCCATCAGCGGCAGAAGATAGTTTGTAAACATGAGATTGACGGAGGCATAAAAATAAATGAGAGTTGGGCGGAATCTTCTTGTCTTTGAGCTGGATTTGGCCGCAATCAAACAAACAGGGTTCTTTCTTTTGACTTTTCTTAGTTCACGCGACTCTATTACTTCCTCCATTCCATAAAAATTAGTCCAAATTGAATTTCAATATTTATATTAAAACAATATAAATTTTAAAAGTCAATGTAGACTAATTTTTTTTGGAAACAAGTATATCCAAATTGGAGACCGGAGTATACACTTCAGTCATTCTAAAACTACTGTTCAATTTTTATACTGTTGTGAATAATATAATAAATAGATCAATTATTTTGAGACAAGAAAAAATATTTTTTTTCTTTCATGAGTATGACTTATATTGCATGGACCTATACAGTAGATTGTTACGAAGAAAATAAATACTCCATATGGTCCTATGGCACAATTTAAATTAATTTTAATGTTAAACTGTGCTTTATATTATTAGGACGCGGGGAATATTTAGATTCCCGTTATATGAAACCTAACTAAGCAAAAGAGATAGTAAATTTGTCTAAACATGGATTTTTGCCAGCCTAAACGTCCGAGTGCACTATTCGAACTTCTCTTTCCAAGAACACTTTTGTCCATTTCTTCAGCAAATTGATACTCTCTCTGTCCCAAAATTATTGTCTAGTTTGAGATTTTACTTTTAGTACAATTTAAACTAAAAATAAAAATCCAAACTGGACAATAATTATGCGACGGAGGGAGTACTGTCAATTTTAATTAAGCCGTATATACAAAATCTCAAACTAGTATTCTTTTTGTTGATTAATATTTAATTACTCCCATGTCCTAAAATTGTTGTCTAATTTGATATTTCACTTTTATTATAATTTGAACTAGAAATGAGAATCCAAACTGGACAATAATTATGAGACCGATGGAATATAATTTATGTTAAAAAGAAAAAAATTAAATTGGACAATTATTTCGAGAATGATAAGATACTAATATGCAAACTAATAAAAGTAATAATACTACAAGTTATAAAACTTAATGTGCAATTTTTTTAAGAATAAAAGGAATAATAGTTTTAAAAAATTGTCCTATTGGAGGAGACAGAGTACTTGTGGGGTTTTCAGAAAAATGGTGCGAAGACTTACGCAAAGAGTCTTTAATTGTTCACCTCTTCCTCGTGTCGACGCTCTTCGTATTAACTATTAAGCATGATATCAGTAGTGTGTATAAAAAAATCACCTCAAACTACAAATAAAATCTTAAGAAATAGTATCAATTAAGGTCACCGATGAAGACTTTTTACCGTGTTTCCCCATTCTCGTGCCCATATAAAACTGTTCATGAGCTACTGCATTTTGTCTAGTCAACCCATGAAATCCAAAAGATCATTCAAAACTATGGTTTGTATAATAAAACCGCGCGGAAGGTGAGTTACGTTTTAAAATCCTTTCACTATAAATGAATGGGAGTCCATGTGTTGACCACAGACCAAATCGCGTATTCTGTATTTCCATTTTTTCGGTGATATATGCTCCTTATGTCGTAATGATTTTATTAAATTTTCACATTTAGTACAAATTATATTAAAAATAAAAATTCAAATTAGAGAGTATTTTTTGACCGAAAAAAGTATTAATAATAACACCCTCTTACTAACTTTTACAAATGGAAGGAAAGAACCCTATTTGTGATTCCGGCCAAATCTTAATTTTTAGGATTAATATTAAAAAAAACCCATAAGTTAAATTAAATATCAACACCATCCGTATTGTTTTCAAATGGAGGACCTGTACAAAAATATATTTCCATGACGGGTGTTGACAAATCTAATTATGTCGGATTTGCCAAATCCGAAACTAAAAGCAGTCGGATTTGACAAATCCGAATCTTCTTATTTTTTTGAAAAAATAGAAATCTATGAATAGATTTGGATTTGCTAAATGAGTAGATTCGAATTTGACAAATTTGGCAGAACTACTTTTGTCCACCTAAAACAGTAAAAAATCTATTTTTGTTCACATTTATTGTAGAGAAATGTTTTAGGAGATATAAAATTTTCTATTTTTAAATATCATTCAAGGAGAGTTTTCAGGATTATTGTGCTACATGTCATCACTCTATTCATCTTTCATTAAAGTGTAAAAAATATATATATAACTAGGTTATATTAAATTTATAATTATGCTTTGATGTCAAAAAAATTATTTATTGGATAATAAATTAATGTTAACGTTAATAAAGGTAAACTACTCACACAATTGAAAAAACGATGATTTTGATCATGAAATTTAAAGCAAAAATTGTTCGCGGAAAGATCATATTCACGCATTATTCAAATCGATGAAAAACGATAAATGTACTCAGACCTTTTGCTCTGAAAATTTTCTAATGGAATGTGATTTTGTTATCGATTCGAAAGATGCCTCAAGCTCTTAAATTCATCCATTTACCATCCAGTCTTGCATCATTCGTAACCAAAAGAATATGAATACATGTGAATCAGTGAATGAGCTAATCGTGTATATGATTTCATGGATCTCTAAATTAACTCGCTAAATAATAGAGGTTTGTTACCCTAATTCAAAGCAAGAATTAGGGATAAAACCAATATTTATGGATAACTTATAGCATAAAACAAAAGATAGAAGAAATGCACACGATTCAACTCTGACTTTGTTTTTCTTTTCCCTTCTATATAATTGAAATTTTCTCTTCATAGAGGGAAATAATAATTTATCGGGTTCTTTCACTTAAATGGAAATGTAATCCAAACGTTTTCTTATTTTATGATTTTTACACACATAACTAAGACTTAAGAATGCCCCATAACCCAACATGTATAGATTTTGTTTGTTTAAGCTTAGATTTATTTCTTTCAATCTCCAGATTACTGGTGTTTTTGCTTATTTTATGTTATAGAAGTTCTTTTTCCTTCCCTATCTCTCTATATATAAAAATGTAGTTTATAGATTGTCTTCTGACATCTAGTAGTATTTTATAACGAGAGATCGAGTAATTCAAATGGTGTTGCTGATAGAATATGGAAATAATCGAAACCTTAATTAAGGTTTTCTATGTAGACGGCTAGGGTTGTTACACTATTATACTATAAATACCATAATGTATTATGTGAATAATGGACACAATAATTCTTTCAGTTGCTACTAGTTGGCAGTGCCGTATTCTGCTAAAGGCCACAATGGATATATGTTTCTATATGCTGCATATGTAACATGCAGTTCTTTTTGAAAGTCCCTGTAATTTCTTACAAAACACAGACTTTCAATCAACTAAAATGTATTCTTCATTCATCAAATGCATTCTTCAATATTCCAAATCTTTGATTATTGTTTCTATACTCTGATGTTTTGTTTGAATTCATAACTGTTGAGGGAAATCTCCATTTTCCATCTGGGAATCGATCAATAACTTTGTTGCTCGGTGGAGTGGCTCTGGATCTCTTTCTTCCTATTAGGAAAAAGGAAATTCAACAATAATGATTTTATATCTGATAGGAGAGGGCGACCATGTGATGCAAATGCAGTGTTGAATGGACTTGTGTACTTCTCCGTCCCAAAATAAAAGTCGTATTTGTATGTTGTGTTAATTTAACTCTAACAAATAGGACTCTTCTTTTTGGGACGGCGGAAGTATTATAAACTTACTTGGCCAGAGAGAATCAGTCCCATCATAGCCCCGGCAGTATGAACCAAGTTTGATCTTCCTCCTTCTAATGGAATAAATTTCTGCGAAACCTGTATCTCACGTTAGACTGCTAAAACTCTGCAATGACATTGTTAAAAAAAATCTTAGGTCAGTCTCTATCATTGTTGTGGCAGAAAAGGCATAAACACAACACACTACGAAAGCGAACCCCAAGAAAAACTCCTTTCTACTACCAATAGAATAGGATAACCAACCAAACAAGCAAATAATTCAAGAACTGATAAAGTAAAGTATACACATGAATTTACGTGGAAAACTCAAATTGGGAAAAATCACGAGACTGTAACAACAGTCAAATCTCCACTATCACAATAATGGGAAACAGTCTTCACCGACCGATGGGTACACAGGACTTCACCCAAAGGTGGATTACAACAATACTCTTTCACACACACCTAAACCACAAGTAGGATTGGAAGGATCTCACCAAAAGAGAGTTAAACCGAAAACTAAACCTTAGCTTTCTTTCTTTTTCTCTCACACAAAACCCTTGCGCGGCTGCCCTAATTCTCCTTCTCTCTCGGCTGAAAAACATGCGTCCAAAAGCACACCAAGAAAGCCAAAGTACTAAGGCTTTTATAAGCCACGGCCTTACACCAAAACCAAACCAAAAATGGACTTGGTTTTCTTTCTTTCCTTCGGTCAAGCCCAAAAATCCACATTAGATTTTGGCTTCAAACCTTGCTGGGTCATCAATTGGGGGGAATAGGCCCAACAATCTCCCCCTTCACCTCAATTGGAGGGTAAAACCAAACCGGCTTCTTGTCTGCAAAACAGGAGCTTGTCTCTACTCACAGTCTTCGTCAACATATCGGCACCGTTGTCATCCGTATGAATCTTCTCAAGAAACAACGCCTTGAACTCCAACACATCCCGAATCCAATAATATCTCACATCAATATGTTTAGACAGCGAATAGAATGTGAAATTTTTCGTCAAGTGAATAGCGCTCTGGCTATCACAATACACCACATACCTCTCTTGCTTCATGCCAAGCTCTTGTAGAAACTTCTGCAACCAAAGTGCTTCCTTACAAGATTCAGTAGTTGCGATAAACTCTGCCTCTGTAGTAAACAAAGCAACACACTT